AGTTGATGTGCTTCAGCATTGTTTTAGTGGTAACAGCCGGAACTGAGTGCCTCACGTCTCGGTGGAGCCTTAATTATCTCCTCAAATTCGACTGCTCTGTTGACTCAAACTGCTCTTCGGCATCAGCGAGAAGTTCAACTTGCAAAGCACTTTGATAGCAACTAAAGAAAAGATGGCGAACACTGGGCAGCGAGATAACCAGCAAAATATGGAGATTTGTTTGTGTTAGCCTCCGCCACAAGGTCACCGCTTTGTGAAATAAATAGTAATTAACTACCAGAAGAAAATGCGGCGGTCATTGCCACCCTCAAAGATATGGCTCAATTTTGTCTCCCAATGACAAGTTGTGGTGCACCAACAGTTCTTTCCTGATGCGGCAGTGTAAGCGGATAAGGAGTAGTTGGCCTTCGGGGCGTTTAGCGCCATAACCATTTGAATAAGGCGTGGACGCTCACAGTAAGGGGCCTTTCAGTTCAATTAGGCAAACGCCCAGAGCAGTACTTAAGTTTACGTGTCCTGTGGCGGTGTGGTTACGTTAAGCTCATGGCGTCTTTAAATTCAACAACGGCGACTTCAAGTGGGGAGGAAGTCCTGAGTAAAGCCTATTAAAAAGATTGTTTTTAGGGATTCAGAATATATCCCAGCCCCTAAAAGTGGGTTTTAACATGAAGATAACAACGGTAGTGTCCAATTTGATGACAAGTTATGAATTATTATTAAGTGGACTTTTAAAATATCCTGATTTCTTATTGGACAATTAGGGGAGTAGTGGCAAATTTTAATGCATATAAAGCCTCGTGAACCAAGAAGATTATAAAGCACCTATTTATCTTTGTTATTATCTCATTTTTGTAAATATAAATAATGTTATTATGGCTTTACCAAACTCAGTACTAATATTTTTTTACAAGAAATATTTGGAGCAAAGTACGTTTCATGCCTGATTTTTATACTGCTTTCTTGGTTAACTCAACTATGCTTTTTTTTTAAAGTTTTCTCCAATTTAAATAAATCTTGATGGTTCTACTCTGGATAAAATAACTTCATATATCCCATAAAGTCGTTCTAACCCAGTCCGCCGGATCAATGTAGATAGATCAAAGATCAGGGGCGAATGCAATTACTTTAGTATATTATAGTAAAAGGCTTTGTCATCAATGTACAGCATTAAGAAGGAAAAGCTTTAAAGCTAACATAAAAAGAGAAAAATAGCAGTGCTTTTTAAAGGCACCAGAAGTACTCCAGCTCCTTTTTCTCAAGCAGTTTAAATTAATTTTAGTTTGTAAATTACCCTAAATTTTCGATTTTAGAAACATTTTATTAACTTTATATTCTTGTACAAGAGGTTTTTGTGTCAACACCTGGTAAAAACTATTAATAAAGAAGTATGACCTATGTGCTTTTTACTGGTAAAGCCTCTAAGGCGTAACATCTGTCGCATAGTAAAGCGCCCATAAAAAAAATAGAAAGTAGGCTAATTAAATAATTTTTTTTTATTTCCATGTTTGAGATATTGGAGTTTATGATGGCGAAAACAAACACTCACCATCAAGGAACCAATAAAAAGAATCGCGTTAGTGAGAATCGATCGCATTACCTTGAAATTTGGGCGTCCAATGCTCTTAACCAAAGAGCTTAGATGGCAACTTTAACACCTGTATCGTGGCCTTACGTAAATAACCTTTATAATCACCTTGGGGTTTTTAATTATGTCATCAGTTTACCAAGTAACGCTCAACAGTTGTCTTCGTTAAGAAATTACTTTTAATGCTGAAAGAAGTGAGGTCTTTTCTGTCACGAAGAAGCGCACTGCACCTACACGGCCGCTGACTCCCTTGATGTTCCCAGGCGATATGGGTCATCATCGACAACAAGCTCCCATGGTGGCTGCATGTAAACTATATCGCGACGAAGGTCAAAGCGACGGCTCAAACTATTAACTTTTTTCTTTGTGCTAATAGCAAACTCTCGTTGCGCAACAAGAGACGCTTGTATGGGTGTATTTCCAATTAAACCATGAACATACGCCTCTACCATCTGGGTCTACGACTTACCGGCATTAATTCCTTCCCCTCAAGTGAGACTATACAAGCTGCTACGTGTTAGGGTGAGCGCATCGTGGTTTGTTTGAAACGTGCATAACCTCAAGGCCTTCAGCTTGCCCCAGGCCATCGTTTCTCGACGCAGTACTAATAACACCTAAGAACGGCTTACCAGCACACCAATCAATTACCAGCAGAAGAGCTCAGTTACCAATCATGAGACGGCGCACGCTATATTTGACCGTACAATGGGCTTTAAAATTTATTCTGTGGGCTAGATTAACACAAGCTTAAATTTAGTTTGTACGCTCTCATCATGTCGAGATCGCGTACATTCAATGTGTGTGTTTTTTGACGAACACTGACATAGTCAATTAATAATAGCAAAAAGAATAGCAAGGAGTTGAGTTGTTTGTGTATTAAAGGGTTAGTTTTTCGACCTCTTAATTAATACACTGTATCACTAATTTTACCCATCGCATGTTGTGGGTACCATTTAGTAAAAAATTCTACGCGAGGCGTCGAGATAAAGGACACTGCCCAAAACCTTAAATTTTGTTGCGTATCTGTTTTCTTCTATCAGGCTATGTATTTTTAAAAACTTTATGATACAGTGCTTTGCTTGAAGGTATAAAGAGCAGACTACGTTTATCGTTCAACATTCTTTTTGTAAAGCGATTCCCAGTTGTCTACCTGTTGAATGTTCCCCTGAATATTAGTGTGAAAAAAAAATGTTTTTAATAATAATTGCAGCGCAGCGTCTTTACTGCTAAAAAGACACTATCCTTTATATAGGTTATGTGGCTTAAAATGCAAAACATGAAGCTCTTCATAAAGCATAAATTTTAATTTTGAGATAAAATCTTCGTGCTCCTCCCTCAACAATGTTAAAATATTCGTTCTGGGACTTCCTTAGCCTTGTAAACAAGATCTTTAGTACATTAGCAATGCCCTTCATCTTTTTTAGATTAAACTGCGAATATATAGCTATTTAACTTAAATATCTGATACCTTAGGACTACTTTTTTAAAGCAAACCATTTGATTATGTAAAATTCGTTCGAGTTAAGGGATCGGGGTACTTTTTCTCGGCTGCTGACCGCGCAAAAGTTGCACTCCGGTGTAATAATATTAATCTAGCTAAACTTGGTAAAAAACCTATCATTAGCAGTGTGTTTATGGGGGGAGGTGGATACGCGAACAGTTTTTATTGCTTCAGAGGTAGTTTCTACTGGCAGTTGTTTAACTTTGGTTCTTCAAGATATTAAGGTTTAAAGCCTAATGGCACTCAATATAAAATATGGAGACTCGTTGATTTAAATTAATAACTGATACCCTTAACCATTTTAACTAATAAATCTAATTTTCATAACTAGGAGAACTAACGTAAGGGTTAAAGTAAAGAGAGATGTATTAATTGCAATGATACTACTCAGCCTAAATCTATATGCTTATAGATGCACTTGAGCACCATCGTCAGAGGTGTGTTTTCTACGGCGCAACCTTTAAAAGCAGGTGTGTCTAATGCAAACTGGTATTTTACAAAGGCAAGGCTTCGTTATTAAGTGGGTTCATACTTTTCAAGAGAGGTTTCAGTCATATACTAAAATTTGCATCTACAATGGCGCTAACTTTAGAAAACCCTTGAGCCAGGACCGCACATGTGCTGTTCTCTAACTTTCGGTTTCAACTGTTGAGGCTTTTAACGTAAAGTTAGCGTTGACCAGGCACATCCTTTTAAAAAGTAGTGCAGTATTATGAAGTTCTGTGCGTGTCTATATGCTCAAAAAGCTTCGGATGGGTGAGCGTAAAAAAAGCTTTATTGATACACTATTGTATTCGACTCAATTATTAAAGCTAATCAGGCTTATTCACCAAAGAATGCAATCCACTTCCCAGCGCTGTAATTTCAGCATCAAGCTGGACCATATTCCCTAATCGATCTTCTCTGTTCTAATAATTTCCACTAGGAAAACAACTCTTCGTTTTTCAGTGGCATTACTGTTTTAAGAGTAAAAGTGTTTACGTTTATATCAAGTAAATCTGTTTGGAAGCTATAGTTACCCTGACCTTAATTTGATAAAGGTTCCGTCTATGTACAAAAATAAATAGCTACGTTTAAATTACAAGCTAGTACCATTATAAGCTTTACCAAAATAACCGTTTTTCTTTTTTTCGGTTATGAATATGTAAAAGATAAACTGTTCTTACAGTAGCCCAAGTTAGAGTTACTCCTCTTGTTCCAGCATCCAAACTAATTGGATCGTAAGTCTTAGCCCGGTTTTAAAAGGCACACGAAAATACTCAACACTCAATATAAAAAGCAATAACCTCAAAGAAGAGTGTTTATCTACACTTTAAAAGAAGCATTTCAACGGCGAACTTTTCCCACTTACTAATTCAAGTTCTGTTTACGCCACATTAACTTTCTGAATAATACCATTCTTAACCCACTAGAGATTTTCAGTTACAAAACTTAAAAATGAGATCAAAAGTGTATTCCCCTATTGTGCTACACTACGCTAACCCCTCCTCGATTTAGGCTTGATAAAAAGTTTTTAGGTAAAATCTTTATTATTAAATGCTATAATCTAGTATGTTAGCAGTTCATATATACAGGAGGTTCCTTAAGATCGACAGAACACTAGAAGATTAATTACTTTTTAATTAAACGTAACTAAAGAGAATAATAGCTCCCTTCAAACTTAGTAAAAGCTATTATAATACTTACAAGCTTCGATAAGATTATAATAGAACACAAGGTGTTAAGTGAATTTTATAGTTTACTCTAATAAGTAGAATAAAAACCAAAATCTCTATAGATAAACAACCTGAAAAGATGCAGTAACTGAAGCCCTACACATTGCTAAGATTGACCTTATAAAAATAATAACTTAAAAAATTACTAAATTCAAGAGGTTTTTTAAAAAAGCCCAGATGCTTAATAATTAAATATAAAACTAATCAGTCCCAATTCCACGCTGATCCAGTTCTTTGAAGTTTAATAGTCTACAGCGCAGTTGAGCGATAATAAGTTTATTAATTCTGAAGTTTACTTTTTTCTCCGCAAACAGATCTCACAAAGAAATTAAAACTTCGTCTACAATAAAATAGATACTAAAATTTAATTTCAAAAGATCACTGAAAAATAAAGATCCAAAAATAAAAAGGGGGCTATAAAGCAGTCCCTCGTTCCAAATTTTGCTTTAACTCTGCTGTGTGCTGTCCATAAATACGCTCCAGTTTTTGATTAAAGCGTCTGAGTTTTCAAATTGAATAATTTTAGTGCAAAAATATATAATATAAGTTTTTTTCAACATTATCAAAAAAATAAAAAACTTTCAAAATTAAGTTTTTTAATAAATAAAATAATTAAAGTGATTTATAGAATTTGAAAAAAAGAGTTATTAATATGAAATTCCAGCAATAAGAATAGTTTCTGAATATAAACAAACAATAAACGGTAAATAAGTAATAAATGCTATAAGGAAAAAATAACTAAATAAGATTTTTAAGAATTATAACCAAAAAAACTCATAAATTAAAATTAAAATTTATTTATAAAAATATATAGAAAGTAGTATTATTCAATATATATTACGGAATTATAGGTTAAAATTAACAAGTTAAATATTATACTGCCTTATAATCGTATATGGTATAAAAAATTTATATAATTTAAAATTATAAAAAAAAAATTTACTAATCAATTATATAAAACTTGAAAATCCGAAAAAAATTTCTAAATAATAAACATTAACCAATTATATAAAAACAATATCTAACTGTAAAGTAAGTTTAGTAACTAATTTATTAAAGCATACTTGAACTATTTAGTTAATATTTTTTAAAGATATAAAAATACAAATTTTGTAAAAAATCTCTAAATAAAATCTAAATATTTCACAAAAATCAAGCGAAAAACTACGTTAAAAAAGTATTTAAATTTTACTATTTAATAATAAAGTTATTTAGTATAAGTCTAATACGTTTTATTATGAGATAAAAAACCATAATTAAAATTATAATTATTATAAAATTTAAAATTTCTGTAATTTACTAGAGAATATTTCAAAGCAATTCTAATATAAGTTATAAAATCATACATTAGCTTTAATAAAAAAAATTTTAATAAGTTAATAAACTAAAGTTATAAGTAAATATGAAATATTCTTTTCAAACTTTTATTAAAAAGGCGTAAGTTAAATTAACAAAGACGATACAGGAAAAAATCAAACAGTACTAATGAAATATTAAAGGTAAATGAAAATGTATATATATAAGTCATGGAATTAGATTAAATATAAAAAATAAATACAAAGTTCGGCCAAAAGAGTACTAAAACAATTATATATATATATATTAAATTCTAAATTAGATTAATTTAAATAAATGAAATAAAATAATCAAAAAAAATAGGACTTATTAATATATAAAATTCAATTAAAATAATGTTATTTATAACAATTAACTCAAAAAATTATAATGTATAGAATTAAGTAAAAATAAAACTGTGAATTAAAAACTATAAAGCAAAAATAAAAAATTAAACAAAAAATTCAAGTCGAATATAATATTTAAAATTAAAATCAATTTACTACCAATAAAACTAACAAATTATATAAATATAATAATTTGTATAAAGGCGGTTGTTGAATTAATTTATTATGCAAGAAAATATAAAAATAAAGGAATACAAATTTAATAAATTCAAATAGTACAAAGTTTGCATCATATAAAGACAAAAAACTCCCTGAAAATATGCATAATAACCTGTTTCTCTCGTTGATGTAATCGATATCAGCGTCATCATCAAAAGCACGCCGCCTGCTAAAGTTCTTTCGTTTTTCATCTCTAATATAGTTAGATGATGTGTGTACCAATGAATTGAAAAAAAATAAACATCTTTAAAGTTATATTTACAATAAATAAACTTAAATAGATTATATAAAAGTTAATGTTATGTAAACATTTATAAGTTAGAAATTAAAATAGGTTTTCTTAGTGCCGATTTGAATATACGAAGATTAAATTTATTAGCCTATTATTATCTTATATAACAAAATTGAAAAAAAATACAATTTTTTAACATCAGCAACGACGCGATCAATAGCGGCTTCACTCGGATTCGCTCCAGCTAGACCATAACTAAGGCCTGCACTTCCTCCATAAAAGTCCTCTCCCCTATAAAGTTAAGTACTTTTACAATAAAGTAGAATAGAGAAGAAAAAAAGTTTACAAAACATAAAATAATGGAATTATAAAGAACTAATAAAAATAACAAACCATTCCTCTTTATTTTGATTATATTCCTCTGAATCAATGTTAATAAACTTTGTTTTTTTCTTATAACTTCTTATAGCAGCTTGTCGGTAGTCTACATTTTATAAAGTTTCAATAATTTAAATTTTTAGCACAAAACTTCTATATACAAAAAATAAGGGTCATCCTGCAAAAAATAAATATTTATCAAAACTGTTGCAAATATAAACTCGTTGGAAAATCTAGCAAAAGCTAACCAGAAAATCCGGGATCGGCGTAGGCAGCTCGTTTTTTCGCTTTTCTGTGTTCAGCTAAAGCATCAGAGGCCATTGTTTCCATATATTTCAATCTTTTATAGTCATAACCTTCTTTTTTAGCTTTCTACTTAGCCCAAGAAATAAACGATACCAAACAAAACCAAAGAAAAAGTAGCAAACTTCTTCAGCGGCTGCCTCTTTCAGCTCCCACTCGACCCGTCTCTGCTTTGATTGCCAGTTGGAAGGTAATTTATTTCGTTTGTCCTCCTCAATAAGCTCCTTTCTATTTATTCGGGATGCATCCTCCTTTTAGTAAACAAAAGTAAAAACCCAGCAAGATGAAAGTTGCCTTATAGAATTAGTAATAACTTTTTTCTTTTGTAACTCTTTAAATTTCTTTATTCTATCTACTTTAGACAGCTTTGAAAAAGAATTTGGTGTTTCCAAAACAGTGGAAGGAGAAAGCTCTGCCTTTAAGTCACTCATTTTCTCAACTAAAATTTAGTAAAAACCGAAGTTCCATCACCAATTAGTGATTAAGACTTCCTATATTTGGTTTTCTGCATCAGTAATCCACGTGACCCTCTATTGTAACTGCCGAGATGCAATGACTGGCTTTGTTTTTCTAAAAAAGTTAACTTGGTAGGATGGGAGGAGACAGGCGCAAAGCTAAAAAAAGGTTAGATAAATATTATTATTTGGCAAAGGAGCAAGGTACCTTTTTTAAAAAATATTATACAAAGTGTCCTTTAACCTTTCGTGTTGTAGGATACCGCGCTCGTTCAGCCTTTAAGTTAATTCAACTGAATCAAAAGTTTAACTTTTTGGAAAAGTCGCGTGTGATTGTCGATCTTTGTGCTGCTCCAGGCGGATGGTATTTTTGCTCAAATTTTTTTTTACATTTTTATCCTTATTATTTTAACTTTTTAGGCTCCAAGTTGCTCGAAAGTTTGCTCCCATTTCAAGTATTATTATAGGTGTTGATCGTGTTCCCATCAAGCCCATCCACAATTGTTTGACGTTGCAAGAAGATATTACAGAAGAGAGTTGCCGACAAGCTTTAAAGAGAGGTCTTCATAGTTATTTATATTATTTTACTTTAGAGTCCGCTGAGAGCTATATTTATTTTTTTCTAGCTTTATTCAAATTCTAATGAAACTAATTTTTTTTAGAGCTGAAGCACTGGAAAGCTGACTGCGTACTTCATGATGGTTCTCCGAACGTTGGACAAACCTGGATTCAGGACGCTTTTGATCAAGCTGATTTGACTTTAAAGGCCTTAAAGGTTTAATAATATGTAAAACTAACTATTTGCAATTTATGTTATTAATGTACTGAATGTTCTTTATTATTTATTTAACGACTTATAAAATTTTGAAGGTAATTTACTTTTAATTGGTTTCATTAATCCAAATTTTAATTTATTGTGTAAAGCTTTCTACTGATATTCTGAAGCAAGGTGGATACTTTATTACGAAAGTTTTCCGAAGTCGCGATTATTTTGCCTTGATGTGGGTTTTAAATAAGCTTTTCTATAAAGTACGTTGACTTTTCTAAACGTGTGAGCTGAAATTTTATTGTTTTCTATTTTATAATTTTTTATTTTTATCAACCTTATTGATTACTTTTATGATAATACATTTCGTAGAATCAGCGAATTTCATTATTAACTTTTATATAATTTTGGTATTATAGTAACTTTTTTATTTTTTATACACATTAAAATTTTTAATTTTTTATTTAAATTATTGTATTATTTTCTTACTGTATATTTATATAATAGGTAATTTTTTATGTATACCCTTATCTTTGTTATTATATATATATTTTTATAAACAATTATTTAATTTTTATTTTTATTTTTATATGAGTATTTTCTAGATTGATATTTTGGTTGTGCTGTTTACCTTTTTTTATGTATTTTTGGGGGCTTTTTTTATGTATTCTTTTTTTATATAATAATCTGTGCTTATCGGATTTCTTTATCATTAATATTTTTTATTACTTTACATTCTGTTTCGTTCCTTTTTTTAATTTTTTAATTTTTTAATTATATATTTTTATACATCGCTACTTTACTTTTGAGGTTCACGCGACGAAACCGGCGGCTTCCCGTAACGTTTCAGCCGAAATATTTGTGGTTTGCTGCGGTTTTAAAGCACCCACCTCACTGGATCCTCGGTTTTTGGATAGCAAATTCATATTTAAAGAAGTAATTAATTTTTTATATTAAAAATATAATTTTTATAAAGATGCTTTTTTATTGTTATTTTTTCTTGCGCTTATTATTATTTTATTTTTACATGTTATAATATAATTGTAGAAGTCCTTTTTTATATATATTTCCTTCTGTTAGATTAATTTTTATTTTTTTATATTATTTATTTAATATTTTTAATTTTTTTACTATAGGTCGAAGGAGTGTGCAAGTCACAGGCACTTTTCACGAATAATAGAAGGAACTCTTCAGCAGTTGGCTACAAAGATGATGAAGATTCATTTCACGAAACTTTGTAGTTTTTCTTTATATACAAATTTTTTTTATAAATTTTTAGGTACTTGAACTTTATGTATTTTTAATTTTAGTTTGAATTTTTAATTTACATAAAACACTTTTTTTATGTTTTTGATTTAATTTTTTTTAAAAATCTTTTATTATGTTCTGTTCCTTCTTTTATAATTATAAAGTTTTTACAATAAAAATTGTTGAATTTAATATAAAAATTAGTTTTGTTACTTACTTTCCGTTACGACTCTACCTAAATTAGATGAATTTTTTTTAATCCATCAACTTTTGTTATTGTTTTTTTGCTTTATACGGATAATTATGTCAACAATTTATAGTTTTTTTTAACATATAATTAAGTTTTGCTTTGAATGAACCCGAAGTTTCAATGGAAATATCAGTTTTAAAATTTTATTTTAATTTCTTTAAACCCTCCATTGTTTAAGAGCGCATTTTTATAAATTGTTCATGTAAGTTTGTATGTAAATGTCTGTTTGTTTTTGATTTATTTAAGCCTACGGCTTGAGTATAACTAAATTATTTAAATATAAGTTTTGTTTCTTGTAGTATATTTAAGGCATTTTTACTTTTTTTATTTATAATTATTTTGTATAAATTTAAGATCTGTTTCTGATTTTCTTGGCTGCACTGATCCTCTTCTCGCACTTTCGCGGTGCGCTGAAGTTATTTTTCAACCGGAAATTGACGACCCTTATGTTGGCCACATGGCCACTACGCAGGAGATTCGCGAGTGTTTAAAAGATATAAAAGTATTGAACAAAAAGGTTTGCATTTTTATTTTGATTTGTTTTAAATTTTTATATATTATTTTTTCAAGGATTTACGAAATGTGTTAAGGTGGAGAAAAGCACTTCTCCCACTTTTCGAAGAAATCAATAAGAAGGAACAAAACGTTTTGGAAGATCGTTGATTTCTATAATCTTTATGAATTCTAATTTTTTTATTTATCAAAACATTTTAAACTTTTTTTTCTTTTTTCCAATTTTACAACAATATTTTTTTATTGATTACATATTTATTCTTGTTATTATAATATTTTTATGTTATTATAAAATTTTGTTAATTGAATTTTATGTAATTTTGATTTATATAAATTGTGTACTGTTAATTTTTAGTTATTTACATATTACTTTTTGTATTATGAATTATGTTATACTTGTGATACTTCCATTTTTTATATAATATTTAATATTTATTAATATTATTTGTTATATTATTTTATTATTTTTTATTAATACAGATAAATACTACTTTATACTGTTTTTTCTATTTTATTATAATTTTTTACTTGTAATGTATTATATTTTTATAATAGAATTTGTTTAAAAAAAATAATTTCAGTTATTTATGTAATTCTTAATTTATTAAATCTTCTATCATATTTATTGAATTACAAAAATTTTATACTTTTGTAATGTTTGTTTATTATATTTATATAATTTTTTGAATAACACAACATACTTACATAATATCATTTTTTAAATAAAGTTATATTATTTAATAATTCTAATTATTTCCTTTATTTTATCTACGATTTTTATCTTATCTTATTTTTGTTGTAGCAATATTTATTATAATTTACTTGAACGATAAAAACTTCATACCTGTATAATGATATTTTCTGTTATTTAATTTTTTATTAATGATTATGTTATAATTTTTAATTATTATATCTAAATTTCTTTTTCTTTACTTAATAAAAACTTTCTTTTTTGTAGTATCCTTATTTTTATTTTTTTATTTAGACAACGAAAGCTTTGTTTTTTTAATTTGTGTTTATATACATCATTATTTGATATATAGTATATTCTATATTTATATGCTACTATCTTATTTTTTTTAAATAGACAACAGAAACTTCATACTATTACAATATTTTTTTACATATATTTTTTGTTTTTTATTTTTTATACACTCTCTTATTATTCAACGTAATTATTGTATTTTTATTAATTTGTTAAAATATAAATTTTTTAAAAAATTTTGTTTTAATAAAAAACTTAAGTACTATATTTTTATTACACGTAGAACTTGAAAAGTTTCTTATAGTATACTTTTATTTTTTATTTTTTATAATATTTTTATTATTATCTGAAAACTACAAAAGTTTTTATAATAAACTTTTTTCGACGGCAGAACCGAGCGAGCACGATAACGTTGAGATAACGGCTGAGGAAAGCGAACTTTTAGAGGTTTATTATTATAATAATAGACCTTAAAGAAGTTTTTAAAAAGAAGAAAAAAAGTTTCTTAATATAATTAAATTTTTTATAAAGTTTTCAAATACAATTATTTTTTAGACTATCAAAAGTTTTGTATTGAAAATAATAAGTTTCTTATTAGTTTTTAATAAGTGGAGATCAATGATTTATATATATTTATATTCAAATCCTTTTTAAGGCCAACGAAAAACTTAAAGAACTACAACTTTTGAAAACAAAAAAAGAGAAGGCCAAGAAAAGAAAAGAAAATCGTCACCTGTTGAAGAGGAAAAATAAAGAATTGTGTTCTTCATATTATATATTTTATTAATTGTTAATTTAGGTGTTATTATTTATTATTATATTATTAATTGTTATTATATACTGTTATTAAATTATTTTTTTGTTATATTATTTTATTTAATTGTTTATTTAGTTATTTTTATGATAAATTGTTATTATTTTTATATTTATTTATATTATTAATTGTTATTCATTATTAATATTATATAATTTCATTATTATAATTGCTATTCTTTTTTATTAATTTTTATTATGTTTTTTATTTATAATTATTATTAAGCGTTATTATTTTATTTTCATTAATAATATTTCCTATTTATTTATTGTTATCTTATTACTTAATTATATAATTGTATATTACTTATACACTACTTACTTATTATTATTCGAGGCATGGAATGGGTCTTCCGGCTAATCGTTTGACTGTTGAGGATGGTCAGCCTTATAATAATAATAATAGTAGTAAATTTAACTATAAAAAATCTTATAACAGAGTTGTTTTCCATGAAACTTTTGTGTGAAAAGCCCATCATGAGGGCGTTTCTTAAAAATAAAGTTCCGCTACTGAAAGAAGAAAAGCAAAAGGTCCAAAAAAATGAAGTTGATGATGGTAAAATATTACTATTTGCAAACTTTTTAGTATTGTAAAACAATATTATTTACTTGCGCACTTCATTTATGTAATTTTATTTGTAAATTATTATTATTTTTTTAGAAGCAAAACTTCAAGCAGAATTAAGTGAGAATTCTGACCCTGAACTGCATCACTACAAGTAGTTTATTATTATTATTATTGCTATTATTATACAACTATTATAATTAGAATGCAAAGAATAAAGGAAATGGATGAGTATTATAATATTATTAAGAACAAACGAAGTAAAGAGAGTAAAGTTGCCGAAAAACTAGTAAAAATCAACAGCCATAACAAAGCGTTGCTAGAATATAACAAACCTGATAAGGTCGAATATTTTTTGTAATATTTTATAACAACTTTTAGAAAGAAAGTTTTGGAAAATACAGAGCTCCACAATACAAAATTTTTGCGAAGGTAAAAAGCACGTGAGTTCCTATAGTAATAAAAGTTCATTGGCCGCAGAGAGTTCTACTGACGATTCTCGTTCTATTGATATGTGGTTTGCTCAGGTATATCCCTTTTTATTTATAATTATTATTTTTATTATTAAGGACGACTCTGCTTGATAAGTGGTTTATTGGGCACTTTTTTGGTTTTAAACTACCAATAACTATTAGTCATTAGCTAGTAAGCATCAGTTTCCAACCTGCATGGCTTTTGAGCGTTTTTTACTTTTATAGTGATGCCTGTATTGTAGTAGTTATAGAAATAATAACTTCTTTAACTTGTTATATAAATATTGCTTTACTTTTTTTTAATGTTAAATATTTAGCAATAAACTTTTTTTATACATTATAAAAGAACAGTTTTTAAGTAAACTTTTATTTAGAATGAATTTTCAGAAATTTTATCGGATTTAGAAAACGAGGAACAAGCAAAGAAGGAACTTGAAAGAAGGTTTCTAATATTACTATCATTATTATTATTAAAATTATTAGTAGACTCGCCAGAAAAAGTACGGTCACACCTGCTGAAACCTCAGATTTGCCTAAAAGGTTTCAACAAAAGTTGCATGAGAAAAGCGCGAGCTTAAAAAGTTTTATTAGTATTATTATAATTATAATCATTATTGCTTTTGGTTTTTCTTTTTAAGAACTTCTCTATTTTATTTTTTATTTATAAAGTTGAGTCCTAATTTTTTATGTAATAAAACTTTGCATAGCATTAACTTATTATATTTTTAATTATTTTTAATAAAACCATTTTATTTTTAAAATTTTTTTACTATAAATTATTAAAAAATTTTAAATATTTTATTAAAGTCTATAATTTCCCCATTGAAATATCAAGAAATTTTTTTTTACTTTTGAAATTATTTTTTTCATGTTATCATAATAAATTTGGAATTATATATATTCTAATAAAATTAAATATTTTATATATATTATAAATTTAAAGGTTTTTTCGTTTATTATACTTTACTAAGTACTGCAGTTTTTTATAATTTTTAATTATAACAGTTGAAGTGTTTTATAAAACTATTTTTTTTATAATTTTATGGCAATAAAGTTTAAAAAAAAATTGTTTTTTTATTACTTATATTACTTTTTAAGTCCTCTATAAGAAAAATTTCAATTATTGAAGTTTTTTTATTTTTACTTCAAGTTTTTATAGAATACATTTGTTATACATTTTATCAAAAAATATAAACACGGAACCTTTTTTGTTATTCTGCTTAACTTCTTAAAAGTTTATTATCATATTTTCTGAAGCTCGCCTTGCCGATGGTGAACTTGAAACCGTAAAATTTATTTCCGAGTGCGATTTAGAAAGTGAAACGTTCTTGCTATTATTTATTATTACTATTACTATTAATGCTTATTTTAATTTTTTTATGCAGTGACGATTTTTCGGATTCTAAAAATAAGAACTCAGTGAAACTGGACGCACAGGGACTTGCTTTGGGCTCCCTTCTTATTTCTAAAAAGGTTTTTTTTATATCATATTTAGTAAAATTAAATTTTTTTATACTTCTATAATATATAGCGAAAAGCCAGATTAGAGGACAATTCTTATCACCGCTTTGCTTTTCAAGACGGGCCTTTGCCTGATTGGTTTCTCGATGACCAACAAAAACACTATAAGAAATATATCCATGTGCCAAGCGACGTCCTGCAATTTTATAGGTCTGCTTTATGTCATTGGTTAGATGTAGATCCCTTACTAAATGATTGGACAGTAAGCGATTAAAAGAAATTAACTCTCGGCCAATTAAAAAAGTTCAGGAGGCCAAAGCGAGGAAGAAGTTGAAGGCTTCGAGGAAACTGGAGGGCGTAAGTAGCTTTAATATTAGCTGTATCCCCTCTTTTTCTGCCAGTGTGAAACAGAGTTTAATGCAATACCAACCGTAAACATGCATTGATTGAAATGCTGTTCACATTGGTCGGCTGGCTTGTTACATTATTATGCTTTGAATATTTCATTATACTGTAAACAAAATTTTGAAGTTTTTATATGCTTCTGTTGCAGATGAAAAGGAAGGCTGAGTCTATTATTGACAATCCTAACATGAGCGACGCATTTAAGAGGAGAACAATTGGTTTATTGACACGTGGTTTTTCTTTTCGTTTCGATTGATTGGCTAATTATGATCCAAAGAAAAACTTCACTACTCTCGAAAGACCCGTAGTAAACCTAGAAACGTCCAATACGTTGTCGCTTCCAAGTCGGGGGCTCGAAGGAAAAGCCAAAGATCCCACAGCGTAAAGGTAATATTTTCACAGTTTTACTCGTTTTATTGATCGGATTACTTTTTCTTTGTGTTATGTAAAGATTATTTTTACTTAAAATTTCTTTTTGCTTATTTAGAAAAAACTTAAGGCTTTATGCTATTTAACTTGCGCATTACAGTTTAAGTTAGTTATATATATATTTATTACAAAAACTTGCTGTAAGCGGAATTATATAGAATGTATTTTTATTAGAATTGTTAACTATGATAAATTTATTTAAACCACGACTTTCATTTGAGCGTATTTACCGTTTTAGTCACAAGGTTTGTTGTTTATTAAGTTGAATTGCTTTCATTTTTTTTAAATTTGCATTTGTGAAATTAACTCAGTATACTTAGAGCTTTTAGAAGCGACTTTTTACCGTATACACCTTTATTATATATTAAAAAAATAAATCTAATTTTTTGCTTCCTTTTTTATTGACGTTGCTATCTTAATTAACTGTTTTATAACTACTTTATTTTATAAAGGGCCCATATAAACTTGTTGATCCTAGAATGAAGAAAGATAAGGAAGGACTGAAAAGAGCCTTGGAACGAAAAAAGTTAAGGATTAAAAAAAGAAAATCAAAAAAATAACTTAAATAATAAAAAGCATTTTTTTAAGAAAACACGATACTAAAAGAATTTTTATTGTGTTCCTTGCAAGATTGTAAGTAAAAATTCTTAGAATAGTTTTTTCCGTTGAACAGATTGCCAATAAGCTACAGAATTTAATTTAAACATTAAATCGAAAACCCAATCAAAACCCAATCAAAAATATAGTGCAAATTAAAGCAATAATTAAGTGTGGAATTAAAAAGTACCTGAGTTGGCTCGCATTTCGGGTGTATTTGGAATAAAAAGAAATAATAGAGCGTTAAAAGTTAAGAAACCCATCGTGATTTCCGGTGCAGCCTTAAGGGTATCGTAGAAATCTATCAGAAAAGTCTTCACTCGATTTGATAACTAGTAAAAGTTAGTTTAAAAAACTGAGTATATATAATTGTTTAGATGAGTAATGCTATAGTATACGATATGTATTACTCATAAAGATGTGTTTTTTTTAATAACTTTAAAAAGTGGAGAATCGGTTAGACATATTAATACTTAAAGATTATTTATTATTAAAAAAATGTTGTGTATACAGGAGTGTGAAGTTAAAATAAAAGGTGAAAGAGTTTTTTTTTCAAATTAAAGTTTACGAAATTTTAGATAAAATGTTAAGCAAAAAACATATTTAATGTTTATAAATCCTTAAATAAGGCCAAAAACCTAAAAGCTAAAGTGAAATTACAAAAAAACTACCATGGGCTGCCGACAACCAAGCTCAGCGCGTAAAGCACGGATGCAGCAAGTTAATAAGCCTACCGCAGATCCATAATTTGTGGCTCTAACTCTAAATTGGGCACCACCAGCTCTGCACCGCGTGGAAGGACAACTCGGTCTTAATTGTGTAAGACACGGTAACCTCCTTTTTAGACCCCTCAGTCGCATCTAGCTCAAAGGCCTCTGTAACAGTCCTTTAAAAATAGTTGTGTCTGCTTTGCGTTGCCTCCTCTTTTCCCATTGAGTCACTAACGATTAGATTATGTGGGCGACAACGAGCGCTTTATCCACTCGCTGTGAAAAATATAATAAAATCGTCCCTGCGTAACATTTTACGCTTAATGTGATGTTGCACGGCCTATTATGGTATACCTATCTACTACTTGGGCATTCGGTGCGCATCCACGGTGGCGTGGCAGCACTGCGAGTACAGGAGAATAAACAGTCGCTACTTAGAGCAATGTGCGTTCCGTAAAAAAGATACTTCGTGGCAAATTGGAATCGCTTCCTACGAAGGATTTAAGATCCGTTTAAATGACCGCTGATCTGGAAACTTTTCTCATGTAGGGTTCAACCTCCACCAAGCTTTTAAGGTGGCAGTAAGATAAAAATGTGTACTAAAAAAAAAGAGGTATATTTCCTATTTAATTACTAATTTGACCCGATATGTGGTTGCAGTTCAAAGTAAAAGCCAGGAATTCAAGTGCTAGGAAAGTTTTATAAGTTTTTCTTATCACAATAGGAGTTTTCCTACTCAACAAGGCTTCCTTCACCAAAAACACTTGCTAAGTGTTTTTAAAGTTGAAGAAAAAAGTTTTAGCCCATTTCAACTAAATAATACAAATATGTAAACATACACGCAATACACAACGTAAATTTTTAAAAAAATAAGTCTATCGTTGAGCCCAAGATATTATTATAGTTTAAAGTGGTAGGCGGTATTCACTAATGACGCCCTTAATATAGAGACATGCATTGCAATCTGGGTGTGTTTATACTTTATTTATAAAGTAAATTAACTCTTTCTCTATTTATGATCCGTGCTTTAAAATCTAGTCCATTACCTTTCTAATCTGCACAGAATTAATTGGAGCGTTTTAAGGCTCATTGGAGGTGACCAGTAAATTTTGTTTACAAACATTGCCACCCTATGTAAAATATAAACTACAGACGTAGATTTATACCATAAAGAAATTATACCATAATTTTATATAAAAGAAATAGTATTTATTATCTGCTGCAAACTTCAATAAGTTAGAGAACTGGTGAACTTTTTAGTATCTGGGTTAGGTAATTTTATCAACTTATATAAATTTTAGTAAAATATTAGACTAGCTTTAACGGATTGTGCCTTTTATCAACTGGTAAACTTTTATAGATCTGTCTTTAATCCTGAAATTGAAAATATAGAATGCTAATTATTAGTAAGTTTAAGTAAAAAGCAAAAACAGTTACACGCAGTGCATGAGAATCCAACTTAATTAAACTGGCGCTCCCTTTAAGCTTAAATATTGATATTTCCTTGAATAGGTGTGACCTCGTCGCCCTAAAACTTTCCCACTACAAACTTACAAGGGAGAAAACTTTTTACTTTTTAATTAAAGCAGATTTACAACTTTAATGGCTAGCAGTCCACCTTGACTTTTCAGTATATTTTATTTATGTCTGGTTTAAATAAAGGCTAACTATTAGTTGTCCCAAACTTGCAGATGCAGGAGGGTTATGAATTCTGGAAAACGGGCTTTAAAAGTTAACATATTGCAAGCTAGTAATCTATCGAAAAGAGAGTATGTAAATTTACATTTAAATTTATTTAAGTTTTTAATTTAATGATACTTTCCATTCAATCTTACACTTTCAATATTTACGTAATTGTTTAAATCTATTCACTATTATAATTATAGTTCGTGTTTTCTAAAACGTTTCTATTTTACTGTCGGCTGTTTTTTTATTTCTAGTATTTTTGGAAGTCTTAACGCTTATTGTCGAGTGTATATAAATAATAGCGAGTTTTTATTAACAACTGCAGTCAAGAAAAAAACCAAATGTCCCTACTGGGGAGAGGAGCTCTTCTTGTACTTTTTAACATTTATTAATAAATTGAAATTCACGCCAAGTTTATGTAGACTTGTGGCTGAAAAATTTGACACTCTCCACTTTAAAATATATAATTACAATCGCTTTACAAAAGATGGATTACTAGGGAGTGTTACAGTTAACTTAAATTCCGTTAACATTCCTGAGCCCAGTGAGACTTCCAAATTATTTAGGTTTTTCCTTTTTAAGCATCGTAAATATTAAATTTAGGAGAATTCAGAATTTAATGTATTTTACTTTAGTTTTCCTATACAGCAATACAGTAAAAGCAGTAAAGTTAGAGGATGTTTAATTTTAAAATTTCAATTTATAGCACCTTCGAACGGCGTAGAGAATTTTCTTCCTGCGAATAGGTTTTTTAATTATCGTCATAAATCCATTTTTTAAAAACTAAATTTTTAAATATATTAATTTGTTAAGTGCCCCCTTTTTTTACACCATATAGTTCATTGTTGATTAAATTTTTGTAATTTTATTTATCGTTTTTGATTTCTTTTTTAAAGTTTAATATATCCTTAGTGATTCAAACCTACAACCTTTGCGTTCTGCTATTTGTCCAGCAGGTTTTGTCTTTTTTTCGCTATATTTTTAAAATTTTTTCGACCAAACTAAACTATTTTTAATTTTTTTTTTTTAAGGGCCTTCTAAAAGAATATATTCTACAACTGATCTTGTTGCTCGTGACTTTGGATCTTATGCTGAGGATGAGACATTGTCTGAAGGAAGGTAGGACATAAAAATTTATAGACCTCCACTTTAATATTAATAATAAGCCATGATTTTCTGATCGTTATATCTATATTAATAATTTTGTTATTTTTTTGAAATGTCAATCTTTAGGAATTTAAAGGCTTCTCTATTTATTTTTATAAAGTTTAGTCAAATTTACTATTTTTTAATCTCTTTTGTACTTAATTATATATTTTTTTGGTTTTCTCGTTTTTCACAGTTTTGTAATATTTCTAAAGTTTCAAAAATAATTTTATAAGACTCACTTTTTTTTGACAGTCGTAGACAATATACTTGCTAAAAGTTTTTATGTTTTAAAGGTAACTTTTATTGATTCTGTTAAATCTATATTTTTTAATTTTAAATTTTATTAATTAAATTTTATAAAGGTTCAAAAAACTCTTTTTAAAGAATCTTTAATATTTACTAAAACTATATGATAAGTATAATTAAATTAACTCAACGCCTAAATTTTTTAGCTCAGTAAATTTATTAATATCATTACTATTTAAAACAATCTATGAATTTTTTGATAAGTCATTTTTAATTTTTAGTTTTAATAATAAAATTGAACTATATAATTATAACAATTTTTATTTTTTATTTTTCTAGGGGTGCACAGCTTGATCAAAACGGAATATATTTTGTAGAAAGCGTTTCTAAAAGTACTTCTTGGGCGGTACTTTACTATATGCATTTAGAAAGAATACACAGCTGGATTGTACTTTAACTTCAATTTCATTGTAAAATCACGATTTTAATTCTTAAAATTTAAATTTTCAATTTTATGTTGCTAACACTTTAAAAAATTCGGTTTTACGAGTTTATTTAATATAGAAAATTTATTTTTAAGTCTTGAATTTATTGTACCCAGAATTTTTGATAAATTAAATTTCAGATTAAATTCGCTTAGGGGAATTAAATAACTTTTATTTATTAATCAATTTCGTACTTATTTTGTTTGTTAAGCCAAATTTGCCTTAAAGTTTATTTTACTATTACGTAAATTTACTCTATTTTAAGTAAATTACTTTTTTTTTTATAAGTAGTTAAGCACTTACTAGTACGTAATATTTTCATTACAAAAAAAATAAACCACATTTAAATCCTTCTTGTTATAATTCGCAATTTTAATTAAGGAATAATATCCAAGTATTTTAAAAAACTTATAGTCCAACTTTGAATTATAATTTTTCAGAATTCTTAAAAACAAAAGTAGTTTAAGAAAGCTGGAACAAAGTTAAATTGTCCTTAAATATTTAGTTACCATTATTACTTTCTGCATTAAATTTTTTTTATAAGTTACATTGATTAAAAAGTTTCGTTACCAACTTTCATCTTGTATTGCATTTATTATATTTTATAGTTTTTTACTTCAAATTATATAACTTATTACCAAAAACTTATTTAAAATAGAAAGATTATGCCGTTTTATTTTTTCTTTTTTATTGAACATTTCCAACTTTTCTGTTTTTTTTTTGTTATATTTTCAACGGATGGAGTTATTTTTATAATTATTAAATGAAAGTTTTGGCACTTTTGTATATAACTCTTATATTAGAGGCCTACCCCCAAAACTGAGCTTAAAAATAAACAAAAACTTTGTGACAAGAAACGCCAAAGCCAACAGTACTTTAGATTTTCTTTATATTCTTTTAGATCCCATATTTTTTTATTATTTATTAGTTAATTATTAGTTTTGTAGAACGAGTTTTTTAATATTAATTTTTAATAATCAAGGTTTTTTTTCTGATAAGTACTTTTATTTTGTTATGTTTAGATTTGTAAGACGAACAAGTTTTACGAGCTCTCGAGAATCTACAAAGTAATTTTAATTTTGTAATAAGTATTTTGAACTTCTTGCTGAATATTGCCTGGTGCAACTCGCAGTTCTCTCGCAGACTGTGAATCTTTTTGCCAAGCCGATTCTTTTTGCTGGGAAATGCTCACAACGAACAACAAGGAAATTTCTTTAGTTCAACTAAATAAAAAGGCCACGGGGCGCGTTTCAAAATTACGAGTCCATTCCGTAAGCACGTGTTTTTCTCTTTTTTCTAAAAAAAGCATTTTTTATTCTTCTAAGGAAACTTTGCATCACAATAGCCATGTGACTTCCGGAGATCTTCCGCCGGGCTGGGAGGTTTGTGATTTTTTATTTCAGAGAAAACTTGAGTTAAAATGCAAATTCTTTTTAATTCATTATCATTGTAATTTCTGATCTATGCTATTATAAACTTTTTTTTTACTTTTTTTATGTATTTTTTTAATATGTTAAAAGCTTAATAATAATATTTTTACATGATTAAATCTATTTCACGTCACACACAAAACTAAATTTAATTTGTGTAAATTACAATACTTTTTTAAACTTTTTATTATATTTTATAGTTATTTTGTTGAGTAGAATTCATATAATTTTAATAACATTTTTTGCTAACCTAATTTTTATTACTTTATATTTTCCTTCTAACCCTTTTTGTAAGTGTAAAAGAAAATTTTTTTTAATTAATTTTAAAAACCTTTTATTTTTGCTTAAAAAAATTAAAAACTTTTTTTCGCTTACAAATTGTTTTATAATTTTCGTTATTGAATCACTAGAGATTTTATTTCAATTTTTTTCAATCTTTTAGAAGAGCAAATTATTAAAAAATCTCTCTTTTAGATTAATTTTTCATTACTATAAGACTTCTTGCTACCATTTTATTAGGGCAACCATCTAAAATTTTTATGTAAAAAAGATTACTAAAAAAGCTTTTATTCACTTATAATTTACTTTATGAAACTGGTTTATAATTTATTAACTGCGTAATATAAACTTATTAAACTTATTTTATAATTTTTAATTTTTGGGTTCCACTTGATTGGAGGTTATTATATTATTTAATAAATATTTTTTTAAAGTTTTATATTTGTATAAACTTATCCCACCGTTATTTAAAAATTTTATATGAATTTAAAATTCTTAAATTTGACCTTCTATAAAAAACTTCGAGTCCTTTTTTTACTTTAATAGTTTCTTTTTAAAAACTTTTTTCTTTGCTATACTAATTTAAATATTAAATTAAATATTTAAAGGAACGACGAACGCGTGAAGGGCGTGTCTTTTTTGTAAATCACATCGAAAAAATTACTCAGTGGGAAGATCCACGCCAGCAGAAGAGTCCCGTATATATTCCAGTGTACTAAAAATTGGACCAATTTCTTTTTATATTCTTCTCGTGTTTAACGCTACACGCGATGCAACAATTCAATTTCTTTTAACATTCATAAGCACTTATGTAAACTACTATTTATTTTACTCTTCCCTTTTTTAATTATATATTATTAGTAATTTAATTAAAAAAACTCTAAATTTAAATATTTTAAGTAATTATTTTTTATATATAAGAATTATCCTTACGTTACTCTCTAATATCAATTATTGATCTAAAAAATTCAATCTATTAATTATTTTAATTGTTATTATTAATATTACAACTAATTAGTTTTCGTATTATTACTCCAAAAATTTTATTCTTATTATTTAAATAATTATCTTTTTAATTAATCTTATTTTGAAGATATTCATATTGTAATTTGATTACTTTGCTTACTAATAATTACTGTAGCGGATGAAAAACCTTTTTTAAAAGGTTTGTAATAAAAGTTTTAGTTAGTTTTAAAATCAATCCGGTTTTTTTGGTTTTTATTTGTCTCTTTATTAATTTAAATACGTTAATTGTAAAATTAAACTATATTTTAACTTTCAAATTCTTTTAAAAAAATAAAAAGGTATAACTTTTACTATAAATTAATACCATACAAATATATTTTAGTTAGTTCTGTAATTAATATTAAATTTTAATAATTTTATTTTTCCGTTTTTTTAATTCACTTTTATCAAATTATTATTAACTCAAAATAATTATATTTTATTTTAAGTATTTTTTATTAATAATATTACGCATTGAACTTATACTTAAGCCTTTAATGTTTTTTATTAATTTTTTTTAATTCTTGGATCCGTGATTTTATATATTTAATATATATACAGTTATGCTCGAGATTATAAAACGAAACTTTCTTATTTTTACTCGCATTTAAGACGAAAGGAAGGAAAAGTTTGCTCATTTTTTTCTTTTTTTGATCCATTTTTGTGAAAATAATTCAACTTTAATAAGATTGAGCTTCACGTGTCCCGTGATAACATCTTTGAAGCGTCTTATCGGCAAGTGAAGCGGATTCCTCACGATCAAGTAACTTTTTTGTTCTAAAAATCAAATTAATTTCTAATAGAGGGAAAATTACATTGTTAAAATCTCTAAAAGCTCAATAAAAGATTATGCGTGCATTTTAAAGGCGAAAGCGGATTGGACTATGGAGGAATTACGCGGTTGCACTTTTTTATTGTTTTTCTAGGGACCATTTAAAAAATTATATTAAATTGAGATTCTTATATATTTTTAAAAACTAATTACAATTTTTTTTATATTTAAAATTTTTTTTCTGTTTTTCCAGTTGACCATTAATAAAAAGTCGATTACCACAGTTCTTTATTTATTTTTATAATTGAATATGTAAATTTTTAAATTTTTTTATTGTTTTACAAGTTGATATTTATAATAAATAGTATAAATGAAGCTCTTTATACTTCTTAAAGCTAATTATAAGTTATATAAGTTATAAAATTGATTTTTATATATTTTTATATTATTTATAATTTTTGTAAAGTTTATTTTAATTTACAGTTTTTCAAGTTGATCATTTAAAAAAAGTAGATTAAAAATATTTATAAAAATGTTTTTAAACTAATTTTCATTTTCAATAAATTTTAATTAATTTTTATTGGTTTTTTAATTTTTATATAATAAAAGTAGAACTAGGAAGCTTTGTTGGACTTTTCTAAATTAAATGTAATTTTTTCGGAACTTTTTACTGTTTTATAAGTTTAACGTTAATTGTTTTTAGAACTTAAAAAAGCATTTTGTGTTATTCTAAAACAAACTTTGAACCTCTGTCAAGTTTTATTATGGTTGCTTAACAATAAATTATTCTATTTTAATTTTTTACTGTTTTAAAGCAAACATACTTTTATAATTTTTTATGTTTTGAAAAAAATAATTAATTTTTAATATTATCAGTTTTTCTACTAACCAAAAAATATTTTATTTTTTAATTGTTACATAATTGTTCGTCAGAAGTATTTAGAATTACAAAAATCTTTACTTTTTCAAAACTTATAATTACTCTTTTTAAAATTATTGTATTAGCTTCTCTCCAAAAAGGGTTTTTTAGCCATTTTTTTAACTCATATTGATCTTTTAAATATAATATAAACTTAAAAAGATCTTTGTTACTATCCATTTGTATTTTGTAAGTTAGCAAAACTTATTTATACAATTACAAAAGTTAATTTCTGTAGCTAAAAATATTTTTAAAGTAGGTACATTTTTTAATGGGTAATAATTATCAGTAAACTTTGGATTTTGTGACTCATAAAATGTTATAATTAAATTCTTTTTATTTCGTAACTCGATAAAAATTATGATAACTATATTATGTTTTGTAACTTTACCGAAAGAACTTAGATTTAAGATTAAAAGAAATTATAAATTTGTACTAAGAAACATATCTGATGTTTTTTTTTCGAACAATCATTTTAAATTGTGTTGTAACTGGGAAAAAAATATTATTATAATAAAGGATTTTACTATTAATTTTTCAAGATTTATAATAATTTTTACAGCGAATGGTTTTTCTTACTTTCTCGCGAAATATTTTCACCGTATTACGGGCTTTTTGAATACGCTGCATAGTAAATTTTTTTTTTAACTTTTTTCCCCAAAAACCTATTTTTTTTTTCGGTGCAGTGATATGTGTACATTGCAAATTAATCCGCATTCCGGAATAAACCCCGAACATTTAAAGTATTTTGAATTTATTGGAAGAATCGTGGGATTAGCAGTTTGTAATCAAAATATAATCGACGGTTATATTTTTTCTATGACATTTACTTGAATATTATTTATAATTACAGTAGTGTTGATGAGATCTGCTCCAATTTTACTTTTATTTATAATACTTTTTTACTTAATTATTTTTAATCATAACTGCTATCTTCCTTTCGGCGCTTTTGCCACTACTTTTCTATCAAGAGGTCTTTTAAATTCAGAATTAGACTTATTAATTTTTATTTTTCTCAAGATTTTTTGTTACTCATGTATTACTAGTATGCTATACAACAAATTTTAGGAGGGATTTTTTTTATCTTTAGTCCGCCTTTTATCGCAGAAGTTTGCGAATGCTTACGGGTTTACTTTAAGTTCACTTTTTAACTAACCTTATTATATAAAAATCTAATCACATTCTAACTAACTTTATTACAAACTATTATATATACTTTTATATTGAAATATATCCTTTTGTATAAATTTTAAGTTTACTTTAAAAAAAAATCTTGAAAATTTTGCTTATTATTTTTTTTTATTATATTTAAAATATTAATATATTGTGGATATTAATTTAATAAATATTAAACTTTTTCTAAATCAGCATTCTTTATTCCCCCTTTTTATCGAAAAATCTTGAATAAGCCGATTGAATTTGACCACATCGAAATGGTCGATGCGGAGTACTACAGAAGGTTTTTTCCCTTGAAGAATTACCAATATCCTTTACAGTATTTTTACGTGCCTCGCGTTTTTTATTATAAAATTTATATATATATTTTTCTATTTCTTTTATAGTTTTATTGTTTATTGTTTATATTTATATCTTTTAATGTTTTTTATTATTATTAATTTATTGTTTACTATATTTTTATTTACTTTGTTAAGTCTTCTTTGGATCCTTAATAATGACGTTACAGATAAACTTTTTTTGAATTTCACAGTGACATCAAATAAATTTGGTTTGGTTAGTAGCAGTAATGTTTAACTATATTTACAGATTGCTGTCTGAAGATATTTCTTTTGTTATGAATTTTATAGACCTATGAAGAGGAGCTTAAACCAAACGGCGCTAATATCCCCGTTACCGAAGAGAATAAGCGGGAATACGTTCTGTATTTCACTTATTTTAAGCTTTTTTAACTATAATAATAAAAAGAGGGAGAGAGAAAAAAGACTACTTATAAATTTTTTTGTTATTTTATTTATATTAAAAATTTTTAAAACTTTTTTTTTAATTATTTTGTTAATATCACTTACAAATTATCAAAATATTGCTTTAGACTTTTAGTGGAGCATCGATATTCAAAGATCATCAAAGATCAGATGGAAGCGTTTAATAGAGGCTTCTTTTCGGTGATTCCTTCGGCACTCGTGCAAATTTTTGATGAGAAGGAGCTTGAGGTGTCCATTCAGTTGTTATTTTTTTTAAAAAAAAACAGTTGTTTTACTAAACAGTTTTTATTGCAAATAATATAGTAAATTTAAATTTTTAGTGAACTCTGATTACCGGTAAGCCAATAATAAAAGTTTGCGATCTATGAAAACAGTTTTATTTAAAATATTTATTTTTGTAGTTTTTTTTTACTAAATTTACTATAGAGTTTGCCTTTTGAATATTTAAATATATTTTAAAGTTTTTTTAAATGGAAAACTAACGAATTAAAGTTTGCTTTATAGAAAAATTAATTTTTCTTTATATTATTTATACTCACAAAATTATCAGTATAGTTTTTGCAAAAAATAATTAGTTTTATAGTCTTGAGTTATTTGTAGAGATTTTTAGAACCCGGAAGTTACTAATATAGGATCTTTATTTTTACTTATTTTTTTTTTAATTAATCTTTGTTCATATGAGTTTATTATCTGAAGTTCGTATAATTTTAAATATTTAGTTGGTTATATATAAGATATGCAACTTAAGGGATATTGTATTATTATAATTATTTTTTTTATAAATTTATAATATAAAAATAAAGTAGTTTGCCTACTTTATTTTTAAGTAATGCGATATATTCGTATTTTTAACTTTATAATTTCATAGCTTTACTATCATAGTTTGCAGTTCAAGATTTTAGAATTATATTTAACTTGTTAAACTTTTAAGTATACAAAAATCAATTTTTTTTCTTTATTAAATTTTGAAATACATAAATTTACTAGTAAAAGTTTTTATTTGCTAATAAAACTTCTTTACTTTAAGTGAATTTTTCCTTAATGTACCAGTAAAAGTTGCCATTGATAAAATAATTAAATTTTCTTTAAACCAAGGTCAAGCAATTTTGTAAGAATTTACTCGACAAACTGCTTTGAAAGAAATTATTTATAATAAACTTTTTCTAAAGAAAAAAATTTTTTGTAATAAATTTTATAAATTTACTGTTTAAAATATTTTTAGTTATCAGCATAATATGGAATATATCAGTAAATTTATAAATAAAAAGTTTAATAATAACAATAAAAAAGTTAGTGTGATTTTTAAGAGGTATGAAATTATTTATTGAATTTTATTTAATATTTATTAATACTAACTATTTGTTTGGTTATTTGTATTATTATTTTACTCTGAAATTTTTTAGTAATTTTTTAATATACATTTTAGTTTCTCATTGGCGGTCTTGCTGAAATAGACATTGTTGATTGGAAGATGAATACCGAATACCGAAACGGCTATTACAGTAGTCATCCAGTTATAAAAATGTTTTGGAAGGTACGAAATAGAATTTTTTTTTTAAAAAAAAACATAATAACTAAATGGAATATGTTTATTTATATAAAAAAAGTTAATAAAATATAATTAGTAAAAAATAATTATAGTAAATAAAGAGATTTAATCTTTTATAAAGATAATATTTGTTTACTTAATTATGTAATAATTTACTTGAAAAGTTAATAAATTAATTTATTCAAATGAACTTCCTTGAATGAATTGTATTTGAAACCAAAAAGCAGTAAACAAAATAATAACTTATTAAGTAAATAAAAAAATTTATAATTCAAGAAGATTTTTTACTTTAATTCATTGATAATTAAATGTAAAATATATCATATTAAAAAAATTTCAATACTTTTTTTTATAAAAGGAAAGTAATTTAGAAAAAATTGATTTTTCTAATAAAAAATTAAATTTATATATAATATATTGTTAAAAGATGAATTTTGTTCAAATTACTAAAAAATAGGAAAAAGTTGTAGACTAGTTTCTGATAAATATTTTTAATTTAGGTTTTTATTATTTAAAATTATACTATATAATTAAACGAAATAATTTATTTCAAGAGAATAATTATAAAATCACTTTCGAATTTAAAAAAATTCTGTAATTCTGTATTATTATATTATAAAGTTATTTATTTAAACTAGAGACCTTGACTTTTTGCAGAAAAGTAATATTTAAATTTTTATTTTTTTTACCTTACTGACCTCGTAAATATCTATTTTGAATTGGATTTTTATATAACTTTCAGTTACTAACCAAGCTGTAATAAACTTAAGTTAAAATTCTACTATATTAATAATTTTATTTAACAACAGTAATTAATTATGGAAGCAGTATTTAATTTTAAGAATCACAAGGTTGTTGAAGAGTTTGATAACGAGCTGCGCGCTCGGTTGCTCCAGTTTGTCACGGGAACTTCTCGTGTTCCTATCAAGGGTTTTAAAGATCTCCATGGTTTAGTTTTCTTACTTTCAATTCTATTCTCGTTAGTTTTCTTTGTATTGCTGTTAGTTTAAATTCCTTTTCTTTATTACTCTTTGCAACTTAAATATCAAATTATACTTTTATTAATATTAAGTTTGACTATTTTTAGAAATCAGCTAACTTTATTATGTTTCTATTTACTACTGAAGGCAGTAATGGCCATCAAAGATTTTGTATTGAAAAAGTTAATTCTTCAAGTCGTCTTTGCAAAGCCCACACGTGGTTTTTTATTTATAATTGACTAATTAACTTTGTTTAAAAAGTTTATAATAGTTTTAATAGACTTGATCTTCCTGAATATGAAAGTGCTGATGTACTAAAAGAACGTCTTATATATGTTCTTGAAAATACACGGGAATTTTATTGCGAGTAAATTTATTAAGTTTCGTAAATAAAATCTATATTTCTAATAGGTTATATAATGAAAACTTATAATAATCCTCTGCTTCAAAATTTATAAAAAAATTTTCGCTCTTGTAGATTTTGGCAATTTTAAGTATCACTTTTTTTAACTAAAAGTTAGGAATTAAAGTTATAGTTAAAACGCTTACGCTTTAAAAAAACTTAGATTAGAAAAAAAGGTTAAGAGTTATTCTATTTAAAAGAAATTTCAAAATTCATAAACTTAAATCGATCAACTATTTTGGACACTTTAAAATAATATAGAAATATATAAAGTGTACACATATTTATAGGGTTTCACTATAATATCCAATTTAAATTAATAAAACTAAAAAAATTAATATAACGTACTTTAATATTTTCTTTAGGTAGATTTGTATTTATTACAGCTTTTCGGTTCAAGTTCCGGTAATGCAGAGTAGTAAAGTTACCAAATTAAACACTTAATATAATTTGCATCTTTTACAAGTACACTAAACCAAAATAAAACCAAAAACGAAACCACAATGGCGCGAATGCATTGCCAAAGTTTTCTTTTCATTTGTATTTTTTTATATTTTCAGAAAAAGTTTTTTTATTTCAATTTATTTAAAAAATAACATCTCTCTGTACAATGTTAGTGAGAGAGATAAAAGTTAATCAATTTCTAGTTTAAAAAAAATATTAAAAGTTTATATAAACTAATGTCCAAACATCCCTTAAAAATTAGGCAATTTGTGGATAAGAACACTTTTATTATGCCATAAAAATTTTAGAATAAACAAGTGAAAAAGTTTAACTATCTTTCAAAATATGAGAATTTTATTGCACGGCTAACTTTTTAAACTTATATAGGTATTTACATAGGTCGGAAAAAAACTTGGCAAGGTTTGTAAAAAACATCATCACTTATGGTTGCTTTAGTAAAGTTTTCTTTTAAGTTAAAGATGAGAAATACATAAGAAAACTGAATAGAGCGCCTTTTTAGTTATTGTATCTAAAATGACATCTACTTTTTACAAACGTTAACTTTTCTAACATATAAAAAGCTTTTGGCCTCAAGAAGCTTGAAATGTTTACCTTTTATCATTAATATACGTCCAAACATTTACTTTTAGCTAATAAATCTAAATACAATATTTTCCGCCCGTCTTAAGGATGCAGGAAATCATTTATTGAGCTATCATGCCCTAATAATGACAAGGATATTTAACAAAATAATATTCCTAGTATTAGTTGTTCTTCAACCATCGACAATTTAAAAAAATGTTATGGCTTTAAAATTAAGAAAAAGACCCACCTCTCCAAAGCTTTTTTAAAAACTTATCCATATATAAGACTAACTGTCTTCCAAAAAAAAAAAAATTATTCATAGCACGTTAATGAATAACACGGTTACATATAATAAAGCTTTATTTCATGAATTTTATAAAAACAAGAGAGTATCAATCAAAAACAATTTAAAAATATTTATTAGTAATAGTGACCGCGAAGTGACTAATTACTAACTTTCCCTCGCCTAGCAAATTTGATTCGAGGAGGAGTAGTACTTATGCAGAGGCAGCTATGTGTACACTTTATACAGAATTTGCTCTAATGTGAATGTAGTTTCTATATATTTTTCTCAAAAAACTTTTTGTACTTTGTTAACACTTTTAAATAGAATGCTGGACTCAAAAGAATCTAAAAAGAAGCCTTGTCTTAACCTCCTTTTATACCTTTATACTTTCCCTTGTTATTATCTTCTTTAGGCGTTGATTATTTTAAACCGGAATCATATATAAATTATTTTTCCGAAAAAGTTAATGTTACCTTGACTGGTACTAGTGAAGTAAGAGAATTAAAAATTATAAAACTTCATTTAACTTTACCTTACTACCGACGTCTAACTTTTAAAGAAATACGTTGTGTACAAGAAAGGAGATGAAGGGCCCGTTCTCTTGTTACTTCATGGAGCTGGTTACTCCGGTTTAACGTGGGCAACCTTCTCCGTGATTCCTGTTTATCCTTTTTTTGCACTTTATAATAAAAAGTAATTCTACTACAGAAACAAATTTCACTCTATTGCAAAACACAAATTTTAGCACCGGATTTTAGGGGCCACGGTTTTTTTTCCCTCTTAAATTAAAAAGTCGTTCCATCACTATTTCTTGAATTTAGGTGAAACGCGTACGTGCGACGACCATGATTTAAGCCGAGATCGACTTTGTGAAGACATTATTAAATTAATGGGAACGTTGTTTGAAACTGAAAGCATGCCTCCTTTAGTACTTGTTGGCCACAGGTTTTAAAACTTACTCTTTGCTTTGAAACAATATTAATTTGTCTTGACAATGTGTTTGTATATAACTCAGTATGGGTGGTGCCATCGCTGTGCATCTCGCTGAAAGCGGCGCTTTTTCTTCTCTTTTAGCGGTGGTCATTATTGACGCTATTGAAGGTGTGATTTTTTTTTAACCTTTTTTTTTTATAATTCCTTAAATACAAGTTGATAATTAATATTATGGCAATGATTTCCTTTAATAAAAAACTCACGTTTGGTTATGTTGTTAAACATTTAAATAAATTCAACTGTTCTATAATTTATACAATGATCTTGTAGAAGTCAGTTCTATTTTCAGTCTGTTTGCATGCAGTTTTCTATAAATTATTTTTATCTACATCAGGCACTGCCATGTTGGCTTTGCCGGCGATGAAGAACATCTTACGCTCCCGCCCACCTGGTTTTTCTTCTCTTGAAAATGCCATCAAGTGGAGGTTTTGATTCATAACTAGCGTGTTTAAATAATTTTTTTTGTTTGATTTATAATTATATGTAGCTTTTTCAGTGCCTAAATTTGATAATATGCTTTTATTTATTTATTTTTCTGGTGAAGTGTAATTTCAGGGCAGATCCGAAACTTAGAATCTGCACGAGTTTCAGTTCCTGGACAAATTTGCTTAAACTCACAAATTCCACATCATCAAAAGTATAAAAATAATAAATTAAATTCAAATAAAATAACAATTCCTCTATATTATCTTTGAGAATTTCCATTGTAGACACCAGCGAAGACATCATTAAAGAAGAGGAAGAAGAAACTTCTCAAACTCAAAGTTTAGTTAATTTTCTATACACTTGGAGAGCAGATTTGGCCCGCTCGGAAAAGTTTTGGCCCGGTAAAGCATAAGCGCTGTTATAAAATTTGTTTTGTAATAGGAATTCTTCAATTTTATCTTTTTTTCTTCTATTGCCTTACGCTAACTACGGCAGTAACATGGAACTGCTCGTTTTCTATCTTTAAAGCTGTCCAGTTTTTCTAAATTTAACATTTTTCGTTGACTTTAAATCTATTGTGGCACCTTCAATAAAGAGTCCTTTTTTTTTACTCTGTTTTTGGTTTATATTGCAGTATACAGTAGGATCGTTCCATCTCTCTTATCAACAAAAACTTAAGAGCTTTATCTTAATTTTAATTTACGGAACTTTAAATGGATTTATTCACTTTTAATAAAAATCAAAATTTAAACGTCTTGCTTTGTTATTTATTTTTGGTCGTTCCTTCGCATTAATATTTGGGATTCAGATATTAGACTTTTATAAGATAATTTGAAAGGAATTTTTCGTTACTTATAATTGGTTTTATTATAATAAACTTATTTTAATATTTACAATCAGGATGGTTTCACGGCATTACCGCAAAATTTTTAAGTACAAGTGCGATGAAACTATTGATCGTCACAGGATTAGACAAACTTGACACTGAGTTGACCATCGCACAGATGCAAGGTTCGTAAAGAAAAGTAGTAACTCGTAAAGATTTAAAGCTCGATTATGTAAATAAACTACTTGTTATAACATTTTATTTATGACTATTAAAAAGTTACTTGTAAATTTTTTTTAAAAAAAAAATTCAAAGTTTTATATATATTATTTGCAATAGCATTAAATTAATTTTTTTATTTAAAATTGGGTAGGAAAATTTCAAGTAGGCATCGTCCCTTTTGCGGGGCACAACGTTCATGAGGACGTAAGCAAAAGGTTTCGTCCAATTTAATTAACTAATAACTAAATTTTTTAAGGCACCAGAAAAAGTAGCTGAAATCATAGCAGATTTCTTAAAACGCTTCAAAATCTGCAGCAGGTTGAATAAAAGTTGTAGATGGCCTTCCTAGTATGGAATTCAGTAAAAAGAATAAACCAACATGTAAAGCCAAGTTATATTCTCAATCTCAACTACGACGCCTCGCGCAGAACTTTGTCGTATATTAGCACTAATTTATTACAAAAGGATTTTCCTTTATACCGACCAACAAATAAATTGTAAGCTCTGCTTTTAATAAAACGAAATAATATTAGATGATCATAAACTATTAAATAAAATGATCGGCGGAGTGCTCACAAGTAAAAAAAGAACTTTGAAAAAAATACAAGGTCAGTACTCTACAAAAACTCCGAATTTTCGAGATCCTGAGCAAAATTTGCATCAGGATACGACTTTTACATACAAGCCAGTTGCAATACTTTTTAAGTCTACCAAATACCCGCTACCACTGCACGGCACGGAGCGCATCGTCCCTTCCCTCGAGCGAGCTATACTGCGTGTGAAGCATCCTATTCATTGCTTTGCTGCCCTGAAAACTTTTCCAATCACTAAAAAAAAATAAATCAAGTAACTTACAGAATTTTTGGTGAATGCAGCAAAGTGAAGCACACACTCTAAAAGTTGCAATGCGGAGTGCATCTCCAGTGGGGAGATGCTGGGCAAGCGTTCGTACGCGTCATTGACAGCATCGAGGGACTGATGGCGCAGCTGCCCTCCACCATTCAAGCAGCCTACAAAAAAAATTTGTAGAAAAAGTTAAAAAAAATCCGAACAGCAAAGCCGACCAAAAGGGCAAGCCATGATCTCCACAAAATCGTATTCGCAGCGATTTCTCTTAATTCTTTGCAATATCGTTTGAATGTTCCGGAAACCATAAGCAACAGCAAATCGCAGTAGCACTTTTCCATCGTCCGACTGAAAAAATGTAACCACAATATTTCTAATTACTTACTAAAAAATTAAAAAGAAAACCTGCAAAAGGCATTCCCGGAAATCTTTATTTCTTAGAGCGACCATTTTTACCTCGTTCACGGCCAAACCAAATAGCTTTTGGCTCGCATATTTTAAAACAAAATCGCAAAAGCCACCAGAACCACCACCTTCATGCTTCATAAATCGATCTTAAAAAGAAAAATAAGATTAGAGTTCAGCTGAAAGTCTCTAAGCAGAAAAGGCACGGACATGGTTAAAAAGTGGGACAATTTTTATAAATCCCATATACCACCATAAAATAAAACTAAAAATATTACGCGCTTTCGGGTGCGATGCTGCGTCGCTTGCAAAATCAGAAAAGCAGTCAACCGAAGCAGGAGGGAGAACGGTGAGATCCACTTTATAGTATCCCATTAACTTTTGCAGTTCTTCTATTATATAAAAGTATCACTGAATTAGGATAGTAAAAAATTGAAAGAAAAATAAAAACCAGTTGTGAGAACGCAATCGACGTCTCTCGAGGAATTAACCGGATCGTAAAAATCTGGACGAGTTGCTTCCAATTTTTTATCGTAACAAGGCATCACCGACACATGATAAACACACTCTTTGCTAGTATTACAAGAAAAAGTTATTAACATAACTTGAATTAAAAATGCATTAAAAGTCTAAAAAGAAATTGCAAAAAAAGTTTAAAAAGGAATAACATAATAGTGAGTATAACTTAATTCCAATCTTTTCAGCTAGGAAATTTTTTACTAAAGATCCGGTTATAAGAAGTGGAGATTTTACTATATTTTAAAAATATATATTTCAATAAATAAAAAAATACTTCTAGAAAACTTAAAGAACGGTTTAAAAGTTATAAAAGCAAAATTATATATTCGACACAATAAAAAAAAAGAATAGCGAGACACCAGTGCTTAAGTGCGGTATTATGTAAGAGCCTTGAGTCTTCTCTGCGTAGCACACAAACCCAGGACAAGCTGACACAAGGAGAGGCAATCTGCCTTTGTTAGTCTACATAATTAATCTCAAAAAAATTAGACAAAAAAATTGATAAAAATTTGGGTGCACAATGTAGCAAGATACTTAAACTGAATAAAAATAATAATAAACATTTGCTTCAAAAATGTTAAAGCAAAATAATAGAAAATAATAAACGACTGGCTTCCAAAATAAAAAAAGGAGTGTACCTTGAATGAAGTAATAAACTCTTCGGCCGTTTTTATTAAGGAGAAATTTCTTGAAAAAAGGGTGTCAAAAATGTAATGAACGCCGATATTTTTTAAAAAGGCTGCGATCTTTCCCATCATCTTTTAAAACAAAATTAACTTAAAAAAACGAAATCAAGGAGAACTATACCATTTCAAAGTTGTAATTGTAAAAAACTGCCAAAGAAACACACGACTGAGGCGAAATAGAAAAAACTACAATTCGTTTAATAGCCTAAAATCGTAATATAAAAAAATATTAATATAACAATACGTAAAAATAACAATTAAAAATACTCGAATACTTGAGCCTTCTAAGTAAGCTTTATTTTCATCTAAAACTTCATAGACTGGGTCCAAACTTTGAGCGTTTATTAGAACGCTTTCAGCACTGGTAAGGCAACCACTTCAATAACATAAAATAAGATAAAGAAACAATAATAAAGAGTTACACTTACAAATTACCTACACGCTAAGCAGTCATTCAAATTTATTTCTACTTTACGAAATACAGAACCGTCAGCGACAGAATGACTTTTTACATTTCCGTTTTTACTAGTTTTAACTTATGTAGTAAAGTTATATAAATATGAATTATAATCTAAACTAATATCTAATATAAAACCTGACTTAATGCAATCTTGAGAGGGGTTTATAAAATCGTTTAAGTCAGTAATCCTCAAACCCGTAGAGAATCTCTCCATAGCTTACACGAAACAGCAGAGTGTGAGGGTAACGGTTAGTCTCCAGAAGCACGTGGTCCCTCATTTATTAGTACAAAGTAACGCTTTTCGGGCTCAAATAAGAAATATTAGTATAGTAAAAAAAAAATTTTAATAAATTTTTTGAAAAAAATTGGAAGATAGTAAATATGAGTTCCACATATAACTCTGTAATTTTTGTTTTTATCTCGGGGTCCACTTTATATGTATATTGGTTTTAACTCCCACATTACTTTTATACACAACAAATAACAGGAAATTTCTTAATATTATTTAATATAGACTTTTTGAGTACTTTATTCACATCAAAAAGTTATTTTATGGAAATAGATATTAAAATAATTTGTTTTATATAACAGTATTGAACGTTTTTGTAAGCTAAGTTTTTACGAACTTAGTAATAGCTGACTTACTAATTTGTTAAAAAAAAATGATGTTTAACGAAGACCAACTTACTCTCAATTTTTTTTTAAGTAGGCTTAAAATTGTTAATACTAGTTAAGTTATAGTTTCCAGTCTTATAGGAGTTTAATTATTACTTTGGAACAGTTTAGCTTTGTCAATTTAACAAAATTTAAGAATTGCTATGTAGATATATTAAATTTAAAATCAACTGAGCTTGTGTAAAAAGCTTAAGCTCACCCTATTACTAGAAAACAAGATTAAATGTACGAAAAATTTTGTCAAACGAAACTTTAAGTCATTAGCTTCTTCTAGCAAAGTTATGACTTAATTCTTGCTTTTGTCCACCGATATGAAGAGATTGTTTAAACCTGTCCAAGTTTTGCATTTACCAAACAATGGCTTACTAATTTTTTGTTTAAGGTAATGCCGATTAGACCTTAACATAAGAGTAGATGATATGCGTGAAGGTACCTTGTACAATAGTAGTAAGGCTTAATGTTATGTGGAGCGTGCGTCCCTTTTATTTTTTGGGCACTGCAGCGGAAGCCACCCAGCAATCTACGACCTGCTTATTTTAAGCATATGTTAAGCTAAAAAATTAAAGACAATATTCCCTCCTTTACCCACATTGATGACAGTATTACTAAGAATAGTACATTCATTAACAATGAAAGATGCTTCTTTAAAAAATACGCGTTCGTGGTATTGGATGGAAATATGAAGCCAATACAAAAGGTTATGGTTTTAGCCGTACTTATTAAACAATATAAATATGTGATAAAAACAATACAGAAAACAGCATTTTAAAAGCACGAACAACATGTAGCGTGTGCTGCTGGGGATAAATTTAAGGATTTCCAATTTACATACTACAAATACGATAGGCATCACTACTAATCGTTGAGGCAAATGATAGAAAAATTTTTATCTGTCAGGAAAAAAAATTGGTATCAAATTTAACAGCTCAGGCGCCAAAGCTTCTCTTAAGGGTATGGTTGTGGATCGCTTTCCCGCCTTAAGTTATTCTCTTCATCTTCTTTTGGCTGCTAAGGTTATATACACCACGTATGTTTTTTCCTTTTCTTTCAATTCCTACAGATTATTAGCAAGACAATATATTCGCTGCTCCATATGGTATATGTCATATCCTAAGTTAGTCCAAAGTAATAGGTTAAATTTTTCACTCTCACGCGTTAATTGTATATAAAATAGATTATTGAAGGTGGGACAGCGTTTAACTCACCCTAAAGATCAAGACCAAAAAGACGGTTTTGACCCTTGTTTATGGTACGAGGAATCGAGAGCTGCATGTGCTTATATAAATGCTGCCCATGCATGCGCTGCTACTATTATTTTATCCATTCGTTATTATTTTCTGTAAGGCTACTTTGGAGCTCCTAGAGAGTCCAGTATCAGATAAATTTCTACTGTGTTCTTCGACCACATTCATTATATTACATTAAAGTCCTTAGTAGTTCTTATTATTATAGTATTAAACGTATTGTTCATCCTACATATATTCTTGATGATTACCGGCCTGTAAATCAACACCCTTTAGAAAGGCTTTTTTAATTTATAACGGGCTTGAAATTATCTGATACCAGTACTGCTTAATTTAAATCCATTACCCATACTCCTTAAATGTGTAAGAGTAAACATAACAACACACAACGCAGTATTAAAAAAGCTCGCCTCCGCTACACTGTCAAGCCGTTAAGTCATTTAAATTTTAAAAAAAAATACTTACGAAGATAGGGGTGAAACTGTTATCTTCTCCCGAGATTTAACGCTGCTCTGCCTATATACATATAGAGAGAAAAAACGAAATTTGTGTATAAGTGGGCACCTTGATAATTAGTTCCTACTTCTTTGGTCCATATACAAGGGAAAAAATTAAGTCTTTAAAATAACTTTAACACACACAAAAAGTTTGGTATATGCAATATTCTAAAAGACTTAAAAACTATCAGAATAACCTTGGATGGCCCTAATTAACTACATTATAAATTTTGCGCAGAAATTAACGATTTAGTCTACGGAGTCTGTAATCCTATTTTGTTAACGAGTCATTTGAACCAGTTTAAAGAGACATTTACCACAACTGTACGTACGATTAATGTCGTGGAAAGTTTCCCTTAGTGCAGCTTACACTTTCGGTCTTGGTGATCACGTGCTCTTCCACAAACCTAACCATGTAATACTGCTACATTGACGGCGTATTAAATGCTTAAGCAGGTAAGGCGTACGCTATCAATAGTTTAATATAATGGCTAAAAATGAAGCGTTTATTTAGCCAAGTCCTCAATCTTTTAAAGAATCTATCAACAATATTTCAAGAATGTTTTTTAGCCTAACTGATGCTTCAATGAAGGGGAACCATTAACTAATTTTTCATTTGTGTATACACTCGATACCTTTATTTAATTAGCTTCTGGCTTATTTCCTTGATCGTAAAAGCATATTTGTGCTAATAAATCGTCCACAACTCAAGTGTAGGGCAGTTGGTTGCGCCTTGCCCCCGTCATGCTCTTTGTGCACAGTTGCGGTAAATCACTTCCTTTGCAATTTTGGTCTTTGCCAGCTAAGATCTTTCTATATCTTTGCTTAAGGGCCCCTTGTGCCCACAAAAAGAACCAATATATAGGGCGTTAGAAAATTACTTACGCAGTACGTTTAAGTCAATCAATATTAAAGAAAATTTCAACAACAAAATAAGTGGGTAAGTTCCTTTTAGTACCCACGGAAAGAAGCGCACGCCGACTGTTAACTATATTAAAATATTTGCGGTGTGGTATTGCAACCAAGTAAGGGTGAGACGCTGTTGTCTTTCAAGTGTTCCGTACCAAATAAGCACCAGTACACCAAATCGTTTAGGAGTACTGGGTGTCGCTTACTAAGTGGTACTGGCCCTTTGACGTCGCTTAGACTGCTGTGTGCACGTTGGAATACGTACGGTAGCGGAAACAACAAAGTCGCCTGCAAGCGATTTGGCTAGTGCGGTGCCGCTTAAAAACGACTCGAGGAAGGTCGTATTCGTTTAGTGAGAGGCCCAGCGCTGGCAACTAGTGAAGGAGGCTATTCTACCTAATGCGTTTAAGAATTTCTCGATATGGAAACAGAACGGCTCCTGTAATTTCTAAAGGAAACGAAACATATGAGCTGTATATAATTTAAACTACATTTCCAGCAATATGTTGTGCTTCCTACCAGCCTACTCTAGTCAGTCTCAAATGATAGCCTTGGCAGTTTTTCCGACTTCTAGAAGCAAGCAAAAATCGAGCGATATTTGCAGGGATCCAGAGCACTCGCATAGTCTTAAACACAAAAAGTTTAGCCAATAAAGGAAAAAGGCAATTCAGATAATTCGCAAAACCAGCATGCCCATAGTTAATGGTGCGAAGCGCCCTAGTAATGGGGTTAGTAACCTTGTCTTCGACTTATTCTACTTTGGTCACCGAATTTCTCTATCAAGACTCCTACTTAACGTCTCTCGTGCTTTATTGATGTTTCTAACTCGCTCAGAGTATGATAGGGGAGTTAACACTTTTTCCCCAGAAGGACGTCTTTTTCAAGTGGAATATGCAATTGAAGCAATAAAAGTTTTTATATTTTAAGTTACAGCCACTTTGTTTCTTTTGTCAACAATTTTTTCCTTTTGCGTTTACAGTTAGGTACTACCGCAATTGGTATCAAGACCACAGAGGGTGTTTTATTGTGCGTTGAAAAAAGAGTAACTTCACCTTTGATGGAAGTTAGTAGCGTGGAAAAACTTGTAGAGTTAGGTAAGACAAAGATAATATATATTTAATTAATTTTCTTTTTTGCTAATAAGGCCCACAGATTCTCACTTAGGCTGTGCAATGAGTGGTCTGACGGCTGATGCCAGAACTATCGTAGACCATGCCCGAGTAGAAGCTCAGGTTCGCACCGGCGCATACTTATTTAACTTTTACGAATAATTAATGTTGAAAAAAGAATCACTGGTTCACCTACAACGAGAGGATGAAAGTCGAAAGTGTGACTCAAGGTTATCTATAGGTTTACTTAACCGTTCTTAAGGGGGAAAAAATACGTAACTTTCTTTATAACTGTTTAGCTGTTTGCGATCTTGCTTTACGCTTCGGGGAAGGTTCAGCGCGAGAGGAGAAAGTCATGGTATTTTCACTTAAAGAATATATATTTTTAGCAGTTCTAGAACCCCCTTCCTTTTAAGCAGTTAGTTTTGAACTAACTCAGGTTTTTATTACAATCTCTTGTTGGCAAAGAGTTAGTTAAATTTATCCGACTGCAATTATTGCAGTTATCTTTGAATGGCATTGCACTACATAACAATTATAGCTTAGCTATCACAATAATTAATGCTCTTTTTTTACTTTAATCATCACTCTTTGCTCCGCAGAGTAGACCGTTTGGTGTTTCTTTGCTAATTGCCGGTTTCGACGAAAATGGATATCAATTGTTTGTTTACTTAATAATTTAATAAATCACTCATAACTTTGTATACACATTGTAAATTGATAAAGGTTTCATACAGATCCTACGGGCACTTATTTTGAATACGAAGCAAAGGCTATAGGATCCGGTTCTTTTTTTTTTTAACAACTCAAATTTAATCCACAGTTTTTTTAATATGTGTATTAGGGTCGGAAGGCGCTCAGAATAAACTGCAAGAACAGTACAGCAAAGTATATACTGTTTTAAAAGTTGGTGCGGTAACCTGCGAAAATAATAAATTATTTTTCACAGTCGATGACTTTGAAGGAGGCCGAAGTACTCGGCCTGGAGATTCTCAAGCAAGTCATGAAAGAAACAATTTCAGGCATATTAATATTATAGCATCCCAATTTCCGGCTCCATAATGGCCAGCGATACCAAAATAGATACGAATGTGGAGGTCGCTGTGGTCACCGCCGAGGACGGCTTTAAAGTTTATTCGGTGGATAATGTAAAGGAGATCTTAAATGCCTTGAGTACTGCAGCTTAGCCCGGAAAAGACTACTAATAAATAAAAAGTAATGTCCATTTTAAGATTTCCAGTTAAACAAATTATTTTTTCTAGATTACATATGACTTAGTGCCGCTTTAAACTTCCGATGGTGTATTTTTTTCAAGTTTTATAAAGGGATCTTCAACGCGTTGAAAAACAGCCCAATATTTCTCTCCTATTTTGGTGTATTAAAAAACGACTAAAGCGAACAAAAATAAGCTAACGTAATAAATTTCACCCATTTTGTTATCTCCACCCTGACGAGTTACTTTTTTGGATTCCTCCGAACTGTTTAAGATCAAATCCACAGTGGCATCTCCTTTCTAAAAAAAAAACAAAAAAATTGAGTAATAAAAAAGTTTATTACAACTGGCAACTCACCAAAGACTCGTTTGAAATGCGCATAAATAAAGGATGTTCTGATAAATGTTTAATCTCCCATTCGTATAATTCTGCTACGTCCGTAACTGTGTAAAGTAAACCTCCTACCGCCAAAAAGTAGGCGTAGTCGGAAAGCAAGTGAGGACTTCCATCCCCACAAATAGAAAAAAAAGTTAAAAACTTGAATTTATAAATATTAAAAAGTTGAATTAAAAAAACTTTCCAATATAAACCTAATTATCCGCCATTTGTGTTTAGATTTTTTAAAATGAGGATCCGGAAACAAAAAAAATATTTTTTTTAGTTGACCCTTTTCAAAAAAGTAGGGTAAATATTTCATGGCATTTGCCCTCACGATGGAGATATTTTGGTATTTTCCTGTACTTTTGTTTTGTTCCCTTAAAGCTAATTGAAGACAATTGTAAGCCAAAAAAAGTAATTTTTGCGTGATAAATAAACCAAGTATCTTTTTATGAGCATAGTCCGCAACTTTAGCACGAAGTTCCAGCCCCAAAGATAAAACTTCAGGAAAAGTATCAGCTAGACCAACTTTAAAATTAATATCAGCCCGAGGCACAGTGACTTGAACCTCACAAAAAGAACCAAGTAAACCTCCGTAACCACAACCCACATCCGCAAATTCAACTTTTTTTTTGGTTTTCATGGAATTCTCTTCGTCGTTAAATCTCTCCCCCAACTTGGTAAAAAAAAGGGGAAAATGCTCTGACCAATCCATTTTAGATGGACATGAAGGGCTTAAATGGTAATAATAATTAAATTAGTGTAAAAACAGTAATAATAATAAAAAAGAAACTTTTTGATATTGTGAAAATAAAAGTTTAAATTAAATCAAAAAATTAGGTGAATAATAGTGCAACTGTGATAATTAACAGTAATAACAATTCTAAAGAGTGATCCGCTAAGGGGTTGGAATGAGCTCGCTGCCGGAAGAAGCGTTTTTGAGGTAGAGACATACTACGCCCGAGGATTAGATTTCCAATCCTTACGGAATCAGTATAATAGGAAAGGCCACCCACTCGCCGTTCTTAGCATATGTGGAGTCACGTGAAACTTTTTCTGCATACACTGAAAACACCTAAGCAATTTAAAGCCTTACGTGCTATAAAACAAGTATAATTTTTTTTGAAGATTTTTGGATCTTCTTACTAAGTGTTGCTTAACCATTTATGTCATTCAAATATATTTCACCACCAACGTTCGTTTCTATAAAGTTTGATTAAAACACTGTATATTATGAGTTACCAAACATAGTTAACCTCAAAAGTACACAACAAGATTATATATACTTCGAAGAGCGTCGCTTGTAGTTAGGTTATATATGCGCATAAATAATTTCACCCACGTAAGCTGTTCTCGGGTTTGGGTGTGATGTAATGCTATAAAAAAACGTTTCTCTCTCTCCTATATAACATCTAGCTATAGGCGTTACGGTTAACTTTAAAAGTGGACGCCTTCCTAATATAGGTAAAACATTAGTAGGAATCAAGTTCTTAATTTCTCCATAAATATTAGATCTTCGTAAAGAAGAAATTGTCCTCGGGTCTGCTATAGTACGCCCAGGCCTCCATTAACTTCTTTCGTTAGGCTCTAAAAAAGCTAACAATGGCGAAGGGTTTTAGAATAACCAATTAAAGTTTACATGAAAATAGTAAAAGGAAAAAGGGGATCTAGACTTATAGTGTTATGGCAACAGCATCGTATCAGCGTTTTCTAATGTCTTATTAGATTAATCCGTTTATCTTAAATTCATTATTCGAGGGTTTTAATATATTTAACGCAAACAAGTGCCTTCCGTAAAATATTAACCTTAATTAGTTGGAATGAGTGCGCAATTAATTTTTTTCTCTAGCAGGTGTATAAATTAAACGTTGTCTTCTTGGGAGGAAAGAATTTTGCCATATTACATATAATAGAACCCTGTTTTTACGTGTCTTGAGTTCTGGTGTTCTCAGTTATTGTTCTACGATATTCTTAATCCTATTTCTACGATCTTAGTATCCTTTCTGTCCTCGTTTAGTTTCCTTTTTCCTACATCTAGTTCTACATTCTTTGCTACCTCACTGAGAATCCCTTCTATCTAATATTAGTTACTCTCTACAGTTTACTCGATCACATAATTTTGCGCTTTTTATCTTCATAGAACTTTATAAACGTCTTGGTTATGACGTAGCGAACACACATTTTTTCTTATAAGAGATTAAGTTTACCAAACTTTTTTTTTCTAATATTTACTTTGAATTTAAAAATGATTGGGGACTCTTACCAAGAGAGAATACTTTAATACGTGGAACTAAATACGCAGAAGACCCTTCAAGCCCATGAAGACTTTCGAAGAGATTATAAATTTTTAAGGAGAGCGTTGAAAGATCTTCATTCCAAGCTATATAAAACTCAAGCTAAAGTGGAGTCTCTTCACCAAAAGTTGTCTCTTCAAAGACCGTATTTAAACAAACCTGTTTTAGTTAAAGGCCTGAAGACCTTTCCCGTGACCGAAAATAGACGAAATACTCCCTGAGTCAACTGGGTATTTAACCTTTAGGGCTAAAGGAATTACGAAAGACGAATAAAAGATGTTACTTGCTGCTAGCCTTTTTAGGAGCTCAGCATCTAAATGGTATCCAAACAAATACGCTTTTTTAAAGAACGAAACCTTTTAGGATTTTGTTGATTGTTTAAAATCAAGCTTTTTAGCACCTTTGACGAAGCCAAAGAAACAGAGACCAGTTATCAACTCTACGCCAGAAAGGTTCTGTCGCCGATTATATTAATGGGTCCAACCTTCTAGGTGAACTAGCTTTTAAACAACAATTTTACAGAGGGTTCAAGGATGAAATAAACGATTTCCTTGCTGGGAACTTAGGACTACCTGAAGAACTTTCTAAACTTCAACAGCTTTACATTCAACTTGATAACAAACTGTGATAGAGTGGAAGAAAAACGTTCTTTATTCTCTCTTAACAGGTTTGGAAACAATAGTAGATCCGTTATCTCAGAGATACAGCTCATGGAGATCGGAACTCAAGTATTACATGTTTGACTGCCAAGGAGAGAGCGCACAGACGAATCTCGGCGTATATCTTGATTGACTTGGAATGCGCCCGCAATAAACGGTTAAACTGACTACATAAAAACCCCACTAGCTATTACACCCCCAGACGGCTCGGCAGGAAAAGAACCAATAAACTATGTCGCTGGACCCCTGATCCTAGTAATAGGTTCCCATATAGAGAAAAATGAATGTCTAGCAACCAAATTAGATAAATATCCTGTTGTATTGGGATTACCATGGCATCAAGCCCATAATCCGCAAATGGGTTGGCGGAGAATGTCATTACTTTTCTTTACCCACCTCTGCACTTACTTTTCACAAAGCCCCGAAAAAAGGGAATAAGATAGTTGTTCCCTGGCCTAAAACTAAAGAATTTAATTTTTTATAATCGACATAATTCCTTGATGGGCGGACACTATGGATTAAAGAAAACTTTCGATTTTAATAAACGCTACTTTTATTGGTCCAATACGAGGAACGAAATTCGTCATAAGCCCTGTGGACTTCTCCAACCCTGCTATTCCTAATAATTACTCGGGGAATATTTCAATTGGCTTCATTACAGAACTCCCTAAGTCATAATTTAATTCTGTTATAGTTGTAAAAAGCAGACTATCAAAGATGTGCCACTACCCGTTTTAAAATCTATTACGTCTAGAAAGAGGGTGAGTCAATTTACTTAACCACGTTTTTAAACGCCACGGGTTTCCAAAGAGTACTGTGACGGGCAGGGGGCCACATTTTTTATCCAGTTTTTGAACACAACTTTTTAAACTACTGGGTTGTAAAGTTTATCTTTCATTTACTTTCCATCCAGCAAGTGACGGATCGACTGAGACTGTTAATCTAATTCTTGAGAATTACTTAAGATTTGCCGTTAATTACTTACAATCGGATTGGGTTGAGGGCCTCCCTCTCGCTGAGGTTACATACAACCTCCAGTATTTAACACACTTGGCAAATACAGGCACAAAAGGGCCTACTGGATATCGCCATACTGAGAGATATACGTCTCAAAACGGCAATTAAGGCGCTCCACTAGCTATCCTCCGATAACCTTCCAGTTATTTGAAATAGACGACGAGAAGGACACCGGAGAAGCACCCGCTTTTTTTTTTTTTTTTGATTACTAACTTGGGCTAATCTGCTGAGCTTATAGCAACCATTCTTCCACCTTGTCCTTCACTACCGTCTACATCCCCTCTCCTGCTGGATGATGCTGTCGCCTTATTCGAGGTCCCTCGCTCTTTTAACTTTTAGAAGGCGATAAGCGCTGTCTTCTTTGACGAATAAGCATTTGGTCATGTTTAGCATGAAGGTCTGCTGTACAAACTGATCACGTTTATCCGTTCCTCATGGCCTTTACAAGTGATGAAGTCATATCTCTATGGTCGCATCTTCAGCGTGAGCGTGGGTTATAAATAGCCGCCTCTGCGATTTTTAACAGAAGGTGTCCGGCAGGGTACCCTTCTTTTACCCTTTTATTTGCAATTTATATGAGCGACGTGCCCTTGCTATCAACTCCACACACCCGACTCGTCCTCTACGCGATGATACGGTCATCTACCCTCCGTCGAATTCTCCCAGCTTGCTATGCCAGCATCTAAGTGCTATTTTTTTTCTTGATGCACTTGCTGACTGGTGTAATACTTGGAAAGTTTCTATAAATGCCAGGAGGAGCAAAGAATTTTTAATTACTAAGAAACGCGTCTCTTTGTTGGCGTCCTTAACCTTTGATAGCGTGAAGGTTCCGTATTCAGAAGCTAAATACTTGGGAGTCATCATTAACAACAAACTTTCCTGGCAGTCACCCGTGGAATATTTAGTGGCGAATATCAAGGTAGCAACTAAGGCGCTTTACCCTTTACTATGCGGCAAGAGCAAGCATTCTCTGCGGAACAAACCCTTTAGACGTCCTCTTCCAACGTAATGTCAGTTGCCCCTTACGACAGACTAGCTAGCCACACTAATCGCCTGCTGGTGAGCGAACTTATTACGAGCCATGGGGCAGGGTACGTTATCGCCGTCTCCATGACGCGCGTTAGCGCTAATTTTTGTTTGTTAATGTCAAAAAAATAGTAACACCTTAATGATTGAAAGCTATTATGTAACATGCCTGCGATCACTCCTAATTGGGAGCTTGAGTATTCGAAGTTTTTTAACTCGATTCGAGCACCGAGAGCTGTCATTTATGAATATTAACAATACAACTTCAAAAAGGACTCTACCCTTCTAGGCGAGGAGCTCATAAATCGGGTAGTCCTTGCTGGCAGGTGTCCAGATGACCTCCGCTCTTGTGCCTAAGGCTGCCTTTCCCGGTGGTGGTTTTTAGCGGTTTTCCATCACACTAGGCCAAATGGTGGGAGTCCGGGCCCGATATTTTTCGCTTTTTCAGTCTTTCGAGACAGACATTATAACTCTATAGAGAGGGCCCGTGCCCCTACCCCTGCAGGAGAGGGGAACTCAGATAAGCGCCTTAAGGTCTCCTATGGAGACCGGCCTTAGTATCCCAGTGCCTAAAAAAAAAGAAAAAAAAGAAAAAAAAAAACACCCGTCTTTTTTGTTCTCGCTTCTTTGTTGTTAGTGCTATGAGCTTGCAACCACTAAACGGCAGATTTTTAAAAGGCGGACCCACCAAAGAAACCGCTGTCCTGTGAAAGAAGTAATGCACGTGTGGATATCTGTTTTGCTAAGTGGTGGTAAATCACCGCCAGAAAAGGTGACCACCTATAGTTTTCCTCCTCGGGAGAACTAATACCTTTATTGAAAATTTTTGTCAGTAATACGATTTACACCAGATTATCAGCACTCTTAATAACCACCCGTAACTTACTGGAGTATATATATTCTTAGCAATTTTTTTTTTTTTTAATAAAATGAAAACTAGATATTGGCGTACCCTTTTTGATTGAAAGGGCTAAATTTAAGTAATGCTTATAAATAAATGAGTGTGACGCACTATATTTAAGGTTTTAAAATAAATATAATACCCGATACTCAGAGAATAATTGTACTTGATTGCCCTTTGGCTAAACATCTTCACGCTTAATAAGATATTTAATCAATTGATCCTACAGCCAAAGCCTCCAGCACACGCAAATAAAGAAATTGAGGAAAAGCAACAAAACAAAGCCCGTATGTTCATCGTTTTGTAAGCGTTGAATGTGAAGTACTGAGGGCTCCTTTAATAGTAAAAAATAACCTAATAAAAAATGAATACAAATTAGCTTCAAGATAACGGAATTTAGAAAGAAATATTGAAATAAACAACGCTGCGCTTAACCAACAACAATTAACTGAATCTAATTTTACATTTTACGCAAAAAGCAGTAAATAACAGAATCTTTTTCTGTAAAGTTATAAATATAAATAAACTGGCTAGTTACTTAAAAACACTAATCTCTGTGACTCTATATCCTCTCTCATCGTGCTTCCTTTTTGTTTTTGATATTTATAAACTGCTTCATCCATTAAAAAACGACATCCTTCATCTATATATTACTAACGATGATTTCATGAAGAAATATTGTGTATAATTCGGAAAGGATTAATAAAATCATTTCTCTAATATTTTTTTTCAAAGTAATATAAAGACCTGCTTATTCATTCCTTTTTCATGTAGCATATTTAGTGCTCCTTATCATGAACGCTACCAAAAAAATCTTACTGATCTGTAAATGTACGGTTTTAATTATCTAGATAGCTTTCAGTGTTTGCGTTATTTTTAATGTGCTGGCGACGTGAATCTGAAAGCGTTAATATTTAATTTGCATTTTTACGAGGTGCCCGTTTTCATGAATTTTCGTTTTACATGGGGCCCTCGGCGTTCACGGTGCACTACTACGGTCAGGACGTGTACTTAATATTTAAAGCGCAAGGTATATTCAATACGCACATATGAGTAGTAAGATAAGAAGCAAGTTTAAAAATTTTTTATCCAACTTTAGAGGCAGTTACTTTAAGAAAGAACTTTCGAATAATTGGAAGCCCCTTGGGGACTCATCCATGTTTCCCTCAACAAAATGACTTTCTCTCATTACCTTTAAAGCTCCTTCCTGAACAAGCTTACGTTTTGGATCAATTAGGTTTTTTATTGTTTTATTCATTTTATTGTTATTTATTAATGAAAATAAAAGACCTTGAATTCTCCTTTAAAAAAATAAAATACTCTACTTATTACTAATCGAAAATTAAAGTAAGCGGTTGCAAAATAACTTTTTTTTAACACACAACATCTTTAGGTGCCTTGTGCTTACTTTCTGAAATTGAAGAAATGACTTTTAAGTTAGATTCTACTTTTTTTGGTTTTTTTAATTTCTGCATAAGTTATATACAAAATGAGCTTTCTTTTTAAATATTTTACTATTTAGCGTTTGAGTCCTTCCTAAAGTAAAGATCTAGGATTTTTTCCCTTTTTATACCAGTTTTATATCTTTAGCTATTATCGGTTTAATACAAGGTTTATTAAAGTTTAGTAGTAAAGCTAAAATTACATTTTCGGTTTAGGAAGAGGTTAGCGTTACTTGGAGACTCCATATTTTTTGTGGAGAAGTGATTAAAATCAAAAGGGAAGAATATAATACATATCAAAGGCTGCGTCTTTTAAATAAGATCAGAACTCAGAAACCTGAAAAAGAGTTACCTTCCTTTTCATTTGGAAGGGGGAGAGCCGGCAGTTTTTATTTTGAGACCTCGTAAATGCTGCGTTAAGCTTTTCACAATAAGCTAAAAAGAGGTTAGGGGCGAGAGATTATGCGCATTCTTTTTTTAAAACCACCAGAGAGTGCTTTTTTACTGTATATGCACTCCTTTTTTCAAATTTTTGAGTGTAGTGGTTTTCCCCTTCTTCCGTTTTTGTCAATTTTTTTAATTTTAAAAGTTAAGACAGTTTATAAAAGGTTTTGATAAGGAGACTGGGATTGGGCCCGAGGAAGCCTTGTGTTATTGGCCCTCTTGCCCGCCCGCTAGCCAGTCCGTATATATTAGACTTCTTCAACTGCTTTGGGGATAACTTACAATTCTATGCTACTAAAAGAAAGGTTCTCTTGGCTGATTATTACCCTGCAAGCGGCAGTGAGCGTCAGAAAGCTTTCCTTTTTTGCGATCTTTGGAAATGTAATTATTATGTCTTGTGTGGAATCAAGTTTGGGTGCACTTATCTTGCTTACAAAGGTTTGCTCTTTATATAGATTCCTTATTAATTATTATGGTTCTAGCTTTTAATAATGGAAGACGATCCCGCTGTTAGCCACGCACATTTTATGGTCACGGTTGTTGGCTACGACCAACCCATCAAGTGTACCGATATTATGGGGTTACTTTTACTTTATTTTTCTCTATATATCACAGTAACGACTCAGGTTTCATTCTATTAGAAAAACTAGACTAGCCACCACTGTCGGGAAGCGCCACATCTTCGGCTCAAGTACTTTCGGATAATTGCCGTTTACAGAATTTATTTTGAATTTTCTTATTTCTGCACAGTCTCACCTTTGGGTACGGACGTCTTATATATATGCATAGTCCGGCCTTCCTTCGATCAGAGGTTGGATCTCGACTGCGACTAAGTCAAATCAGTTCAGGATTTGCGCACTGAAATTAAAACTACCTCCGGATGCTTGCATAAAAAAAAAAATAGGCTTACAACACGCGGTTTCAACGACAACAAGATATAGATTGTCGCCAATACTACCTAAAGACACCTTCAGCTTGCTACTGCTTTATTGTATAATATGCCAATTCGAGAGGCCAATATAACCACAGTTATTTTGCACACTAACTTATAAGTAGAGTCATATCTTATTAGAAGTTACCTCAATTCTTAAAAGATAAAAAAAAATACTATAATAAAAAAGTGGGATATGCACTACTAATTAATATTTAATGTGGCGCTCTATGGCTTAAAAGAAACCGCTGGATTTTTATGTAAGGATTTTAAGAAAAGACATCAAAAACACTGATATATCCCTAGAAAATTTCTATGATTTTACAGAAAAAATATTGATACTATGGTTGGTATATATGGCGATAATTGGATAATACTTGGAAACGCGGAAAAGTTTCTTTTAAGCCATGCAAAAGGTGTATGATATGAAATATAATCAGGCCGTAAGTAACTGGCAGTAGTCGGGCCTCTCCTACGCTACTACATTTTTAAGCAAATCTTTTCTACAACACCATTATACATAATAACGGCAGAAAAAATTTTAGAATACTTTTACTAAACTGAAAACATGCGGGCTCCCTTTTTTAACTCGATTACTGAAAAAAGAGCAGTATATATTAATAATAAGCTCTCGTTTGCTTTTTGCGCTGATAACTTGACATGCGATCCAAAGTAAGATATATATTTCTTATTGACAACTCGTGCATTGGCACTCTAATATTGTCAAAAGCAAAATACGAAAATTTACATAAAGTCGAGATATAGATCCTCGGCAAGGTTTAATGCCTCAACCCATAGCTAGAGATAGTACTATTTTATTACAGGGAAAATGAGACTTAAAAGATTATACCACTGCACAGAAAGACAATTACTTCATAGAATATGTACTGGTTAAAGGTGTAGCAAATATTTTTTCCGAAACTTTATCCGTTGGGGTTATAGCAAATTATTGTAAAAGCCATGTGACTTTAAAATTAAGAACATGTTTTAGTACACCAAATATTATTTATCTCGCCCATGAAATTACATACAAATGGAGATATAATACATAGAATAAATTTAAGTACCCAGACTATATTTTATGTTCCCTGCCTGAGAGCGAGACCGCGTTAATACCCCCTGCAACTAATGCTAACTCCACTGATAATGCCCCGATAGCTACTACTGAGCAATAGCAAAGACCACAACAGACAATTCGGCAACTGTTTAGCTATTCTGACGACGAATCTTCCCAACGTTTTCGAGACTATGAAGGGCTTAGAACCCGTTTGTAATGGCTTCTAACCCTCAAACGAGTAACTACTTCTGATTACTGTTCTGGATTGCGGAGAGTCCACAATGAAGAACACGAGTTGTAGGAATTAAAGAAAGCGGAAGAAAGGTCTGCGTCGTCAGCGAAGAGCAGTTCTTCCCAAATGTTCCATTTAACTTTTGCAACTTACTATCAAATAAACGAAGAATTTAACACAGTCCAATAGCATTGCCACCTCTGGAGGGTATTGAAACAGTTGGAATTACCCTCGACTTGCCTAGATAGAGGCTCGTGACTGTATCACTAAAGCTCTCAGCAAACCATTCGCATCGATTGACTTTGACGCTTTTTTGTGCATGACTCTTCAACCTTCAATGCGGAGAGTTTAGCTGCAAATACTCCGCTGGCACAGCTGGATAGTAAACCAAACGGACAAACCTTCAGTGCCTACACTGAAGACGCCGAGTGAAATTTCAGAACCACTGCTGCCTACACACGTGGCGAGGAATTCGTGCACAACGAACGTATACTAAATATCACCATCTTAAAGAATTTGACTTCCAACAGCAATTGAGGAGCTGGAGGGACTATCATCGGATCGCTACCCTGTCCTGCTCGAATTGAGCGACGAAAAAGATGCTTTAAAGACATACCATTCTTTTTTTTAAATTGCAACATATAAACCTGATTGCTAAAGAAGGTAGCTCCGTCGTTTTCCCGAGGCTACTGGAAACTCTCGCTTTACTAAACAAAGCTGTTACCGACTTTAAGGGTGCGACGACAACCGACAAATGAAGTTATGTACCGCTCTAACCGTTTTCCTTAGGAGCTAAAGGCTCTAATAAGCGACGGCGCCTCATCCAGTGGATAAGGCCTTTTTACGCATTGAAAACAAAATGGTGCTAAGTTGGCTTTACCGGCTCTTCAGAAAAAGGCTGATGGCGCACCTAAATAGATTATGTGAAAACTAGCTGAGCGAAGTATCGGAGACTGGTAACAACGGTCGCCCTCCTAAAGAAAATTTTTTTTGGCTAGTGAGCCATCCCAAAATATACCTCGGCCCAAACTTCACAAGGGCAATATCATAAACAAAAGCGAAGACAAAGTGGAACTCTTTGCTGAGCACCTTGCTGTCCAATGTTCGCGGCAGACTCCTTTACTCGTCAATAACAAGTTCCTTGAACCGAGTTTATTATGGCTAGTACAACTCATTTTCTAGAGTTGTCTACCACAGGTAAGGCCATATCAATCCTCAAAGTGTTACCGAGGCAAGGCGTTCTACCCTGACAGTATTACTAACTCGATGTTAAAACAACTACCGTGGGCTACCATGACAATTTGGTAATGGTTACCGGCATTTTCCCTACGCGATGGAAAAAGGCGGTAGCCTTGAAGTTACCCAAGATAATGCAACTGTCATCAGAGCAACGTAGGTATCGACCCATCAGCCTTTTGTTGGCAGCTGGTAAAGTAACTAAAGCAGGTATATTAATTGTTGAAAGGAACTTGTGGACGCCCGTAAAATTTTGCTGGTGTCAGTTTGGATTTTAAAGGGCCACTCAACGACTCCGCCTACAGAGTGGACAACGCTGGCGTTCAATTTTAAGAAGGCCACTGGCGCTGTTTTTTTTACTTGGGAAAAGCTTTTAACAGCGTGCTATGCAAGCTGCACGCTTTGGTACCGCGCGGTCCTCCAGACGGGCTTGAGTCGTATCTAAATGACCGGATCTTCAACGTGTAAAAGGAAGATACACTGTCGCCGCCTTGCCATTTGCAACTGAAGTCCCGCAGTACTTGCTTCTTTAATTGCTGCTATTTGCGCTTTATAAGAGAGATACAACTTCCCCAGACCCGCCTTTACACGTGCACACCGCTTTATTCATCGTCAATTCATCCAATTTACTAAGTAAGCACCTACATCTTAGTCTCGAGCGCTTACTAGCTGTTGTCATCATTAAAACGTCTTCATCACCAAAGGAAAGAGCAAGGTGCCTCTTGTAAAAAAAAACGCCTTGCACTGCCGAGACGATTAATTTTCAGTGGCATGAAAATTTTGTGGTGTGCTTAGGTGGAATACCTGGGATCCTCAGATTAAATTGTGTCGTCCACATGTGAAATGCGTGGTGAAAGTACGCTTTCGACTTTACTGCGAACTACAGTTTAAGACGCTAATCACAGCTTCAAAAGTAATACTACCGCCTTTACCAAAGGATAGCAGTGCTAAAGTGCTCTACACGACATACTGTTAACCAACTTAGTGTTATTGGATCTGTCGAAGTACTTAGCACTTACCGATTAGGTTACTTTTTTATATTTGTCAACTTACCAATTTTGGGAAAGTTTAAGATAATTATTACCATTTTAAGCTGTATTCACATTCAGTTCTCGTTATTTATTTAATACCACAGAGTGTATACTTTTCACTTATTAGTATTTATAGAGGTAATTATGTCTATTTATTATGATAAAGTTACGTATATCCTCACTCTCGAGTTTAGGTACTTCAAGCTTAGTTGTCCCAATTCATAAACACCTTATTTTATTTTTAGCAGCTTTCTTAACTATAGGGTTTTATATTAAAATAAAAACTAATAAGCATTACTGCGCAGAGGGTAATAACTTTGCTAAATGCTGTTAAATAACCTACTATACCTTTTAACTCTTAGGAAAATCCTTTACAGATATTGAAATAGAGCAATATGAGGATCGTATAAGAAAATATAGTTCTTGTGATAAGGTTCTATTCTTATTATAACCTGCTTTATTTAAATTATAGTAAACTGGATAAAACAATTAATAAATTTATATAATAGAGCCTCCACGTTACTGTGTTTAATAGTTAAATTAAAAATAACGTTAAAGCTTTGGAATATACAGTAGTTAACTTAATAAACGGTATCCACTAATTTTAAGCTATCAGCAATATCTTTTAACGATACTTGATAACTATAATAGACTTTAAACACCTAGTTAGAGCATTTCACCTCCCCCAAAAGCTGTCAAACTTTTAAAAGGCAAAAAGTTCCCATAAGAAAATATATTGCTTACTAAAAAGCAAATACTACAACTATTGGAACATTTTATTATAAGGTTAAAAACTATAATAACCATGCAGTAGTATATGTGATTAATAATAGCAAAACTTTCCTTCTCGATGACACTCGTTCTCATATATTAGATTTAATTACTTTATAACTAGCAATATAATTATGTATATTACCACCTTAACATCTGAAAGTTAACTCATAACAAACAATAGCGTTTAATTTCAAGCCAGAATAATTTAAAATAACTATTTTTTACCGATATACTTGCCCAAAACTCTTAATGCGTCCCAAAAGATGACTAACGAGACTAAGAGTACGAAACTCACCGAAGTTACTCATTAGTGTACTTCTGCGTTTCTCGCTGTTAACGTAGCCAATATAAAAGAGGAGGGGATGTCGGCAGTGTTGTTTATAGGCTGGAGAGGTTTTATCGGTTTAGTAAAGAGTTCTTTTTTCTTTTCTCTACTTGTAAATAAAAATTAATGTCCCGTTCTACGGCTAACACCCTGACAGCTAACGATTCTTACCCTAGTGCTTATGCTTTAATACGTTATAGTTTATCGAAGTAAAGTAAAAATTGTAAGTTTTAAAAAATTTTAAAATAGGTTTCAAACGTAGTTTGTTAATATATGTTTTCTTTTCTTTGCACGCGTAAGGCTTTAGTTTATATACATAAAGAACGTTTACAATATAAGATCAAGTAATTTTTCCCTAGTATTTGGTCTTTACTAGGGGTTTTCTGTACCAAAGTTATGTAGTTTGACTTTTCACTCTTATCGCAAATATTAAGGTGTTTCGTTACTTTGCAACGATTGAATATGATGGAAAAATCTATATGACCTTAGACGACATTCACAGGAGTCTCTTCGGGGGTAATCTCCAAAATGCAAGTAACTATTTTATGTATTACAATAGTTTACCAGCTAATAGTTAAGTTAGATTGTATAAACCTATTTAACGCTGGTATGTCGTCACCTTTCTTCTTTTGCTTTAACTTTCAAAAGTTTACTTTTAAAAATAGGTTCATATAAAGATATTTTATAGTTTCATATATAAAAAAAATTTATATTTATTTTAGAATTGCGAACTGACCGGTTTAAAAAAATAACGGCAGAGGTTTGGCAATTCCTAATAAAATGTATCATGACTTAGTATCTAAAATTTTATAAAAACTCACAGGATTTTCAGAAGAGGATGTCCGACACACGCCCAAGTTGGTTTAATAAAAGCGCCGACTACTTTTCAAGAAATAACGACCGGTTAATTTCGCAAGCCGAATATTTTTTTCTTAGAAGCATGCTCTCTTGTGAGTTCTTCAAGCCCTTTACTGTTACCTCGCTGCCCGTTCATAGTTATTTTTCTTTGATACATACGCAGTACCGCCTGCTAGTGTAGAAATAGCCTTCAAAATGTTAGACTTGGACGATAATGGAATGTTAGAAAAGTCGGAATTTCTGCGCTTCTTACGGTACGTGACCAAAGTCGGAACGGGAGAAACGGGCCCCAACACCACGGAGGTGGAGTCCTCCTTGGTTTCTTATCTGTTCTCCTCGGTAAAAGTCGTGTCTTCCACAAAAATACAGACCTTCACTACTTTAGTAACTCTATAGGAAAACAGCATCAGTTACGGCGTGTTCCAAAAGCTGGTCACAGATTTTCGTCATTGTCTCTTGAATAAAGAGGTACAAATATTCTATAATTTTCTAAATAGCTATTACAGTTCTCTAGTACAACCGAAGGGCAAAGAATGGAAAGTTAAGCGTTCGCGACTTCGGTAGACTTATTGCCCAGTTAACTTTGGGTACAGCGGATTTGAGTATTAAAAATAAAATTGAAGCGTTAAACTCAGATAAAGTACAGTGCTCTTTTTAACTTTATAATCAGCAAACTCCAAACCTCCCCTTAATATAGAGCATCACACAAGAAGAATTTTTTGGATTTTACGACTTAGTGGCTAGCGCTAACTTACTCGAAGATGCCTTGTCCATCTATCTCACCCCGAAGGCGGGTCTAAGCAAGGGTGCATCTATGTACCACGCAATGTCAGTAGTAACATTTGTAAATTTTTTGCCACTGTAGAAGTGCTTCAGAGGGCTTGTAAACTAGTGTCCAACAGGGCGACGTCGGAAGCCGTCGTCGATACGATGTGCCATATCTTTCAGAGTGAAGGTTGGTGACCGCGTGCTCTTCAGTTGCTCAGTCGTGTAACTATTTTACGTAGAGGATGGTAGTATCTCTCACAGAGAACTAATAGAGGCGCTGAAAAAGCAGAGCCGAATTGGACAAAAAGTAATCGCCAGTCATTTTTTATAGTAAAATAAGTCGATACTAAACTCTAACGTGCAGCCACCCGACCTCGGATTCGAAAGGGGCGTCCGCGCCTTTCTCTACTGCTTTAAAAAGCAACTGGAGACCAAAAGTCTCTAACAAAAAAATATGAAAAAAATAGCATTCACTTTTAACCTCGTGTTCTTATACATTAATTAAACGAGTGCACTTTTATTTAAGCCCGCTCTGTGATTGGCCAGACCATGCGACGCATGTGCTAGTGTAGCTTTCAAATTGTTGTATATCCAGCTCCAATAGGGCGCATGGGCAGGTAAGCTCGTAGTAAGCCAGCACCTCCGGATGTACGATGCCTGCAAATGGGGTTAGCGAGCAATAAATAAACCGTTAAAGGGTTACCCAAGCATCCCATGTGCTCGCCTCCTACGTATACGCGCGCGCTGCGTCCGGGAAGAAGAAAACTTTCCTCTACAGAAGTGACTTTGCTGGTACCCACCAAAATAGTGCGTGCTAAATAAATACTCAGTATACCATATTCACTGACGTAATAACCGCTACGGGGATCGACCGTGGTCTGCGGAAACTTTAGCATGGCCATGACTCGGTCAAGCATTCCCTGTATAAGCTTAAAATTTTCCAGGAGGCAATTAAATTAAAAATGAGGCCAATGGGGGTCAATGAGAACTACAGGTAACCTCAAGACCGGAAAGAGTGCCAAAATGGATTAAGCAAAGGTGTCGCCGATTGCTACATCCTATTTCTGAAGTCTCATTTTTAACCACCACGTCAGAGATTTCAAAAAGCTACAAATATTAACGCTACTACATGGGATTCGTCTGTGGTCATTCAACAAGATACCATGATGGGCTTAGCATGAAATTTATTGGCAGACACGGCCTTGAGAATTCCAGGGACTAGGCTCGGGCGGATAATCTAGATTGAGGAGTCTTAATAAGCGGACAGCAAGCCCATCAGCTGCATATGACCTGAAAAACAGAAGCGGCGGGCTTGTCGACTTTGACGGTCACTTCCCCGGAGTCTGCCTTTAGTAAATACTTAAAGTACTCGTCGTGAGAAATCTTAGCAAACAATAAATTCAGCAGCGCACAATAATTTAAAGTGAACGTGCGTACGAGGGAAGATGTCAGTACTTCCGTAAAGCCAGCCATGGCACACTCTAAACGAAGCAGGTCGGTCAGCTTATTCACTGGTAACTGCTGTCCAATAGTGCATGTGCGCGGGTACGTTTTGCATATGTTGTTATAGCCTAAAAAAGATAAGCGCCGGGAAGTACTACGTGTTGACTATAGACCATAAGCAATGGCCACATCCTCCATTATATCGCACTTATGCAGTATATCCGCCCGGGTGGGAGGGATTAAAACGCTTAGCTGATCGTTATGAACTGCCGCTTGAAGGCACATTTTGCTCAAGAGAGTGGCAATTGCCTTTCAGAAACTCGAATATAAAAACAACAAGGTCAAATTTTGGTTAACGTACCGAAGCGCTGAGGGTCACGCCGATGTGCTGATTAATATAGTCCACGGCGATCTGACATGAAAAAATTAAGCCATTAGCTTTACTAAAGATAAATGATAACTACTGTTTCCTCACGGCAAGACATAGTGTATATTTGGCGGGCCCCATCCGGATATAAAACTTCAACAGACTCGTAGCTTAAAGAAAGTTGGCATCAACATCAACATAAGCCAAAAACAAGCTAATTACGTAAAACGGGGCTGAGAATATTGAGAAAACATGCAAATAATGGTGTCCAGCACGACGCATGCCCTGACGTAGTCGGTCGCGGTGCATTCAATAAATACGTTTCTTGTTTCTGTGGGCATTATAGGCATGCAACTGCTGATGCTTGCAGTACAGGCGATAGCTGATACCTGTAGAAACTCTCGAGTGCTCCCCGTTTATTATAGGCGGTAGCGATAGTACAACCCCTTCACTATCCAATAGTAACTTTTATAAAAGTTCATAAGCCCCTCACCGCAAATAATAGTGGGGGGCGCGATATACAGGATAGCAGGCCATGTCCTCAATAATATGCAAATACTTCTTCGCCTTGCTTCCTCCAACTCGATAAAGGGAAAATAATTCTCCAGGGCTCATAGACTTATGTTGCTCAAGCGCTACAAAGGAGATAGCCGAGGGAGGTCGGGCCTGCGACAAATAGAAATAATTCTCCTTTTACTTTTCAAGAGGGTATATGAGAGTCGCATGATAACCTCGTATACGAAAGGAGGCTGAATTTTATCAAAGTCGTGGGTGCCAATGGAAACAAGTGTACGTTCACGACCAATGTTTTGGTGAAGCTTATCTTGAAGATTCATAAAACTTTTAAGAGTTTCTTCTGTAAAAGACAAATTGCGAAGTATAGCACAAACAATGATCGGCCTAACAGAAAGAACCTCCCCACCGAAGAAAAATGGTATATAAGTCTTGTGGAATAAAAAATATTATATAATCCAAAAAAGTACCGAATTTCTAACAAGACACTGAACAGGAGTTTCTGTCTTAATTTCAGTGTAAATGGGCGGGCTTTCCTTATTTAAAAATACTCGCAGAGCGCGAGCTAAACCTTCTAAGCATAACAGATCGTTCCTATTAGCGGGGACTGCAATCTTATAGGTCACCTAATAGGTCCATAGTACAATAAAAATTATATTACTATTCCTCAATAAAAGTAACTACTCCAGGGTAAAGTATCTTTTTTTTGATAACCAACAAATATGAAAATGTAAACTAACTTCGTCTGAAAACTTATATAGCTCCTCGCTAAATCCACGTTCCTTTTCAGCCTCCTTTCTATCAGAAGTAATTTCGTCTACCTCAATGCCAAAGTTAAAACATAAGAGTTCAACGTCTTCATCACCTAAATTAAAAAAAAGCAACAAACTTAAAATCAAGCCAAATAATGGAAAAGTACTATAATTTTCCTCATCAATTTCTCTTAAAAATAACTTTTTTTTTACAGTTATATTAGGCATACCAGAAAAGAAAATTATATATAATATTATATTTTTCGGCGCCAGGAAAAATTTCACTTCTCGTTCAAGGAAAAATTTAGCATGCAAAAATCACGTGATCACTATAACTTACCGGTCGTTGTGAAATTGAAGCAAAGGTTAGATGGATGACTTTTTAATGACTATATTAAGACACGTAAAATAAATATTTGTTATCTGATTACTATATTTAAGGACTTCTAAAATTGTTTGTATTAAACATGTATTCTATTATCCCATTCGGTATACTTTTAAAGTCAGAGTCCGTCTTAAATTGTCAAAGTGTATAAATGTATTTTTTTCCCACTTTACTTAAGTGCCTTTATATATTCATATAAAAAAATTTTTATTTAATAACTTAATACCCATGGTTCTCACTAATTTTAATGTTTTTATCATATGAACATAGATCTTTCAACCTATTAAACTTTTTATTTTGAACTTATGATTTTTGAATAACTTTTAATCTTGCAGGATTCTCTCTTAATTTCTTGTGTATCAATTTTTTTGGTTTTGTATATTAAAAAGCTTTTTTGTTGCGAAGCTTTAAGAGGTTTAGAGTAAACGGCAAATTATTTCAATCTTGTTAAAATAAATAATTATTTAGACTCTGTTTTTGCAAAAAGTTTAATTTTACGTGAAATATATATACTGCTGAAGAGGGTTTTTTAACTTTTTTGTGTAAAAAAATAAAAAGTATCTATTATATAATTTCGACGTTGGCCATAGTGAGGAATCCGTTGTCTTTTTTTTTAATATCATATGCTAAGGGTCTTTGAGTGCGGACTGCTTAGGCGGAGCAAAAGTACACAATTGTCCCGATGGGCTAAAGAGTTTAACTTTATATTACTTTATGAAAAGTTAAAAAAGCTTAATCATACGCTAACAATAAAACTAAACTTACCCTAAGCTGAGTCCCTCGTACAAATTTGCTACTCGGCCTTCCTCCGCACGAGGTATGGCGTAGCTTTTCCGTTAGTAAGGAGCAAAAAGGGTACAAGATCTTTTGTCCTAATTTTTACCAGGCCTTCTATAAGATGGTGTTCAGGCCGTCCGCTGCTCTATACAAAATTTTGGAAATACGACCAGCCGCCTGTGCAAATTTAAAGGTAAAATGGCTATTCATAGCAGAAGTAGTTATTATGAGGTTGGCCTACAACCTTGAAGCGGGTAAAGGGCGCAGCACTCGGACGGCACTAGCCCTTCATCTTTGCTCTCCTCGCCAGGTTCTTTTTGATGGTAGAGTTTTCTTACCCCCCCACAATTGTAAGCTTTCTTTTTTCCTGTTAAGACTTGTAGTTGAACTTAAGTTTTTTACAATTTTATACTTACCAAAAATCGTAAATCCGATAATTCCACTAATTAAAAGACAGTTCTACTTACTGGAGGGTTGTGACGTTTTACACCAGCTATAATTTCCTGTATTATTTTTGCTTGATCTCTTATCTTTACTGGTTTTTCGATTATGTTGTATTGAATTAATTTTCTTGTTACCATTGAACTAAGGTAACTTTTTCATCCGCCTTCTTAATTGGGTAGTAGTAATAGTAAATGCAATGACTAACCTAATCATAGCTTATAAACTCGCTTATGAGAAACAACGTGTAAAATATTCTATAAACATCACTGAGGTGAGTAATAAAAAAACAATAGCCAACTTTATCTAGAAGAGACTATCAACTAGTTATCCGCTGGTCTAGTGAAGGACCCTCATTTATTAAGCAACCTAGTGTTGTTTAGTTTTTGTTAAGGAAAACTGCTTAATATAAGCAGCCGACGGTTTTTGGGCAGTAATTTAAAAGTCTATAAAAATTTATTAGCGGAAAAGTGCGTATACAAATCTTTACAAAAGTAAACTACTATATTTTATGGATAAGCGAGCAAACAAGTATGTTGCGCACCACAAGAGATCATTAAAACTTTTCTATCTTTTAACACTTTCGACTTCATCTAAAGGGACACAAAAATATAAAGCACCTCTTGTACAAGAATAAGGTCCTACCCGCACAGGCAGATACTCATCCGAAGAGATGGACTCGTCCTTTTTGGCATTCCCTAATTTGATTCGTGAAGCGCGTATGCGAGTGTGTACGGAAAGGAGAAGTACGCACCCAATTGCTCGTTTTCTCCAAAACCCCACGCATAAGCATTCCCAGCTGCATCGATAGCAAATGAGCTGTCGTACTTGCACCCTGCAGAAAGTAAGAAAAAGAATGACTAAGAAATATAAAATTATGAATATATAAAAAAACCGATTTTAACAATTTTTAAGTTTTCTTCGAAACAAACGGGCACCAGCGAGTTTTTACCAGTTTGATCGTCATATGAATTTCTCTCGCGAAACATTGTGGGGATGCCCTTTTCTTTTAAAAAGCACAAATAGCGTATTTTTACCCTAGTACTATACAAATGATATTTAAATACTGTGCATTTCAACGGTTTCTTTTGTTCTCTTTGACTTAAAAATGGGATGCTCAACAACAGGTCGCTTAAAATCGAGTTGTCTAATCTCTATTTGATTCTAAATAATTCCTAAAGTATTTTTTAGAAAATCAAAAAACCTTCAATAGGCCCACGTAGTTTGCGATAGAATATCTCCTCTGAATTTGAGCGACCAAGTTTGCCGAACTTTCCATCTCCTTAACGTAAAAAAACATTTCCTTATTTCGCTTAAAGTTAAAAACAAAACATATAAAACCGCAGGAATAAACTTTGCCGTTCTTAGCAAGAATTAGAGTGTGTGTTCCTCCGCCTTGGATGTCTACAACGTCGATGTCTGTAGGACCATGGAAAAATTTTAAGATGTTCAATAATAGATTTTACTAGCAGAAAAAACCTCTGAACTGCACAACTTCCTTAGGAATCAACACTTCGTCAAGTCCGTCTGAACCAAGCTGGCCAGTAAGATTAATGCCCCAGCCAAAGATTGCACCTTTCGAGCTATTTGATGCCTATTATTGAAGAGCTCCACAGCACAAGCGTAACCTGCAACCTTTTTGCCCACGAACAAATTCCACCAGCATAAATTGCTACGATGACTGGATTTTGCTTGAACGACAGTTGCATGGGTTTCAGCGAAAGCGCCTTGTAGCGGTTATTCCTTAAACTTACTCGCTCTCCAAAACGCCCGAGCAAGCCTCCTTCGTGGCAGCCCCAAGTGTACACTCGCCCTAGATGTGCAGTTCATACAGCTACTAAAGATTGATCTCACTTGTCAATAAAAAAAAACCTCGGCGGGTCAAAGCCAGCGAGTGTGACTGTCCACAAGCAATCTGGACTACCTGATCAGTGGGACTTAGATCTAAAATGACTTGAGGCTCTATAATGCAAGAAGTGTCGTTAATGTTGTCGTAAAATATCCCATATGTCCCGAAGGTGCCCTATAAAAAGGAACTGAGTTATATTGTAAACTCAAAAGACCTTAAGGGCGTGAAGCCAGAGTACCCTATAGTTACCCCACTGATAAACAACACCATCTTCGCTTAATGCTAAAGTATGCGAATCCCCACAAGCCACGGAAATAATCTTACAATCTAGATTAACTAGCTTAGGCATATATTCATCTTCTTCACTAATAAAAAGAATTAATGAATTTCTTGTACTTAAGCATAACTAAAAAATTTAAAAAACGAATAGAGTACTTGTTTGTAGTTTTTCTTCCTAAAGCCCCTTGATCGTTAACACCGCACGTGTACAACTGCAAAGAAAGTACACTTAGTTCAAATAGTAATTTAGGTATTACAATGTAAAATATGTGTATAATTTTATGTAAGTAGTGTATAGAACTTTTCCATCTTTTGTAAGAAAAGCAGTATGTAAAGCCCCAGGGTCAACTTGAACACATTTTATATTATTTTCGGCAAAAAAAGGAACGACTCCTGGTACACGTTTTTGGTTAATTTCAAAGCCTAGTTGCCCGTTAGAGCCAATGCCTAATATAATTAATTAGTGAGTAAAAACTAAATAATATATTTATAAAAACTGAAAAATATAGTAGACTTTATTTATAACTAACCGCAAACCAAAGGAGTACCAGCTGTACATATTGCGGGTTTTAGTTTTACAAAATCCTTATAAGTTTTTCTTAATATATTACTTTTAGAAGTTCTTGACATTGGGTTAATAGCCTAAACACCAAAACCAAAATGAAAACAAGCTATGAGTACAAAGTGAACCCACACCTAAAGTCAGTGAGCTGTAAGGCTTATAAAAAGGGGGATTGGACGCTATAGTTTTTAAAGCAAGCAGTTCTATGGTTGTTAGTGATATTTCAGGGAGTAATTGGTATGCACTTCATTGTTACACCGACATTAATATCTATCAATCTTCTAATAAGTGCTAACCTATTAAATGAAAAAGCAGTAGACCAGGAAATTGCTAAACATTAAAAAATTTATAAGCTACTTAACTCTTAAAAACTTTGCTCTAATATTAGATATCCTGACCGTTTAGAACTAACCAGAGCTTCTTTTTTATTAGGGGAAACGTTCTTCTCGCCTATATACATAACAATAGCTCAGAAAACTTACTACAATCCAAAAATTTTATATATAGAGAAATGAAAAGTAGGATAATGGCCTAACAATGTTTTAATGAACTTGTAATAATTATTTTTTTTTTCCTACTTATATTAATAAAAGTTTAGTTAATTTAAGAAAATTTTTTTTTTCAAGAAATGATGTTTTCATGAATTACCAATAATATTGAGTATTAACAAACCCCATTAAAAACTAATATGCTAAAAGAAAAAGTCTAACACCAGTATTGTAAAATACACAAGAACTCTTCCTAAAAATTTAAAAATAAATAAATATTGATTTTGCTGTTAGCACCCCTAACTAAATAACATTTGTATATATATATATTAATTAGACAGCCAACTGATATTTTTAACAATGCTCAAATATGTGTCTAAACATACAAAAATGGCTTATTAGAGACGTTGCGTTTAGCAACCTTATTAAACCTTAATGATAACTTCATATCGCATACCATGTTATTATAAACATACTCGTTTGTTTTTGTATTCTCTAACTAATATATTTCCGTTAAAATAATTTATTTTCAGTACAGCAACTCTTTAAATAAATTTAATTAATTTAGATATTTTAAAAAAAACCTTCAATATAACAAATTAGGATATAATTTTAAAGACATAACCTCTTTATTAATAAAGCCTTTTCGTTGAGCCCATAGAATTATCAGTAAAGTGCAGTATTTTCTTATCTATTTTTTTAAGTTAATTAATATAGACGTGAGTAACTTGACAAGGGATTTCTAAAGTTTTTCTAGTGGTTTTAAATAGCGCAGGCTATAGAAAATCCTCGTTTAACTATCAGCTGCTCACAAGAAACGAAGTCATATTGTTAGCAAGCTGGATTGCTAAAGTGACTCGGTATCGCGTGGTAATCTTGTCATGTTAAATATAAACGAAATGCCTTTTTATTTTTAAGGTAGTTTCATTGATGACAAAGATTTATCGCTTACGAGAGTTTTTCAACTATTACAAAATTAAATTCATCTTTCTGGTCCGTCTTTTTTACTTAATAGTATTATCCAAAGCGCCAGCGCCTCTGCAGCGGTCATTTGTTCATGTTCTTCTCAAACTTGTTTTTTAAGTGACAAAAAAAGAAATTGAAGTTGTATTTTCTTTCAGTTGTGCGCAAGTATCAGTTTGAATTACCTACAGCACTAACTACAGTCTATTAGCGCGAGATAACATTAAATCAAATTTGGAAAAGATGGCGTGTCAGATTAAAATTAAAATGAGGTATTAACACAGTTTCATGTAAACAGTAAAATAAAAAAATAAAGTTATAGCTAAAAATACGCTCCTCTGAAATTACAATTTCATCACTTCCGGAAAGGTACCCCTGTCTAATTACGCACGCTTCTACTGCATTACTGTCTTCAATAACTGTCCACCCAGAACTTCTTGAGGTGGGGGGCCATAAATGCACGTCGCAGGACGAGAAGTTTGGACTATATGTAGTACAGGAGACTGGGGTTAAAGGTTAGGGCAAATATATAAAAGCCACGTGGTCCGCTATTTCTCTCTCTCCTTTTTCTGGGTTGCCCGTCGAGTGCTGCGGACTGGATCTTTCCTCTGTGCAGTAAGAATACCGGGATTCTTTAATAAACAGTATAAATTTTTTCTTAGTGTTAAGTAAATTTTTTATACTTATAAGTCACTAGGCGCTTTAATTTATTCCATTAAATTTCAGACTAAGTCTCCCGGCGACCGCGCTGAGTGTGATCTAGTGTTCTCTCGAGAAAGAACCGCTCTTCGATTTGAGAATTACCATTTCTGTTTGACCTGTACGCGTACATAGTAGGTTTCACTGTAATATTGTGCATTGACTGATTTCGTTTGTACAGATAAACTATCCAATTTACTTCCTTAATGTAGGTCTCACTGTCATATTATGCATTGACTGAATGTTTTTAAAATCTCTATACAAAACTGCCTGCAGAAAGGGTGGCTTTGAATATGTTAATACCTTTTCTACTTTTGTTTCTTGTTTTTCTGACTCTTCTTTAACCCTCTAAGATGTAAGGATGAAACCTTAGTCTCATTGATAGTGAATCGCCTTCCAAATTTAGGTTTTCCCCCGCACTGCATTAACCTGTCACACACTTCCAGATCCTACTTAAATGATTAAAGTTAACAATTTTGGTACTATTAAAGATTTATTATAGTTTTTTTACTGCCTACACTGATGCCTTGTTCTTCCACTATCTTTCGAATAGTGCCATGTCTGCCCTTTAGCTCACCCTTTGACATGTTCCAAAAAGTCCTTGTACTGCCCGTGTTGCGGATGTTTTTCAGGCGGTTTGTATCAATTTTTTCTCGGTCTAATATAGTTGCCGTGTGCAACTAATACACTATTATGAGGCGGGGAGGCCACTATATTTTACCTAATAAAGCAGTTGCAGGTAAATCTGAGAAGATAAATTTTTAGTCACTAAATTTTAATGCCAGCTAGACACTTTCTCTCAGACATAATTGGGAGTTTTTAAATATTAGCATATCAACTATGACTCTGGCTTTTAAAACAATCTAGTAAAAGCACATCATTCAGCTGTTATTCCTTCGCATCAAGAAAATAAAATGGTCCGCATAACTGAATTGTTTTCTTACAAAGCGAGCTACCTTATGCGACACACTTTATATTCTAACTTATAGCTTTGAATATTTAGTATAAACCCCATAAAATCTCTGAAAGCTTAAACTGAAAAGTTATAAGACAAGAGGCGTCTCTAGAAGCAAAGAAGACAGTAATTCTACACATACAATTTTTAATACAAAGCTTATAAGATTAATTAAAGCTGAAAAACAATAAAGTCAAAAACAAAATAAGTTTATCAAGTTTTTTTACAGTAGTTAAGATATATAACATTTCTTCAATAACACTAGCTATTCCTCCAAAGTGATCTTTTTGTGTTCCGATTTTTTCTGTATTCATAGTGAATAAAAGTTGATGAAAAAGGGCCAACTCTGTTAAGTACCTTTTTCTGTTTTTTACTTTTTTTATCTGTCTTTTTCTTTTTAGCCCTCGTATCCATATGAGTTAACTCGTTCAAAGTGTGATCTTCGCTTCCAGAGTCGATAGTCTCGTGGACTCGCTGTAACAATAGTAGAAAAGCACTACAACTTATATTAAATTTACAGGAGTCACCTTGACCCGCAGATCCTCACATGGGGTAGGCGCAACAACAGTCGTGCATAGCTGTTGAATCTCCACATTGCCGTCGGAATAATCTTTATAAGTGGCCTTCCAGGCTTCGGGTGTCGCCTCGGTGACTCTGCCATACTATAAGGGGGAGTAAAACATTCGCACACAGTAGCACACCAAAAAAAATACAGGGAAACACACACTTTGTCAAGTTTTCCTTCTTGGATCAACTTTTTCTTTTCTACAGCGTGAGGGCCCAAACCCCACCTGCGGGGATAAGTGTCTCGGTCCATAATCACACGCTTGATTTTAGCAACAACGCCGTGATCGCACGTGGCTATTACAGCAGTGGTCATCTGCGCAATGGCCAGAGCAATGGCCTCTCCTACCAAATAATAATAAATCTTTTTTTTTACTAGATATAATTCTTTTAAACCTTTCGTGGTGATAAGCACAACTTCAGTGCCCACTTCAATGCCATCAGCGAATCTCAAAACGCCGGAGATCATAAGTTTGGCTCCATAGCAAATAGCGTTGACTGGAATAATTAAGTGGCGACGGGGATCAGCAAAGACAAAAGATTTATAACCCGCACTATCTTTAAGCACTATGCGAGGATAGTTAATAAGAAGAGCCTCCAGGGGCATGACGGCGGCTCGCAGGTAGGATTCCTCTTTAAGATTATCAAAGGCCCACTGAGCGTCTAATATGTCGTGCATGGTGACAAGACCTTTTGCTTCACTCATTATACCTTTCACAAATTATTATAAATTGGGTTTTCTATATATATATAAATTAAATTACCCGAGCGGACCCGTCTTAGTTCCTGCATATGAGCGCCCACACCGAGCAGCAAGCCGAGATGGACGCAAAGGGTGCGAATATAAGTTCCCGCCTCACAGCTAACGTGAAAAACGCATAAATTTCTTTCAGAGTCATACTCAATTAGTTTGCTTTCGTAAATAGTACGGATGCGCAGTTGTCTAAAAAAAAAAATAAGATCATAGTCACTTGTAATTATATATAAAAGACCTTTTGACATTAGAAATAAGCGGGGGCCGTTGGAACAAAGCGCCAGTTAAAGTTTGAATAGCTTTGGCAACTTTTTCTATAGAACCAGGATTAGAATGAAAGCGGCATACGCCCACATATTCTTTGCCAGCAGATTGCTGGGATTTAACCAAACGCGTGGCTCTGTCAATGCAGACAACCAGCGACCCTAAGCCAGTAAAGCTTATGAAAAGTACTTTATCTTCCGAAAATGAGTACAACCAGTAACTTTAGGATCTAAAGTTCCTGAATGACCTGTTTTTTCTACTCGCAATATTCGTTTAATCCAAGCTACAACCTCATGAGATGAGGGATTAGCAGGTTTATCTAAGTTTATAACGCCGTACCGAAGATATTCTTTTAAGGGCCTACTCAAAAATTGTTGTAACAAAAAACTATTATAAGAAATGGCACTACCTATTTAAAGGGGAAGAACCAAATGGAAGCGGTGTGTAGTGCCCAGTCCTGACAATTAAATTGTCATAGTTCTATTTTTTATATATAACATTAAAAAAAAAGTGCCTTTAACAAGTTGCAAAAATACTTTATAAAATATGGAAAAAGCTAAATAAAGACTTTAAGTAAAAGGGGCCACTTTGATGTATCCAACTGTGGCGTGGTTTTGGAAGGCAAAATGACACAGCCGCCCGTAGCATCAGACATTCTTTTAAAAGGCCTCCAACCTTAGTCAATGCAGAATGAGATAAAACACGGTTTCTACCCGCTATAGGCTCGGCGACAAGAAGCCATCACATAACCACGTGATAAGCTACAGAAAAATGGTAGCTGTAAAAGTAAGCACATTTTTTTCTTATCGTAACTTCACCAGAAATTCTGACTTTGTTAACAAATAAAAAAATCAAACAAGGTTTTAACATCCTTATCATAGAGCCTTTGACATTCTTTTATGTTTCGCCAGCTATAAATTAGTGCCAAGAGGCATGAAAAGGATCGGGCTTTTTTAAGCTGCTCCTTGCTGGCACCTTACCGAAAAAAAGCTAACCTTGAGGCCTGTTAGGGTTTTCTAACACGGTCAAACAGGTGTTTGCTGGAGATAAAAGTTGAAAAATACTTTTTATTTAAAATAAATAGATTATAGTTATCTTGTAACATTAAACAAATAATGGATATATAAACTCTATTTCGCTTCATATATTTTGTCTCAGCCCGCTACAAATATGTTAAGCTAGGAAAAGATTTGTCTTAAGTCATAAGTTAATAATTGATTTAGGTCTTATAAGTAAAATAATTCGTCATATATATCTCAGCTGGTTTTAAAAGTTTATGGGTCACACTCCTATCCGAGGAAAAACGTTACTTCTTATGCTAGAATGCAAGTGTAGAAGGAGAAATAACTACCACTATTAATTTTAAATAAGCCAAGCAATTGCAAGTTGTCTAACAAAATTATCCTAAAATAGGCTAAAGCTCGCTTTTTTTAAAAATGAAAAAGTTTAACAAGATTATACCCAGTTGACTTCTACTTAAAGTTAATCCGTAAAGCAAAAATATTTAACTTCCTTTTGAGTTTTTTATTAAACAAGCTACTTTGCGCTTTCCAATATTTCCTTCCTATGCTTTTTCAATTGACCCATCACGGCAAGTTTTTCGGTGTGAGTTTGGAATCGACCGTGCCCAAATTTAGAAGAGGTATCGATAAACTTCAGCTCCACAGCCACATGGGCGCGTTCCTTCGGGCGGAACATAGATTTCCTCAGAGTAAGAACCCTCTTCTTGGTCCCTACGCAGCAGCCCTTGATCATCATAAAGTCGTTAGTGACGAGGCCGTAGTGCGGAAAGCCACCCATAGGGTTGATAGACTTTTCGGTGAGATCGTAGTCCGTGGAGGCGTTATTTTCCTTGCGCTCGCCAGTCTCGGGATCTTGATGGAAACCGTCGGCGATTCTGTATATCTTCTTATTGAGCTCCGTCCGGTGGTGGTAGCCACGCTGACCAGCCCGCGGGACAGAGTACTGCACACGCGCGGGATGCCATGCACCAATACAAGCTACCTGTAGATAACAAATACAAGGCATAATTCAATATATATTTCTGGTTTTATAATAGTTCACAAACTTTTCTCAATCCACGATGTGTTTTTCGTTGAAGTTTCTTGACGCCCCATCTAGCAACCACGCCTTCATAGCCATGCCCCTTAGTTACTCCGACCACGTCCACAAACTCCTCAGGGGTAAACACATCTTTCACACGAACTTGGGACTCTAACAAGCTCTTCGCATAGTCCACTTTTTCAGCAATGGAGCCACCATTGACTTGAATCTCCATTAAATGAGCTTTCTTCTGTCGGAGATTAAGAAGGTCAATACGAGTGTGCGCAACAACTCGTATGACTGTGCAAGTTTTCTTCATTTTTGTTAGACTTTCTTGCATCTTTTTACCTATCATAAGTAAGCAATAAAGGTTTATATAGTAAACAGAAATCATGACAAAGCTAGACCATTATCAGCGGCTTGTAAGCGTGCATATTTTGTAAAGGCCTTTTTCTTAGACCGAGCCCAGTGTTTGTAGAAACGACGACGGACAGTGTCAGACAAGTTAGTTGCCCAGACACAGCTTAAAGCTCTAAGGCCTTTAACGGTGGGGATGTAGCCAACAATGCCTACAGGAACCATTGGAGGACACTCAATAATAGTAACAGCCTCAACAATATCTTTTGTCTCTTTTTTATTCTGCATTGCCCGAAATTCTACTGATCTGACAATGTGCGTCATGCCTAAAAATAGGAGACCAGAGTGGGAATAAACCCTTTTATTTTATTAAGTAATTAAGATTAAATAAATGTTACCTGCCTTATACCCCATAAATGCAGTTAAATGGCATTTTTTCCTAGGGTCATCCTTTGGAAATGATCGTATTTTCCCAGTAATGTGTTTACAACGTTTTCGAGGCAAAAAACCAAGAGACCCGTGACGGGGCGCCTCAAACTTGCGATGACTATTTTTGTGAAGTGATCAAAAATCAAATAAAATCAAGTTATAGGTATATATAATGAAGCCTCATTTTACGCCACGTAATTAGCACTAATGTGTAATTAACACTGTAATAACAACAATCTATTAAGATAAGAATTAGCATTCTCCTATAAAGACGTATAAGAGGTAAAAAAAAAAATGGTCATCTTAAAAAAATTTATAATTGATAAGTTTGCTTAGGTTAAACCCCTTAAGGAAAATAAGGAGTAAAAAAGGAGCAATACCTCATCCGGACAAAAAAAGGCCGAAACGGGCTTGTATTCCGCTGCTTAGTGCAAAAATTATTTATAAGTGCTCGTGCATGCGGCCGGCTAATAACTGAGCGGTTATCAGTACCCGGCCGTGTACTGAGCAGTGGAGCAGCTGGATACTTCGTATTACGCTTCTCTTTGCGTGCTCTTTAAATAGAAATTTGAGTATATATAATTGTTGGAAATTAGCTAATAATAACATGTTAAAGTTGTATGGGTTTTATATATAAATTTTCTTTTTAAGCCTCTTAGTCCGGTACTTCCTAACGCCAGGGTTATTCTTATTTACTATTTGGTAAATACACTAAAGCTTTTTGTTATTTTAGTTAACTTAATTATCTTCTTTCTTTTGTACCTCTATTGGGAGCTAATATCTCTAGAAGTAAAATTGTTATTTGGAAGTTTTAACTTCTAATTTTTAAATTTTTTGCTTCTAAGTACACTCTTGCCATTCTGTTAGGATATTATATTTTTTTTATTAAAAAACAATTTTTATCTCTTTGCTTTACAAGTACTGGAGTAATTGGCAGCACACTTACTACCGACAAATATAAGTTAATATACTCTCCTTTCTTACAACTTTGATATTTTACTTTGCCTTTTTGTTGTTGTAGATAGTTGATTAAAATATCCTTTTCACCAAAAATTTTCCATTCTCATATTTGTCTTTTTTAAATTACTACTATATAATGTAAAGTTTATTTTATTAGTTTATTTATACCGTAAAGAGCCGAAGGGTAAGGGAGCCTCTCTATCCCATTAATTAAAAATACTTGGACAACCTCTTTTTATAAACCATACATTGAGTGAGCCTGTCAGGGCTTACTACTTAAAAAAAATATTACTACCATTTGAAAAACTGAACTACCACTTTTCGATAAAGTAGATAATATAACAGTCTTAAAATGGGTAAAGGGCCTGAGATTAGTACGTTTTAGAAGACTCTTTTTGTTTGATCCTACAGTATTAAAAAACTTCTCTGTACGGAACAATAAAGTCGCAATTATGTCCGCTACTTCCTTACCCTAAAACTTCTGTGTTAAGATGTTTATACGGCCATCTGACACTCTGAAAAATTGTGCATCTCTATGACGAGTTTTAAGCTTTAAAAATATGTTTTTCCTGACACAGATGGGTTGTTAAAATATTAGATTACCACAAACTAAGGTACATACGGAAAAGCCACAAGGATTGAGGGGAGGGACGGAGAAAAAAGGGACTAGTTAAAGCCATTTTTCCGGGACTGATAGTTGTCGATGTAGTTCAGCGGTTAACAGCGTTTAGATACTCAATGTGTGGGTTCGATTATTGTCTACGTGACTATTTTTCGGTCTTTCATGGTTGCGTATGTAAGCCCGCCCTTGTAAATTCATTTGAAGATCGAAGTCCACCGTGGTAGACCCTACTAAAGGTCATCCAGTTAGAAACCGATACCATGCTCAGCGATTTATAAATAAACAATTATACACTTAATGACTCGAATAATTCTTTTTAGTTAACAATATTAAATATAATAAAAGAATAAAGACTACCCTATTAATTTCACATTCTAGCATTATATTAGCATAGGCATAAATTTTTAAAAAGTGCTGTTTCAGGGGTTTTAACAACTTTGGAAATGTTGCATGAACATCCATACCTCCACTCGAGAGAATGTCGCTAAAGCAGTTTAAGTTATTTTATTTATAATGGTCGTAGCCTGCACGTGCATATACGCTTATTTTAGAAGTATAGTCGGCTTCTATCAATGAAGAGGAACGTGACACTGTTAGAAGAGCTCGATTTGAATGCCGCTAGAGCTTTTAAATTAAGGTTAACGTTCTTTACTTGGATGCTATAAGTAATTAACTCCTCACTCTGCATTCAACGCTTTAAAATAGGGTTATAATAGTGGGTGTACCTTTTTTGTCACCAAAAATTACCTATTTGTTAATTAAACCTTTTACTGTTACGGCTTTAAAGTCGTTACGGTTCTATGAAGATAACAAAGTGCGCCAAAATTAAAATTGAAAAAATAAAAGAATAATAAAAGCATAAAATAGGTTATTAAGTACAATTTATTACAAACGCAAAAATATATGAAAAAGAGAAGGAATTAGTCAATAAAACTGAGAGAAACTGAGAAAACAAGTAGGTTAAACTCAGAACCAAGATCATATAAAAGAGACGTAAGATGCGCTTCACTATAAACAATATAACAAGCATCAAGAAGCTCTCTACCGGGCGCAAGACTTTTATCTAAGAGCTGTCCCCAGAATATAAAAATTAGGTGTTCGAAATAATACGTGTGCAATTGTAACATTTTATATTTACTGTAATAGTACTTGTGAGTTAGATTATAGCATTAATCCAACAAAAAAAATTACCTTATTAAGTAGTTTATTTAAAAAGGAAATATCAAAAGCAAGCGCACGAAGGCAAATTACATTAACGTATCGTTTTCCGCCACTCGCCCTCACTAGTGGGCATATACTCGTGGGCGTTTTAAAAAAAAGGAAGTTTCTACCCAAAGAATATTCTTACGAGCAATGTTAATCACTCAAAAGTTAGTATATATGGCGACTTGGTCCTGTAGGATGTAAAGCCAACATACTTTTTAACTATACATTGCGTGTTTTTCTAGCCCTTATACGCGGAAACCCTCACTGATCAACTGTAGCCACTTTAACATAACACTGAAAGAGAGAGCAAGATTAAAAAAAAAAGAAGGCAAGATAAAGTTCAACTGAATTAGCTTGCGCCAACGCCAAAGGACTGAGGCCTCGGGTTGTCGTATATGTAAACACAGGTTGACTTAAAAATCCGTTTTTAAAATGTTGGCGTGCTCTTCCCAATAATTCTTTGTCATCGCAGAATACCTTTATAACCGAATTTATTTTTCTCTCTTTAAGCTATTACAAAATAGTAAACGCTGCTATGTTCTTCATCTTTATAAATGGTAGTAAAAAAATCTGTTATGTGTACGAAACAAATTTTATGTGTTTAGAAGATTATATGTGACAAACTAAGTTAATGGACGAGAGCGCACTCTTTGGGTATTTAAAAACCTATTTTTTCTAGCAGCCTTTTTTTAATTTACAATCTTATCAAAAATTTGCTACATTTTTTTAATTACATATATCTATTACAGTACTAAAAATATATAATTTCCTGAATTTTAATTATGACTACATGCAGAAAAATCTGTAATATAATATCACTAAAATTTAATCCGATGTATACGTTTTTAAAGGGAGGTGGTAACGCATTTCTTTTTGTTTTTTGTATTATCATAATTTTATATCTTACATTAATTTTAGTCAGTCTTCCAAAATTGTGGTTTTTTGATCGAAAAGCCCTTAGTCATAGAATATATTTTGGATAGTAGTAAAGTGCTTCTCACGGAATTGAGACACTGCAATAATGAGTTTATTCTAATTTTTAAGGTATCGCAGCCTCCGCAGCCTATCAATGCAGAATAGTAAACTGGCGAGGTATTCCTTCTGCAAGTTTACTGGCTTTACATATTTGGAAATTGAACAGACGTCTGCTAATTTTCAAAGCTTTAGAAAGTAGGACTTTGGCCAAGTTAATAAGCTCTTCGTTAAGGAGATAACGCTTTACCCAAGCTTACATAGCTCAATAAATTGCGACTGTAGGTGTCTTGCATCCAGTCAAAAATGACATACGCGCTTCTACTACATGGACCAACGATTCCACATCAATAAAGTCCGGATTCCAAGTGCGACAAAACAAGTTGCTGCGCGTTATGTCAAACGCTCCGTTTGTACGAAAATAAAACTGTTTAACAGGACCTCCAATAAGATCCATTGAACACCGTCTTTCGAAACAACGTCATTTGCCCTTTATGACTACTAGCTAGGCCTGCTAGTGAGTGAGCTCATGTATGAGCCATGGAGCACGTTATTGGCGCCCACGTGACGCACATTAAAAGCTAGTTTTGTATTAAACTACTACTATTAAATAAAACAAGTGGGTAGATAAACCTTTTTGTGGTCCTGAGGATAAGAGCAGAACCACCTCTTTTTTTTTTTCTTTTATATTCTTGTTGATCACTGGTTGATGTATACCACGAGTGAGGAAATCACAACAGATTAAAAATTTAAAGATATTAATATATGATTGGAATGTACTTTACTTGGCTGCGATTAATTTCTGTTGAAAGCTCGAGCGCTAGAAGTTGTTGACTCAATCGGGCAAGGGCAGTGGCTAGTAAGATGGGCTCATGAGGCTGTCAATGCTGGGCGCTCAAAACGTTCTAGAAAGACAGATGACGTATTACCTTTTCATATTCTATAGTGTTAACGGTCTACAGTCCTTCACGTGCCAATTAATGATGTTTTTATTTTATTAAAGTTAATTATATTTAAAAGTTATTCACAAAAAATAGGGCTAGTTAGGCTATAAGTGGAACTAGTAATAGATTTAAAGTAAGTGGGCAGTTCATAAAAATGATAAAAATGTCGCATGAACATATTGTTGAAATGTTAAAATGGACGCACATGAAATGCATTCAGTTTCACATATATTAGGTGTGGTGAGAAAAGATTAAAAAAAATACTAGATTTTATTCTATTGCTCATGGTTTAAGCGATACACGAAATGAAGAGCTTATAAACTCTACTAGTTTTTTTCGGACAAGATATTAATAATAATGATCTATAATTTCCTTCTATATTTTATTTTACTTCGCTAAATATTGGTTTCTCTAAATTTTTAATCAAGCAAAACCTAGTTTTTACATGTTAAGCCTATAATTCGGTAATTTATTAAACAGAACTTAACGATTCTTATAATATATATGTGCAATTTTTTATAAAGTTTAAAGATTTTGTGATAAAAACTAAAAAGCTGTTTTTACAACTTTATTTCTATACAGTACAAAATATTGTCATGACCTTCATTTAAAAATCCAATTTTTTTTCTAATAAAATAAAATTAAAACTATTAAAGAAAATTTAACATGAAAAGCTACTTTGATTGTGTAGGTCTTCAGACTTGCTAAGACTTTCCACAAAGGATTTAAAGTAATCCGTGTACTCCTGTAGTGAGTTTGTATATCGTCCTTAAATACTATTGTAAAAGAATTCAGTGAAGCTTTAAAATTTAAGTACCGTTCCCTTTGCGTTTTTTAGGCAAAGTTGAGCAACTTTAAGTGTGTAAATAGATTAATATATAGAAAATTAGATAAATTAATTAAAAATACATATATATATATATAATTTAGATTAGTAACTATAATTGGTACGCTTAAATTTTTGATTAGATTTTATAAAATTAATTTTAATGTAAAATTTAAAATAAGTTTTCTATATAACAATAATTTTTGCAAAATTTCAAACCTTTCATCTTCCGAATCCCTCGCGTCGCACTCTTTTCGTACAGAGGTTGGTAATAAAAAAAATTGGTTAAGTGAAAAAATATCTTAACTGGAAACAAAGTAAAACTGTACGAAAATTTCAACTTATAAATTAATTATATTTAAACATCATAAAGTAAAAAACGGAATAAAAGTAAAAGTGTACACATAAAAAAAGATTTTTAGTTAAAATGTCAATAACAGTACACAATTTATAATTTGCAAATAAAATTTATTTCTAGTGCAAATTTTAATCCCTATTTAAGTAAAATTTTATAATATTCATGAATATGTTAAAATACACATAAATTTTACAAATTAAAATAACAAAATATCGTGTTTAAAATGAAAAATCAGACGGCTACATAAGAGCTATTAATCCGCATCCTGTGGTCATATAACGTTAGTTATGAACTCGTTGCAAATTGGTTTGTTCTGAGTGCTTTACTCGAAATCAATTAAAATTCAGACCATGTGCTGACATACGGTTCTACTTAACATCCTTGACTCATTAATTGTGTTATTTACTAGTATCTTATATAAGCGCGCGGTCCGAAACCAAATAAAGGTTATCGCGCAGGACAAGCGTGTAAATTGAAGATTACCTGTCCAAGCTATATCTCGCTGGTGCAGTTAGATTATAGTATTAAGTGAGAGGCTAAATAACCTTGAATTAGTACTATGTTTTATAAGCGGTACTCTTCCACCTAATTATTATAGAGCAAGGGCTATGTATACTATCATAGCCTTCCGGTGCTATTTCTTCTTAGACCATAAAATCGTAATTTTAAGAAAATTTAAAAAATACTAAAAATTTGCGATAATACTCTAAACAAGCTTTGTGCTAACTTTTGCATAAAAAAAGAGAGAAACAATCTAAGGGAGTTAAGAAACTTTTATACTTTGAAATTTGTAAATTTTAGAAGTTAAACGGAGTATATAAAGTTGTACTTAATAAACAAAAAAAGGAGTAAAAAAAGTTTTTATAAAAATATCACACAAAGCCATATTTATTTGAAGCTTAATTACAATATAAATTATATATAAATTGAATGAAATTTAAAAAAAAAAAATTAAATAAAAGCGTTTACCGAAAACTTCATCTGCTTCTCGACACAAATCACTAATTGTTGGAACGTTAAAAGGATCAAAATCGTGAATGCGAGAAGCAAAAATCGGAACGCAAATTTTTCCTGGCAACATTAAAAAAATTAGTTAACTTCTTGAAATATATAATATAAATAATTTCATAACAGTTAAATATATTTTTTATAAAAAAGTTTGCTTAACATTCTATTTGATTCAAAATGGTAATGGAAATTAAAAATAAACTTCTATATAATCAATTTTAGAAATTAATAAAATTGTAAACAACTTTTTTAAATAAAGAAAAAAGAGAGTTTAGTGTGGTATGTTTAAAATAAATAGCACAAAAAAGTAATATAATTTAGTAAAGTTCTTAAATCGCAAAAATAACAAATAATTTAGATTGAAAAATTATATAAGTTATAATAAGTAAAAATATAATAAAAAAGACATACACTTGCACATAAATTTAATAAAGGAAAAAAGCTATAAAAAATTCTTCTCATCAGAAAAATAAATAAATAAAATTATTATAAAGAATAATATTGATAGGAAATATTGATATATGATTAATAAAAATTAAATATTAAAAAAGGGAATATAACTTATAATTAAAAAAATTGATAAAAACTAAAAAAATATTTTATAACCTAAAATAGTATAATAATAATGAAAGAAAATTATATTAAAAAATCTTAATAATTAATTTAAACTAATCAAAGAACTTAAAAATTTATACTTTACAAAAAATATAATTTAAACGAAATAGAATATAATAAAATAATATAAAATAAAAATAATATTATAACACTATATAAGAATTAAGAAAATAAATTGCTTAATAGTTTGTTTAAATTAAAATTAAAAAGATGATAAAATCCTTTGAAAAAAAGGTCAATTTTTTAATCAGTAATGTTATATTATAAATTTGCAATCCGTTTATATAAATTTCAAAATAATAAAAGTTAATATATTAAATTAATTCAAGCTAAAGTTAATATTTGTAAAACTAAATAAGTGATAAAAGGATATTCTAATAATAAAAAATGATTAAAATTCCGAAATAATAAAGATCACGATCCGTTAAAAAAATTGCTCGAAATAAAAAATTAGGAAGAATTCACTTAATATTAAAAAATAATAAAGGAAACTAATAATTATCAATAATTACGTAATGTAAATTTTAATTTATATTAAAAAATTTATACTTAAAGAAGTATTAGTACAATCTTTTTTTAAAAAAAGAGAAGACAAAATAAAATTTAATAAAATATATTAAAAAAGGGCACTGAAAATAAAATTATAATTAAAAAAGTAAAATATCATCTGCAAAATTAAATAATTTAAAAAAACTAAACTACTATATCAATTATTAAGAAAACTTTTTATTAGCTTAATGTTAGTAGAAAGAATATTTAACTTAATTATAAAAAAAACACAAAAGTTTGCTACAGCGATTTAATTATTTATTCTAAGTTTATATAATTATTTACTTTTGTAAATCTGTTTCTTTAGTTATTTGCCTAAATAATTATTATCTTTATAAGGATGATGAAAACTAAATTTACAAAGAAAAAAACTAAAAAGAATATAATAGGTTGAATAATAAATAAAAAACAGACACTGTTAATTAAAAAATTTATTTATTAAGATTTGCTTCAATGTATAATTATTTGACAAGCCCTTTAGTTTTTTTTTTGCTCATTATAAAAGGCTTTTTTTTAAGAGTTACCAACATAATAATAAAGTAAAAAGTATAAAAAAAGGCATTACTAGATACAATTGTTAAACTTTTATAAATTTCTTTATAATTTTCAAAAAAAATAAGTATAAATTTTTTTCCTATTAATATAAGTTTTCATTCTGTTAATTATTCGTTTTTAATAACTTTTATTGACTTTATATTACTTTACCTTTAAATTATATAATTAAATAATTATATTCAGAAAACCTGATTTCGGATGCACGGAAAAAGGACTCTTTAATAAGTGATGCAATTGTTTGGATACGTTGACGTCGAGGCGCGGATAAGTAAAATGAAGAACCACTTCCTTTCGATAAACTTCCCACTAACTCAAAAAAATATAAATTCCAGTTGAAAAAAAAATTATCAAAAAATTTAAACTTTCCTTTTATAACTGACGCATTATTTAAAAATGCTAAAATGTTCTGTAGAATTTTTTTAAAATTTAATTATAAACTAAAAGATTTAAATATTTCTATTTCTAATTTTTGTTATAAAAGTTTTTACAGCAACACATATAAAAACTATACGCTAAGAAAAATGAAACTTTTTAATATAAATTTCGATTTTTTAAAATTTCAGTGTATATAATTTCTAGTGTTTTATAAATTCAAAAAAAAGTGTAACAATTCAAAAACTTCTTTCCCCAAAAGTTAAGTAAAAACCATGTGAAAAGTAAAAAAATTATTTCTTTAAATGTTTTCGAAAAAATTTAAGTAAATTACATATAACTATAAAAATAAGGCAACTTTAAAAATAAATAAGTAAAGAATTGTTTACAACTTTTATATAATAATTCGAATAATAGTTAAAATCAATTTTTTTTTGTCAAGTTTTTTATTTTAAATTACGTACAACTTCCGAACGTAAATAAATATAAAAAGGTAAATTATAATTTCTGAATAATTCTTTTTCTTAAAATACATACAACTTCTGAATATATAAAATATATGTAAAAAAAAAGGCATTTAAAATTTTTGAGAATTTCTTTTTTTCTAAAAAAGTAAACTTCTGTATAAAAATAAATATAAAAAGTACATTTAAAATTAAACAAAAAATCTTTTATTTGATATAAGTACTTTTATAAACCATAAAAAGGAAATTATAATATCTAAGAAATTCTTTTTCTTTAAAACGTAAAACTGAAATTATTAAATTTTTTTATAAAGTAATTAAAGGCATAAGCTTTACATCTTTATAAAATAGTTATTTTATAACTTTACTATATAAATCAATTATATAACGAAGTTATATAGTTAGTAAAAAATAAAACTTTTTTCAATAAACTTTATATAAATTAAAGACAGTGGTAATAAATTATTAAATTATATCTTTTAAACATTTGATATATTAAAAGTGAGCTACACTAAATTCAAAAGTAAAATAAATATAATATAAATAAAGATCAGTAAATCTTACAAATATATTTAACTTTATTCAGTTTTAAAATTTTTTTTATAATTTACCAAAAAGTTTTGAAAAATAAAATAATTGTAATAATAATTTTTTTTTTAAAATTGAAAATTTTATTATAATCTTTATTGAATAATGACCAAAACTTTCAATTAGTAATTAAACTGTAAAAAAGAAAGAACAAAATCAAAAGTAGACGAATAATTATAAAAATAAACTTTTTTTAATTTCTTTAAATGAAATTCAAGTTGCTTCCAACGCTGTAAGGAAACGGAACAATCTGAATCGTCAGGCTCGTCCCTGAGCCAATCTTCTTTTAACTGCATACTTAAGCCTGCCAAAATTTTCTTTTTTTTTAATTCCTTTTAGACTCAATATTTTTTTACTTTTATTATTTATATAAGAAAGGAAAACTTCCAGGAATTTATCATTTTGCAGCAATTTCTGGTTTTTAAGAATAATTTCTTCAAAGTAGGGAAGAAGGATAGCTGTGGATCTTCTAATAAAAATTTAAAAAACTTATTATGGTAATGCCTTAAAATAAAAAAAAAAAGTTAATTTACAAAAATTTTGTGTAGACAAAAAAATTTTAGTAAAATAAAAAATTAAGAAATTATAAGTTTTACTATAAAAGTATTAACGGCTTAAAATGCTTAACTAGTCAAGAGTGCGCTAAATAAAATTTAGTATAAAGATTTCAGATCCTTTTAATAACTTAAATAATGAAAGCTTTTTAAAAATAATTAATAGCGAGTAATTTAAAAAAAGATCCAAGCTAAACTTAATCACGAACAGTACATTCAATAATAAAAATGCGTAAACAAACAAAATTAAGTAATAAAAAATTTACAAATGAATAATTTTTTTAAAAAGAAAAACATCATTTCATAAATAACAAGGAATCAAAAATGGTTATAATAAGAAATACACCGGGTTACAAATAATAATTACGAAAATTATATAACGTTAACAGAGAACTTTAAAAAATTATTTTTAACGGCTTAGAAATAAAAATTATAAAGAACATAGAACTTTAATTAGAAATAAGTACCTGGAAAAAATATACGATATATTGTAAATAGTTATAAGAAATACAAGTAAATAGCAACACAACTTTCCTAAAAAGCGCTTAACCATAATATATAATTGTAGGTTATTTAAATTTTCTTTGATTTAATACACATTATTAAATAATAAAAAAAATTTTAACGCATAAAAGGACGCTAAAGAGTTTAACTTCTACAGGACATGAAAAAAATTTGTATAACCGAAATTATAAAAGTTAATTCTACATAAAACGCTTGCAAAATTAACACTATTTTTAAAAAGAAATTTAAAATTATTTTAATAAGAATAAACGGCACTCAATCAAAGGAAAGGCCGGATTGGATAGCTGAACTTTTTGGATCGCGTGCTCTCCTCCCTTAACGAAGCAAACAAACGGATAGTTGAGTAAATTAATTACTTATGATTATCAGCGAATCGCTCACCGTAACGACGGACAAATAAGAAATCACGGAGTTTCGCTGCTCCGAGGTAAGAGCGCGAGCCCGTTTATCGCAAGCCCAGCAGTGGATCCCACGGCGGCCAGAATAAACCCAGAGAAGTTGCTTAAAACCAAAGTCCTCTATTTTTTAGAAAAAATTAAAATTATAATTTTTTTAAAATATACACTAAAAGAGTATTAAATTTGTGAGAGCAAGAAAGTATTATTAAAGTAAAACGAAATGTTATAATACGATAAAATTACCTCTAAGAATCGAGTCCAAAACTTCTACGGCGGCAGTCATAAATGGCCAGCAAAGTCTACAAACGTCGGCTCCTCTGCATTAATTTATAATTTATAAAAAATCCGTCAAAATTTGCTTAACCAAAATACTCACTGACAACAAATTCTCACGTCGTCGTAGTCAGTCATATCAAGATCAAACACCAATTCCTTCTCTAAAGGCTTAAAGGCCGATGACTTTATGCTTTTATGCATGTTTGGCTTTTTAAAATTGGATAATTAAATAATTTTTAGAGTTTACTTAATAAATAAAATTACTCGTGCACTGTAAACAGCACCAACATCGATTTTGTTAGGACAGATATCTTTCAACGATTCTTTAAGCGATTTCCAGTTATTAAAAGATTGGTAACGAATATAAATATCATCCTAAAATGCAAAAATCTAATTGATTGCGAGTGCAAATATAACCACGTAATACCCGAAGGGTGAAGCTAAACTCTCGATTAGCAAAGTAATCCTCGTTTCCTAAGTAACGAATATATAAGGAAAACACACGTATAAATAACAACCAAAGTTACTAATTGATTAAGAAAAAAATTATATGTGAGAGGAAAACATAAAATTAAAAACTGAGAACATTATAGAAAAAGGCTGAATCCGAAGAATTACCATACGAAAGCCAATGGTAGTAGTCAATAAAAGGGAAGAGCCGACAATAATATTGTTTTAACAAATCGGATAAAGGGCCAAAATCTGAGCAAGTTTTACTAGTAGGCTGAAGAATACGGTGCGAATCTTTAAAACTTTTATTGTTGTCGTTATAGTTCGCCTCTTCGCAATGTAAGCTGTATGAAAAATATATGGCATATTTACTATATGATAGTTTAAATTAGAAATATAAGTCTGCCACAAACCCTCCTATCATGTTAAAAGAGAAACAGCTCGAGGCAAATTCATTTTAAACCGAAAGTGTTTTTTGAGAGGGCTTACAGTAAAGTATGTGCAGGGTTGTTATAGGCCATATCCCCACCTCCCTCTGAAAGGAGCTACCTTTTTATGTGCGTCATACGGGGTGCGCCCTTGTTATTTTCTCTTTATATAGAGTCCTGTGTAAACAGTTGTAGACGGCCCCTCATCCTTCAATTGTACCCTATGGAAAATCTCATAAGCAAGCATTCCGCTTGCACTGACGTACGCAGAATGCGCGACCTTGACCTGTGTATCAATGCACATAGCAAACTCTGCATTCTCAAATGTACAGAATATCGCTATCCTAAAAATAATCGTTTTTTGAAGAGAATTAAGGCGCTCTATTTACTAAACAACGTAAAGAAGACATCGAAAACATTTACTAGCATCACGAATTAGAACAAATAGATCGGGTCCCTCTCGGGTTGCGGCATGCAAACTCGACCCCACCGGCACATAAGAATTAACTTTTAGGGCACACGACCGCCAGGGTGAATTAAGTTTCATACCTACGACTATCGCAGTTCATGGTAGTTTAACAAGAGACACCTTTGCGACTACCCATTTTGCTAGTGAGGGTATGATTATGGCCAAGAGGCCGTGGACAAAGTAAAGCTTCGTGCAGATTCTCTCGTTTTCACTATGTGACAATTGCCTACCAGATTTTCTATGGACCACTCCTTAATACAAGCATCTACGTTAATTCTAACAAACCTTACAATCTGGGCATCACTAAAATCCAGGGGATTTTAAAAGGCTACCAAAACAAGGAACGCAGCAGGCTGCTAAGCCATTGCCGTTGGTAGCGTCGGGCCAAATTTGCTATCTCATCGTCTCTTTCCTGTGCTATGGAAGGCGGTAAATGCTACGTTGCTGCCGAAAACACCACGACAAAGTAATTTGCGTTAAAAAACGAAGGACCATCAACCGCTTGTTAGTATCGAAGACATACTATCTCTTTACAACGTGGACGCTCGTCGTAGGGGAGGCAGATAATATTTGCTAAGGACCTAACAAAAACCGAAGAATATATTTAACTCTCCTTACCTCTTTGCCAAGACCAAAATAGAGTGTAGTGCCAGTAAGTTAAATATAATACATAATACCACAAGTATTCGTTACTAGCTGAGCTACCACGGTAACTTTCAATCTGGTTTGTTGGAATTTATACTAGCTTTGAGTTGGTTATAAAAATTATTTCATATCTTTAAACATTTTAATAGATTTGGTAGAAGGGTAGCGTTATTTAATAAGGTTGCAATTAATTATGCTTTGGACATCTTAAAAAATCTAATAAAGGTTTTGAAAACCTACCATACGGATGTCAGGTTTAAAGTACTTAGTATACAACTGTTAATAAAATTTTATGGGGCATTCTCCCTGAACTTTTACTTGCACGGAAAGCACATACTTACAAGTCTATTTAAAATAAAGAAAGTCATTTTCTTATGCTTTTTCTCATCTTAACTAAAGTGAAGAGCTTAAGAAGGGCTTTGTAAGAAAAGTTAGAAAGCCTCAAGCAGTGTACCAAGAAAGCGAGTGTAAAGATTCAGTAATCGATGTAAAGCTTTATATACAGAAACAATATAACTTAGAAATTTATAATAATTATCCAATATTTTCGATATCATATAAGCGTTTAATAGGGTAGCTAACCAAAAAGAAAACCGTAAAATAATTAGATTTATTGTATTTTAGCAGTACTAAAAAAGGGCTAACCTCAAATAAAGTTGTTTCACGTTCTAAAAGTTATCTTAATTATTTTCTAGACTAATCCGTTTTAGGCTTTTTCATGGAGTTTTCCAAAAGTTCGTCTTTGCTTAACTTTCTTTTACTTGCTTCGAGGCGAGCTTTTACCTCATGTCTGCGCTCATTAATAAAAAAAATTATTCACTTGACAAATATAATAAAACACGGAATTGCACAACTTTTTCTTTTCGCTCTCTTCTTTCTTTTTAAGCTCTTCCTTGAGAAGCTCAATTTTGCGTCTCCTTTCTTTCCTTCGTACTTCAAGCTCTTGTTGCTTCATGTTCTCCTTCTGCTTTTTGACTATTTATAGTAAAATAAATAGGCGCGTATTCATAAAATATAGTGAAATAAAGGCATGCATTTTTCTTCCAAGTCCTTATCACCCAAAAGAAGTGAGACAACTTCATTGGTTTTCGGTTCAAGTCGGGCCTTATAAGTTCCTCCAGAGATGACCATATTTTGAATCTATTAAAAAAGGCCAAACAAAATGCATTATTTATAAATGTTGCTAAACGAGACTCTACTTCGGATTTCTGCTGAGCCCTTTGAAGAATTTTCTCTTCAATAGTTCCTTTAGCCACAAGGCGATACACAGTTACTACGTGAAAAATTTTAAAATTATAAGGATTACAGTAATAATTAAATTGTTATGATTATATTGATTTAAAACAACCTTGCCGGGTTTGCCCCACACGGTGCGCCCTATCCATAGCCTGCTGGTCAACCGTTGGATTCTTTTATAATAAGAAAAAAAAGTTAATTATAAAAAAACTAAAAATGAAAAATTGAAAGTTTAAAGTTACAAATAATAAACCTCCATAAATATTATTTTAAAAAGAATTATAAAAAAAAGAACACGGTATACCCAATCAGAGTCGTAGAAAATCACCGTGTCAGCTGCAGTTAAATTAATTCCAAGGCCGCCAGCTCGCGTGCCTATTAAAAGTTTAGCCGATACATAGATGTATATGAATCTTTAAAATACTGAGTAAAAATATGAAAACGTCCTCCCGATTCTGAAAGTCAGAAACCATATCACGCCTAAAAATAAAGTATACAGTAAACTAATTAAGAATAATAAAGAAATAAAACTTTAAAATTTGATTCCTATTATTATTTATACAACAAAATTAAATAAATAATAAAGTAAGAAAAATTCGAAATAAAAATTCTTAAAACAATAATAATAGAAAGTAACAGCTAAACTAAAATGAGATGAATTGATTAAAAAAACATTAAGAATTACATATATATAAAGTATAAATTACATATATATATCTCAATTATAAATTTTTTTTTTCCAATTAATAATAATTCTTTTACTAACATCTTTCGCAGTAAATTTTAATATAAATAAAAATTTCTGTGGTAGTTTAATTGTAAAAAATTTAGATCCGAAAAAGATATAAATAATTTTGTGGTAAGTACTTTAAATTTATAACAGAATTTAATTTTAAAAGTTTATATAAAATTCCAAATGAGATTTTTATTCATAATTCTTATTTTTAATTCACAAAAATAAGTGTAAAATTCTTTACTTAAAACTTTATAAATTTTATTTTTTTTAAAAGCACTACATAAAGAATTAAAGTAAAATTTAAGTAACTTAATAGCATTCTAACTAGTCATAAGTATTTCTTAAAGGCTAATATGATATAAGAACTTTTTTATACATAAAATAGCAAGCCTTGAAAAATATTTGCAAAGTTTTCTGTAATTTTTAAAAAATTTCCATCTAAATAGGTATTACGAAAATTTTAATTTAGTTTATAAAAGTTTATATATAAGGTTCCAGATGGTTATAAAATATAAGACAAATATCTAAAGTAAAGTTTTTATAAGAAAATTTAAATTTCTGCTCTCTATCAGATTTTATAATATATTACAATATTTTCAGAAATTTTATTTTAAATATTAATTTAAAAAAAATAAACTAATCAACAAATATATAAATATAAAGTACCAAAATTATTAATATACTTAAATAAAAGTCTTCGAATTCAAAAAAGAATTATACGTAACATAATAATATATAAAAAAATTAATACAAGCAAACTTTAACTTTTGCTGAATGTATTTATAATAACTATACACTAAATTTAATAACTTTGGTATAGAAAACCTTCAAAGAAAAGTTATAAATTTATTAGTATAATTATAAATTTTACTATTTTTATTTTATTATATATTCTTATAGTAAAGTTTTTTGAATTAAAAATATTAATAACAATAACATAAATTTCAAACGTTAACTAAAATATGTATAACAAAATTTATTAAGTAAAATTTTATTGACAAAAGAGAAAATTAAAAATTTTAATTATTTTTTTAATTTTAAAGAAATACAAGCAACAAACTTTAAAAATTACATTCTTTCCTTGTAAATCAAAAAATAGTGAAGTTTTAGTTTTAAAGATATATATAAACAAACGGCTTAACAAAATCTAAAAAGGTTTTTTAGTTTAAATTTTTTTTCAACTTCACTTTTTACTAGAGACCCAATTTAATTATAATGAAATGGTTCAAAATTTAATAATAAATTTTAATAGTTAAAATTAAATTCCCAGTTAGATACAAAATTCCTGTAAGTAATTATAATCTAAATTTCATTATATACAAAATATCTAACAGAAAATTTATAATTAGAACTTTTACTAACAATTGAAACTCAAATTTGATATATAAAAGTTTGTACCGCAATTCTACTTTACAAGAGCCGTCAAACCGGAAATAATTATACTTTCGAAGTTGAACAAATTCTTCTAACAAGTCGATCATTTTAGTCATTTGAGAGTAAATAAGAACGCGATGATCTTCTTCTTTCAATTTCTTTAGCAACTTTATAAAAGTTTCATAAAAAATATATAAACAACTTTCGATTTTAAAAAAATTATAATTATAAAATTGATCTGCAAATTTTTTTTTAATTACAAATGAATTTTCAATAAACAACAAAAATATATCAAAAAAGCTTCAACAAAGATTCAAAAATTATATTAAAATTTAAAATAATATTACTGACTTTTTTTAGACTTTAATTAAGAATCTTTTATCGAAAAAACTTAAACAAATTTAAATAATAATAATAGTAAAATAAATCAAAACAAAATTTACTACCTTGTCGAGAACAATCATTTTTTCACTGTCTGTAACAAGGAGCTTGCGGGCTAAAAATAATACAACAAATTTTAAATATAAAAATAAAAAAAGTCCCAAATTTAAGGTACGACCAGGTGCACGTGCAAAGCACCACCCGTGAAACGGCTTAATAACTCCTTTAATAAAAATAAAATAAAAAATTCATTAGAGATGACATTCAACAAAAGGCACACAGATCTACCTAATATGCCGTTGGGCGGGAGCGAACACTGCAGAGTGCACGCCCAATCAGGGTCCAAATGTCGAAAATCACGTGGAAAAAATCGGCTGGTTTCTTCACAATTATTAACCAACAAAAATAAAATATAAATATTTGTAATAATAATAACGAACATATTAATTATAACAGTATCTTAACAATAATAACCTTTAGGAACAAAAATTTTATTTTCCAGCTCAAAAGCAGTACCGCTATTTTTTTCCACGTGGTAACTGCCCAGTTGAAAAGATGACTTGAGCGTCTCAAACGTGTCGGGAAGTGCATTATAGTACTCGTAAGCATCTGTAGTATATTTCTTTATGAACAATGTTAATTAAGACAGTGTGTTTGTAATACTTTCATATTCATGATCCCCAAACATTGGCATCCAAGTGGAAACCGAAAACAACTTCTCCTTTTCGTAATATAAATAATGAAAAGAGTAAAATAAAGGAAAAAAAACATACAGACGCTGTAGGCACGGGAAAAGTATCTCTAAAAAGAAGACCCTTCAATAAGACATCTGAAAAGAGTTGCTCTTTTCTATTACTTTCAAAAGATAGCGAATGACAGCACACGTCCACAGGAAGTGCAACTGCCTTTAGCGGAAAGAAAAAGGAAAAACTTACAAGGCAGCCGGCAAACCAACAGAAAATTATATAAATTTATACATTTTCCGTGCCAATGGCAGTCATAGTAGTAAGAAACGAAGAATCACCGCAAAGTTTTCGGGAAAAAACAGGAGTCATTAACGATGCAGGCCCCGTTGGAACACTTTTATATAGCAGTTTTCTATTTTTAAGCCTGCAATACGCCAAAAACTTTAAAGATAGAAAAAAAATAATCGACATAGAGCGAATCGCAGTATACTTCTCTCGCTGAGCCAAGCAAAACAAGGCCAAGGCGCGCAGTAGCCAATCGGCGCCAGCCATATAGCTGAATTCCTGAAAAGAGAGATCTATTAAAGGACGAAGAAACGAAAAACACTTGCTCCCTTCGCAGTTTTTAACCACCTAAAGAAAAAAATAATCACAAAAGTTTATCAAGATGATTACTAAAAATAATAAATATCATGTACATGAAAAGCAGCGAAAATATTATAATATTTCCTGTATAAGTTTTTTCGTTCAGTTTCGGCCGCCAAAACTTTACAAAAAAGGAAAATTAAGAAATATATACTTTACAATAGTAATAATCTAACACTCGTTGTATACGACTGCAGGAAGGCGAAATAGTATTGGGCTTCGAGTTAGCTTAACAATATCTGATGCAATAATAAATAAATAATAAATAATAATAATGTAATGACAACAAATTAAATAATAAGTAATAATAATAACCAAAAGAGCCGTCTCGTTCAAACAACTTTTTACGCATGTTGAAGGTATCCAGTTCTTCCTGCAGCAAAAAAAATCATAAAAGTATGTCAACTACCAGCTTTCTACAAAAAAAATAAAGAATTTAAACAATAAATTGAGCCAACAGAAAAAAAGTATACGTAAACAAAAAAATGTGAAAATATTATATTTAAGAAACTTTTTCAAAAATATAAGATATACATGTAATTTCCTAAGTTTAATGAAAAATTTAAACTTTTGAGTATATAATAAAATATATAAAACCAAATAAGTATATATTAACATAAGGAAAAAATAAAAGTAAAAAGAAGTAAAAATATATAATACAATAGAGTTATTATCATAATAATATATAAAACATACGAAAATCTTCATAAAAAGTTATAAATATTAATAATTAACAAAAATTAGTTTAAAAAATGTAATATTAAGTACATTATATACAATACAATAATATATAAAAATATTCATACAAAATAGGAAATAGCAATAAACGTTAATAATAACTCAATATAAAAATGATTAATAACACAAAAAAATAATAAAATCATATTTATAAAAATAATAAATTCATATAATATAAAAAAAGTAGTAAATATATTATAGGAAACATAAAATAAAAAAGTAACGTATAGTTTTAGTGAACTTAAAATAGTTCAATATAAAAACGAAAAGAAAGAAAAGTTTTCAAAAATATTGTTTACTTTTAATTATTTTTATTACGAACATTATAGTTTATATACATAAAAAAAGTTTTGCAAGTTTTGTTTATTTTTTTTAGGTTTATTTATTATTAAGAATAGTTTGATAAATTTTTACTTTTTCTTATTTTTATAACGAAGGATAAAAGTTTATATAATGATTGCTATTGTATATATATTAAGTTATTGTATTTTTTAGTGTAAAATAGGTTCATTTTTATCATATTTATTTTGTATTGGATGAAAATTTATTTATATATTACTATTATCTTTGGTATTCATTACTTCTTATATTTTTATTATTAACATACAAAATAGGACAGAATTAATTTTTATGTGTATTATTATTTTTAAATGCTATTCACTTTTTTTTTTCTAATTTAATAATATTATCTTTTAGAGTTTATAAATTAATAATATACTTATTAATAATTTATTTATTTCATACTAATGCATGTTTATAATGAGAATAATATTTGAATTTTTCTTTAATATATATTTATTATTAAGTGTATTCCTCTAATAAGCATAAATGCTTATTTATTATACTACTCTTAAATTTAGTTATTATTTTTATACATCTCAAAAAATGATAAAATATTTGTAAGGGAAGCATACGGCGTTCAGTAAAGGCTGGGACTTATCAAGAAAGTAGTAAGGAACATGCGTTGTTCTGCGCTCAAAAAGAGAAGGATGGTTACAAACCTATTAAAAAACAAAAAATAGGAAAAATAAAAATAAAAGTTTATATAAATAAATAAATATATTGAAGGATAAAGAATAAATAATAATATAAAGATGTTTTTAACATAAAATATTAGAAATATATAAAAATGTATTATAGAATAAAAAGTGAATAATATATATTTAATAATATTAAAGATAAATAATAATAGTATATACTGAAAATTAAAATTATATAAAGCAAAAATAAATAATATATAATTAAAAATAGAAAATAGTTATATATTTAACAACAATAATTAAAAATAATAAGAAAAAAAAGTATTAAGGAAAAAAAATAAATAAAAATAATATATATTAAAATTAATATATGAAAAAACAAAAAGAAAAAATATATAGAAATAAATAATAAAAATGTAAAAAATACGTAGAAATACTAAAAATAAAAATATAAAATAAAGAATATTGAAAAAAAAAGTGAAAACCTTCCGAAGCTGCATAACTAAATTCATTAGTCTTTTGCTCATCTGATCGTTAACGGACTTCGACGTGGTGGAGCTCAAAAGATCTTCAATATTAATTTTCTGCTTAACACCTTTTACGTTTTTTAATATAATATTAAAAATACAATTAATATAAAATAACAAACTTTAAAAAAAAAGAAAAAAAAAATATTTTATGTATAATATTATTAATAAAATATTTAGATATAAATAACATACTATAACAAAAAAAACATTCCTTAAATAATATTACATTTTTCTATATAAATATATTAAAAATATTTAAATATAAATAATATTCTGTAATAAACTTTTATGAAATAAATTAAATAATAAACAATTTTAAGTCATATTCCCATAAAAATATTATTCACTTATATTATCTAACAAACTTTATAGAAAAAATAAGAAAAAACACGTTTTTAATATTAGAAGTCCATATAAATATTATTAAAAATATATAAATATGAATAATAAACTTTAAAGGAAATAAGAAATATCATAAGTCCACATAAATATAATTGTAATAGAGTTTTTTTTCTACTTCGTATGTATATACATAAAAAACCTAAGTGAAATATTCTTACTATTCGCTATAAAGACGTATAAAAAAAATTTTTAAAGGGTTGAACCACGCAACGCCTATTCAGTTTAACATAATAAAAAAAAGTAAAACAATAAGTTTACTTCTACTAAACACAAGCACTTTATGTATATGCAAACTTTATAGAAGAATTTTTTGCTCTTGTTGTAGTGAAATACTATTTTCATTATAAAAAACTAATAAGGCAATTTTTATAAATAAAAATAACTTAATAAGAACTATACAATACAGAACTAAAAAATTCGCTTTCTGCACAACTTTTACTGTAGTTGTGTAACTCTCATAAACCTTCATAAAGGCGACGCTGGTGAGGTGTCAGACCGCAGTCCACTTGTATTTCAAGCTAAAAAAGTTCATTAAAAAAGTTTAATAATTTTTTTTAATGAATTACTATTATTCATGGTATAATATCCAATGCGTGTCAAGAATTAGTTTATATGTTTTATTCATATTTATAATATTTTTTATAAGTTAAAATATAATTTATTATTAACCCTTAAGAAATTAATTTATATTAAAAATATATTTTGTACAATTAATATTTTATATTTATATAAAAAGTTCAACATTTATTATATACTTTATAAGTATTCTACATTGTTAAACTAAGAATAGCGGATGTATATATATTTTTTGTTATTATTATGGATAGCGCAGTTAAGTTATTATTTGTATAATTAATAAAATTTCTTTCAAAAATATTTTAGTTAAGATATTATATTTATATAATTTCTTATTGGTTATTCACTTATTTATGAAACTGATAAAATTGTTAAGAATATATTATAAAAAGTTTTCTTATTTGATAAGTTATTCATTAAACTTTTTTCTTTATAGAAAGTTTTATTTTTTACGAATTATTATAAAAGTATTCATAATTATATTAATGCTTATTAAACCTTTTCACCCAATTGGTGCTGCACGTGTCGTTTGAGTCTCCGCAGCATAAAAGGTTTTAATATCATATGTAGCCTTTTCAGCTGATCTACAAAAATATTTAAAAAGTAATCAAAAGAAATAATGGAAGTTGTTTATAACCTTTCTATCTAAAAAATAAATAAATAAAAAAAGTTATAATCAATACTTTCGTCGAGGCCAGACTTTTTTTCCGCATGACTTTCAATGTCTTTAGAAAACCTGAAAAAGTAATGACCGCATTAAAAAGTTATTCTATACAAAAAAAACCTTTTTTTTACTGTACCATTCAGTAAACTCGTCGTGGGAGTCGAAAAGCGTCGGCATAATGAAGTGCAGCAGAGCCCAAAGTTCCGCCATGCTATTCTGAATGGGTGTGCCTGCAAAAATAATAATGATATAATAATAATAAATAAATAAATAAAATAACCCGTAAGCAACAGTCGATTCCTGCAATTAATCCGAAGCAAAACTTTCCAACGCTGACTAATAGTTTAGAGCAGTGAATATAGTGAACGTATAACGACAAAAGAAAACCGCCGCGGATAAAAAAAACCTCGAAGTGCTCTTTATGGCCTGAGCCTCGTCCAGGACCATATATTGCCACCGAAAGCGCTGAAAGTACCGCTCATCCGCCACAACCTACCCTCCACTCAACACAGTAAGCTCAATAGAAGAGTATAAAGAAGAGAGGTCAGTGACCATGTCATAGCTGGTAATGAGCACGTGGAACGAGGCATCGCGGTTGTGGAGTTGCTTACGGGTCCATTCCTTGCGAATGACTTGCCGCTGTTTGGGCGTCCCCCAATAAGGAAGAACTTTCAAATGCGGGCTGAACCGTTGGAACTCGTTTATCCAGTTATGAACGGTGGACAGGGGGGAGATGACAACGAACGGGCCCCACACACCGTGAACCTAGCGAACCAGCTTGGCCAATACAAGTTTATTACACAAGAAATTGACCAACCTCCGCTAAGTACGTCATGAGGGCTATTGTTTGGATAGTTTTGCCAAGGCCCATTTCGTCGGCAAGAATGCCGTTAATGCCCTGAAAGCGCCCGTACTTGAGTCACTTGCAAACTCTCTTAAGAACAATGCACCTGTTCATAGAGAAACACCAACCAACTCATTCCCTTCAATTGATAGGATTTTAGTGTCCCAACAAACAACTTTGGTTGGGGCAGATCATCTTAATAAAAAGAGTTTAGTACTGCCATCAGCAGGTTTATATACAAATTAAAAAAGTCCTATTCTACCCGAAGACACGGGATTGGAGAAGTTAGACATGTTATCAAAAGCCTCCTGAGAGAGCTTCTGGGGTTTCTGTGCAGTTTGACGCTTTAGTACTGCAAAGAAAATTATCAGTTAAGTCACAAAAAATAAAGAAAGTCAATAATTACTGGTCGCTTCGGTATCAAACGCTTGAGTTTTTCTTCGAGCCGCCAAAAGCGCTCCTAGCCAATCGAGTTTAAATATAATTAGAGTAAGTCAGACAAGATAAACTTTTTAAGAACCTTTTATGCTCTCAGCAGCTCTTTCTCGAAATTCCTTCTCTTCATCTAAAGTTGTTGATAATTATTATTATATTATGATTACTACTACTTTTATTATTCTTACTATCGATGTCGTGATCGGCGCTGCTGTCCTCTTTAGCGTGCAATTTGTCTATTATTTCTTCTTTAGAGGGAAGCTCGGCCTGCCCGGCTGCTAGAAAGTTGCGGAAGTCAAAAAGTAGCAAACGAATGTTACGTTAGTAAAGAAGTAGATATAAATGTAATACAAATACTTTCATAGTGTTTATATATAAACAATAAATAAAATTCTTTATTTATTGTTATTAAAGTATTCACTGCTTCTTAAGTTAATATACTTATTAAAGTCAAGAATGATTATCCATTAAAAATCAAAATCAAATTATTTTTTGTCTTATTATTGGTTGTATACAACAGTTGCTCACCGGATTTCTCCACCATAAAATGAGCGTAAAGTTCAGTTTGCGTAATCAAAAAGTTGAGTTTCCTTTGCTGCCGCTTGGCCTCTCGCATTTCATCTTCCAGCTTTGCTTGTTCCAAAGCTGGATGTATAAAAAAAATATGAAAAAAATATTAAGTAATGATGGTGTATATATATATATATATCGGAAACCCTGCTTCTCGGCCCTCTTCCTATTTTCGCGCTCTTTCTTCTCGTGTTTACGCCAATAATGTAGCATCTGCACCCAACAGATAAAAGAGTTGTGTATGCATTACGGAGTACCGAAAAAAGCTGGAGAACCTCTCTCATTATTTTCTTGTTTTTAGCAGCCGTTTCCCGCGCAGTTCTGAAGCGCTTAATAGCATTAAAACGAGCTTCTTTCTGACACATCGCACTTACGACTAAACGTTAGTTCTGTGCAGTTTTTATATATTTGGTAGCAAATACACCTTAAACGCTTTAAATTGCTAAGTTTTAAGTTCCGTTGAGCAAAAAATTGGCGATAGGCCTAAAAAGAATACCAACACCACATGATTACCCGAGTTTCAAAGAAATTCATTAAAAAACTGTACGCGAGGAATTTCCCGCTTGCAAATAAAACTCCAACTCTTCTTTCCGTCCTCTTCACTGGCTTCCTCGCTTTTTGAGTAAAAGGAAGACCTTTCATTACAATATCTGAATAATAAAAATACTAAAGAATAAAAGTAAAATTGCCTGCGGAGCCCACGCAGAGGAGTCTGCTCTTCATTATCGGACTTAATATAAAAGTTGGGGTGAATTCACTATAAAAAACGGTACAAAAAATATCACCGAATAACTTTTTGTCCAACTGACTTGCTTGCTGGCTATGGACTCAAACTGATTGGCGAGAAGTCCTTTAGGCATAATAAAGCATCAACCATCACAATAATAGGAGAGTTTTACACTAAAAAAGTACGTAAAACTTCATAATTTTTTTCGGGAAAGTTGTACTCTACTTTTTTCTTTCCGGAGACAAGGCGGGTAGCGCCTACAAAGTTTTAATGAAGTTTATTAATATATTTTCTAGCGTTTTTACTGCGCACCTCGTTTTTTTATAACAGAAAGAAGAAGAGTGCCGTAATCAGCATACTTTTCACGAATCTTGCAAATGTCCAATTATTATAATGCGGTTTATCATAAGAAATCAGGCATGTTTACAAAAGTTCTTTGTCTCCTATAAGTCTTCTGTGCCTGCTTTTTCCGCCAATAGAAACGAAGTGCCGACTGCAGCCACTTCTCATCTGTCCTCCTTATATTTATAACAGTAACTTTATAATGATACATGCGATGTCACCAGGAACAAAAGTTTCTTCTTCAGACCCGCTATCGCTTAACACGTCGTCGATAATCCATCGCTTCCTTCGCTATAAAAAAATACAAGAAATAAATAACTTAACATTCATTACTGAATTTAAGGATATGTGGTTGCCTTGTTGGGACTCTTTAGAGTTGTTTTAGTGAAACTCATGCCCAATTGGGACTCGACGTCAGCTATTTCCTATGCAAATAAAAGTTAACCAACCAAAAAAAATAAAAAGTTACTAAGTAGCAAAAAACTTTATTGAGAAGGGCCAACGCCTGCTCATAATCGCAGAGGCGAACGACTTTCTCATTCGGATATTCAATGATGAGATTGGGATCGTCAAAGTCCCCGCCATCACTATTTTTCAAGCGGTAGTCTTTTTTTTTTTTTCACAAAAAATTAGATAAGAAAAGTACGAGTCCGCGGAAAGGGATTGATCCGATTCGAAATCAGGACACAAATCGACGAAGTCTTCCAAGGCATCGTAGTACAAATCTTCTACGCACAGTATAAGTAAAACATATCAAAACAACTGAACAGCGACTTGCCTTTAGAGTTAAGCTTCATTCCCGATGGCGTAGTAAAAACAGATTCTACTATTATGTATACTTTTAATGAATTCTTATATGCTATTATATTATTCTAGGAGCACCTTTCTTCGGCCTCTTTACTCTTGGGCGTTGTAGAGGAGCTCGCGGTTTATCGTCTTTTTTTGTAAGTACAATAACAAGTATATATAATGTAATTATTAAAAAGGGAGCCTCACAAGAGCCCAGTTTTTCATTGTTCACAGAATTAAAGTTTTCCACTTCAAATTCGTTAGACATTGACTGAATTTTTTCCGCCTTGCTGCCTTCATAAATACTGTCCAACAAAGTGAGGTCCTCTTTCTGGCGCTGTTTCAGTCTCATAGCATTTATATAGTTTAACGGCACGTTTTGGCCTTTCAAACTCGCATAGTGGCCAGGTTTGGGATAAACAGAGGGCAAATGAGGCAAGTGTCTGGTGTCCTTTGGCAGCTCTTACAAAGAACAGTGCTATGCATATCTACTTATTACTACCAATAATATGTTTACCACCACCGTCTCGTGCGCATGCTAACCGGTCCATGTGATGCTTCACGTCTACATTTCTTTCGGAGCGCTCTTCCATATAATTGTAATTATCCTTCGGGGGTGGCCGCGTGGGAGTGGCGTACAACTCGTAGCCAGAGGGGAGTGTCATGGGGCGATAAAGCATTGGGTACGAGGAGAGCTGCTCTATTGGACCGCAGTGAGCGGAAGAAGGAGTCCTTCCGACCATCATATCAGAAAGGCCGAACCGAGGGAAGTGGGGCATGCGCGGGGAAACAGCAAACGGCCGCAAGCGCACATAGTGACTGTTAGAAGGAATGCGAGAGAAGTGAAGGTCGCTGGGATCTACTAGCTGACCAGAATCCACTCCTTTTAGATCTTCAGACTTGTTTTTGAAGTACGGCGAAGATGAACGCTCGAAAAACTGGTTCCGGTCTGGAGGAGTCTGGGAAGGAGCAACTCTGCACTTACCATAATAATGAGATTCAGGCCCTTCAATATCGCAGTTGTTGTTATAATAATTATTAAAGGAGCACGCCATGTTGGTAGGCGGCTGATCAGGAAGAGGAATGTTATATAAATTGTTAAAGTAACTCGGCCCTGAACAAGAATCTACGGGTTTAACAGACTCTGCTATAAAACGTTAGTAAACTTGAATTTGAAATATTAAGGAGTAATAAAAGGTGTACCGTTTAAGTTGTTCTGAACTTCCTCTAAAGAATATTTTTTGTTCTGCACTCAAAAGTTAAGTAAGGGTATAGAAAAAAAAAATAAACATGTTAAAATATTAAATAAAAAATAAGAAAGAGGCTAGGAGAATACAAAATATTAATAAGGAACTTAAAAAATTAGATAATTAAGTATAATAATTCCGCTAAAAGTAAGAGTATGCTACACCTGATCGACTATTCCAGAGTGTGTAGTAGAATTAGAAGAAAGTGACATTTCTTAAATTGATATATATATACTTCGAGTAATCCATAACTTATTCTAGCAATTATAAAAAATAAGGGTTGATAGTTAAAGTAAAATCTTTAAAACTGTTAAAATATGAGTGTCTAAGTTAAAAAAAGGTTTTGTAAGCGCCTCTTTATATACTATAAAGCGAAGACAAGTTATCCCATACATAAGAGGATATATAAAAACCGGAGAAGCCCAAACACTAAAGAAAGAAAAAAATTAGAAGGCGAGCAATGGCGAACTTTTTTTAAATAAAAATTGAAAATTAAAATTTTAAAGGAGTTGGAACTTGAAAACTTCCCTACAGATCAAAGGAAGGCTGCATGGGGCTACGGCCAACCACCGAAAGCTAATCGGAAGTTTTCTTCTTAAATGCTTTGATATAATGTCATTTTAATAAAATTTATAGCTTTTATTAAGAATAAAATAAATATTGAAATACACATAAAAAAAATTTGTTTATTTTTAAAAAAATCAAGAGAAAAATCAAATTAGTTTAGAGTAAAAGCAAATATTTTGAATACTTTAAGCTGATTGGCTTTTAGATGTTAAGTGTTCGCTCCTATCAGCAATTTAAGCTTTTAGTTTTTACATAAACCAGTCTATACTTAACACACGAACTTTTAAAGTATAATGAGCTGAGATTACTTTCTAAATAAGAAGTAAACTACGTTATTAATTGTAACAACTTAATTAAATATGCATATTGAAAAACATTTCTAATATACTTATTAAAGTTGTCATTTAGTAAGTGAGAGGATTGGTTTTTTTTTAACATTTTTAAAATATTATATAAAGCGAGTAGTGATGGTATATAACTATAACTTCTATAACCCTTAGGTAAATCTTTTGCTCTTCTTAAGAAACGGGCTATATAATATTGGACACAGTTGGTGTTGCAAAATATCCTGTAGACGCTAAAAATGTCTAGTGGTATCGCTACTATAAGAAGTCTTCAGATACCTATAGTTTTTAATAGGAAATTAGTTACTGATTGCTTTAAGATCTATGTTAAATTATAAATCTTACTATCTGAGTACCACATAAACTCGAGGTAAACATTAAATTAATTAAGTTCATTGCTGCTGTACCATTAAATCGATTATTAATATATTTTTATAAATTTGTTTTTCGAGTGGAATTACAGTTGGCATTACGTGTCTTAATTACAAGCGTAATAATACGGGCTTAATAAAAGACTTGCAGTGAAAAGAATCTAAACAGTATAGTCATAAAAGCTAGCTGCCCCTTTGTAACAAGGTCTGCTGAGCTAAAAAATATATCCAATCTAAGTAAATTGGAAATGAAAAATACTGTAATTTTTTATAATTAGTTATTTAGCGCACTAATCTTTTTATTGAACTTATTTTTATATATATATATATAATAAATTCTTTTATAGGCGCTATGGACTCTTTCTTTGGTAAAGTGGCACCTTTTTTTCTCCTGCAGTCTAAGAAACTAAAAAACCGTATTAAATCACATTACTATTTACTATTGGTAAAAGAGCCAGAATGTCATTGTAAAAAGCTTTCAACTGAATTTATAGAGATTAGTTAATATCGGTAGAAGAAATTGAGTTGTCTTAGTTTAAGGTTATTAAGGTTTTGTAAGTATTTTTGTAAAATTGGTATCCTTGTTATGATACAAACTATTTTTATATTGAATATATCTTTAGTTTTAAAAGTTTTAAATGTTAGGCTATTTTTACTTTAATCTGCATTTAATAAAAAAAAGTAAGAAGAAACAAATAGGTATACCCAGTGACTACTTAATAGAGACAATAAGCAAAAACGTTTTTGTACTGCAAACTGTGAATTAACATCTCAGTAGAACTTAATTTTACCAATTTGAAAGCATTCGACTGTAAAAAAAAAAGTTCAGAATTAATTTTAACTATAAAGCTGACCACCAACGCGACTAGAAAGAGGATAACAAGATAGCGACAGATGGTTAGCGAATTAAGGTGGCACAGAGTTAGCATTATTTAGTTTTTTATTAGTGCACAGGAGATGAAGCAAAATTATAAATTTTTTTATAATCCAATGAAAAGGTATTCGACTATTTGAACAGAAAAACTCATTTGAGGGTCAAAAAAGTCATTTTCAATTAAAAAAGGATCTGTTTTTCGATTGACTCTTTTGCAGTGGTACAGAAGCTACAGATCATGTATTTTTATTACAATTTTGGACAGTAGTTTTAATCTTGGGTGTATATATTTACGCTACTTATAACTACTACCTGTGATAAGGCCGTTTTATATTTCATTTTTAATTCACGCGTTTCGAGGGTTGCAATATGTATAAAATATGTACAATTTCTATAAAACCTATTTTTTGAAAAGCTACCGCAGTAATAAATAAAATTTTACAAGTAAAGAAAATGAATTTGGCTTAAAACTAAACTTTCCTTTTGAAAATTATAAAGATTGTAAAATTTTTATTTTTAACATAGACATTCAACTATATTAAAAATTTCGAAAATACCAAATAAAAATCAGGGAAAGATTTTTTAATTTTTCTAAGACTAATAACTCAAATCAGAAACAATTTTTTTAAAAAACTTTGTTCAAATTAATTTACAGTCGAATTAAAGATACAAAAGCATTTATTTTATTTTATTCTTCTAAGATTAAATTAAGTTTAAAAATGTTTAAAATTTATACAATTCTAAACAAATTTTTATAAGAGGAATTGTAAAGAATTCTAAATTTAATTTATTACTCTGCTGAATATTATAAGAGTGAAGAGTATATAGATTGTAGTTAAACGATTATTTTTCAAAATGTTTTCAGGAACAGTTATAACAAAGATCAGTAACCAATAATATAGAATAAATAATAAAAACTTAATCCTAAAATATTTTTATTATATTTATAAATTGTACAAAAGTTGTGAAATTTTATAAAACTAAGAGTTTCATCTACTTTAAATTATTAAATCTGTTGATCAAATTGGAAAAGTCGTCAGGGCTGTCAGAGGCAGAATCTGTTTGAAATAAAAAAATTAACAGAATATTGTATTGGAAATTACTATATACAAAAGAAAAAGTAGAACCCGAAGAGAGATTTAAGTTACTTTTAATATTTTTTAAGGCATCGCGAGGAAGATCACTAAATTCTTATTAAGAAAAATATCAGAAATTTTATTATTAGTTACAAAGTTTAACTTTTTTTGATACTTACAATCTAAAAATCTCAGGAATATAATATACAAACATGATTTATTTTATATTTTATAAAGGAAAAGTAATGAAAAAAAATAAAATATATAAATTTAACAAAAAAAATGGAAATCGGCAAGTTTATAACGTTATTAAAAAAAAATGTGAGCACAAAATGGATTTCAACATTTTCTTAAATAACTAATCTGAAGTAAAAAAAAGAAGAATTCCTAGAAAAAAGAAACTGCTATGTCCTAACGTCTTCTATTTTAATACTTTCTTCAGATATAGATAAAAATAATTTTTACAAAAAATTCTTTTCTTATTTTTTAAATCTGAATTACTTTATTATTTTCTTAAACCCTTATAAATATTATAAGTTACTTTAAAATTATTATAAAAAAAAAAGAAAAATTTAATCAAAAATGCAAACAGGCACAGCTCCCAAATTTAGATTTTCACATTATCGCGAACAATAGAATTTATCAACCTTATTACAATTAAAAGTAATAATATATGGTGATAACTTAATATTTCAGAACAAAATAAGTAAAGAACTTTTGATTTAAATATAAAAACGAAAAAGAAATAAATTAAGATAAAAACTTTCTTACAAACCACAAACTCAATTAAAATAAAGTAAACTTTTTAATAAATATAAAAAGTAAAAAAAAATGTTATTAAAAAAATTTAATATTTCTTTAAAACTAATAAAACCAGAAAAAAAAATGAGATTAAAGACCAAATTAAAAACATTAAAGTAAAAATTTTAGCACGTTCGCAAAAAATATAAAATAAAAATAAAAATATATAATTATTAAAAAATTGATTTTTTCATTAAAATAAACAAAATTAATATAAAAAAAAGTCGTTATTAAAAAATTTTAAAAGCAAAATTTATAAGTAGAAAAAAAGTATATTTATTAAAAGTACAGAAAAAAAATATTTAAAAAAAGTTATGATTAAAATAAAAAGTAATTTTGTTTGATATAAAATAAAAAAAAGAAAATATTACCAAAACAATATTTAAAAAGAATTTAATAAATATCAAGAAAAATAAATAAAGTAAACAGTCAAGATTTATTTTCTCGTAAAAAAGAAAAATAATATAAGTAAAAGCAAAAGAAGTACCGGAAGAACTTCCAGGAGGCGGCAAGTCATCGAGAGCGGGAAGATCTAGAGATTCTACTAATAATTTATATAAGTAAAATATATTAAAAGTTATAAAAACTCTAAATTTTATAAATAATAATGAAGTCTCAAAGAAAAATAATAACAAAAAATCTTTTTTTTAAAAAAATTAAATTTATTAAATAATTAAAGAAAAAATAAATTATCAAAACTAAAATAATTTTAAAAAAAAAATTTTAAATCTGATTAATTTTAAAAAACGAATAACTGTGAAAAGTTAAAAAAAGAGGAATTTAATAGAAACTAAAAAATACCTTCCTGGTCAAATTCTTGAGAAGGAAGTGACGAGGGACACTTTAAAGCAAAATTTTTAAAAAAAAGGAATTTAAAATTAGTAAAGGCAGTAGAAATATTTAAATTTTATATCAGTAGAAAAATGATTCACAAGTGAAAAACAGAAGAAATTTAAATCCACAAGTAGTAAATACAAAAAGTTTATACGCTCTCCTCAGTCAAAGATTCAGTTTTTGTCTCAGAAGGTGTCTTTGGAGGAGCCCTGCAATTAATTTACAATTAGAATAAACTCCTTAATTAAATTTTTTAATCAGTTTTTTTTTAAATTTATTATATATTATTTTAATAACAATATGAACTTTAGATGACAACAACTTATTAACGTTAGATTTCATTTGTGGATTATTTTTGGTTGTTTTAGATACTATTAGTCAGGCCCTAATAAATAGTTATTAGTTTTTTGTCAACTTAAAGATTTTTAAATTTTTTTAAAATTTAATATACTATTTTTTAGTTTTTATAGTAATAGTAGTAAATTTATAATTCAAACTAATTTTTTAAATTAGTACTAGTTATGGAACTTAGCAAAAATTAAGATAAAATTCACTCATACTTATTTTAAAGCGGTTTGTACTAAATTAAAGGTATTTAACAAAAACTACAAGAATATTATTTCAAATTTTTTAAATAACTGAACCAAAATTATTTATAACGGTAATTTAAACGAAAAAATTTTGCAGACAATTTTATGATGACTAAAATAAATTATATAGAAAGCAAAACCAGTCAACATTTGCAGCGTACGCAATTTCCTTCATATAAGCAAGCACAAGCTTTTTTGAAGGCGGCCGCACTTCTGTTCGCTTCAGTAGCTGTAATCTCAAAAATTTATATAATAAAGAGAAGATAACTTTTAAATTTAATATACCTTTTCATTTACACAGTCGCCTTTATTTCCCATTGCGTTCTTGCAAAATTCTTCTCCATACTTAACTAAGAGCCAATTTCTTACCTAAATAATAATATATTTAAATTTAAATTTAAATAAGTATTATTTTAATTGCAACTAAAAAAAGAAGAAATTTTCCTATAAAAGACATATATTAAAAACGTTTATTAATATATATATAATTATTAGTATAAAAACTTTTATAACTTTCAGGATTATAAATAAAAATTTAAAATTCTACAAAAAAAAAAATATAGAAGGAAAACCGCGCATTCTAGTATGGAAATGTTAATCAAAATAACAGGATAACAGTAAAGATGATTTTATTAAGATTTATTATTTGTAAGGGATTGCGCATAAAATGTAGCACTTGTTCTAGTTCTTTAGCTTCGGTAATCAGACGAGGCGAGATCCAAATAATAGAGCAAACAGCCTCGAGAATACTATCATCGCAGTACCTGTTGATCGAACCAAAAATAAAAAATTTTGAAAAAAAAGTAATAGTTATGAAAGCATTTTTAAAGAAGAAAAGTATTATATTTTTAAAATATTAAAATAATTCCGGATCATATTTTTAGTTTATATTATACATCTTACTACTTTACTTTATTGTTTTGGTTTTATTAAGCATTTTAATACTTTAATAATAAACCACATTATTATATAATACTTTTATCAATAAAATTTAAACAAGTTTGAGTTTATAAGTTTAAAAATTAAATAAGCAGCATAAACTAATATACTATGAATAAAAATATAAAAGTTCAAAAATATATAATATAGGGAACTTCATATGTTCAATTAAACCAAAGCGAGCGAGTAAGAGTTGGCAAAAAAGCTCGGTTAGTTCTAAAACTTCCAAAAGTCTGTCCTCACATATAATGGTCTAACAATATTTAGTATTATTACTTTAAGTTCATAATAATAATGATAAAAAGTTAAACTTGAGAAACCTCCGTTTTAAAATATGCACTGTTATCTTTTTTTAAAGAGAGTAATTTAGCTATTTCCTTACGAGTAATTTGTTGCTGATTAGCTTTAAAAATAAAATATTTTATCTTATAATACAAGTAAAAAAAAATAATAACCTTTTTTTATTTGACAATTTTTCAAACGTTGTAGAGATATGGTTAAGCAAACTTTAAGCTTTTTTGGATCAAATTTTTTGGAGGGGCCCATGAAGCTACTATACTTTTATCTACTAAAAGCGCAAACCACAAAGAAAAATTTTTTTTTATTTAACTTTATAGATTATAATAAACAGCAAATAAAACTTAAGCAACCTTTTAAATATTGAAATATCAAAAAAGTTTCGCAAGACTACCCTAGAAGAGCAAAAGCAGCATTCTACGCTAGTGAGAGTTTAGCTGTCGCGTGCGTCGAATCATTGGTGCGTTTGCAAAGCAAAGCAAATACTTTCACTAAAGCAAAGCGTGCGTAATTTGTTATGTTACCCTACCTGGATAGTAACTATGGAATTTTTAAAAAGTAAAAATCCTCTCCAAGGTCGAATAAGTGCTTACTGCTTTCCTATTAATGTGATGTCTAACTAAGTGGATAATAAAGGTAACTTTATATGCGATTTATATAATATTTGACGAGATGATAAAATGGTGGATATTATTACATTAAGTAAAATGCGTGCTTTAATTTTCATTTCTCTACCAAATTATTTCTACTTAATACATTTGTGATTTTGGAGTGATACAGGCAGATCTACCTTTGCCTCTTCATTTTAGTACTCCCATATAAGCATAATTTTTTTTTAGATGAGAAAAAAGGAAACCACTTCTTTTAAAACTTTTTTGTTACCATAAACATTTGAATTAACAAAATTTTTTAAATGAAAAGAAAAAAATAAAAAATATCATAAAAAGCATGAAAGAACTTTTATAAGAAAAGGTCTCAAATCATCTTGGTCCCTCTCTTATCCTTTTTATTTATATCATCATGATGTAAAAGTTTACATTCTGCTATACTAACCATTTATTATTTTTAAATGCATGATAACTTTGTAAATTCTTTGTCGACTCTAACCTCCAATATGCTCTAGCGTTGATTAATAGTATATGATAGAGCTCTATTATTGGTTGCCTCTTATCTTGTTATAAAAGATTTCAAGTAGCAATTAGATCTTAACTTTAGAGATTAGAAATGTCCGCTTTTACAAAAAGTGAAATACTTATTTTTGAGCTCGGGAGACACAGTACTCCTCAGAATAAATTGTTCAGACTGGGCCAAGGACAAAAGCTGAGGTAATATTCCAAACTTTTATAACTTATTTTAAAATATTTTCCAAAGTAAATAAGGTTTTCTCCTCTTTTAACTTTTTTCTCTAGGCTTATCCCAGCTGATGAGCTAGTAGGTTATAAAGTTTCTGTACATACAAGCTTTGCGACTTCGCCCGAACTCAAAGCTAGTGTTCAAAAATCACTTTTCCCTGAGTCAATAATTTATAGTACGAAAGTTCAATTTGCGGAAATAACAACACATAGAGCAGGAAACTTTAAAGTGCTATGGACCTATTGTTTAGGGTTTTTTCTAATTTATATTAGTATTTTTATATAATTATACTATTGATAGTCAAGAAAATGATACTATAGAAGAGTGCTTTGTTGTCGAACCAAAAATATCATTGAATGGAAAGAGACTTCCCTTAGGTCTACATTGATTAGCATAATAATAATAAAAGCTGTGGCAATATATCGTCGTTAGGGGCTATTTGCTTGCAAACGGTTTTAGTTAAAGCTCTAGGACATATATCAGAATGGAAAGAAAGGTGATAAAAAATTTTTATGAGTCATCTTCAACACTTTAATCCCTTTATGGATGTTAACAACCGCCTTCTGCAGACTCAAAGTTACTTCAAAATGCAGCTTTAACTTTGTACACTTCACTCCCCTTCAACAATTAGGGGCTTCTCGATCTTCCTATTCTATTAAAAATCAACTGGATCTTAATAAAGAATGCTTTAAGAGTTATTATAATTATTATGTTAACGTGTATATACCTTTAGTCAAACTTCCAATTATTATTTCATAGAACTTTAATATTAGTTGTTTGTAGGGAAACTTATAAGTTTACATTAAATACATTTCTAACTACCTTAATTTTTTTTATTGTAAAAGACGTTTACTCTCCCGTAAAAGAACTCAAAAACGTTTTAAACTGGCTCGAATTTGAACAAGGTAAATACCATAAAACTTTTTTTTACAAATCGATACGACAAGCTTTAAAAACTACCAGGTGTTCTATCTCTTACTGATGTTGTTTGGAACCACACTTCGGTTACTTATTAGTTCCACCATATTTATATTATAAAGCATGTCGAATTTAAATTTAACTAAAGTTTCATCCTTAAACTTTTAAATTCAACTAATGTTTTAATTATATTCATATTTTTAAATTGCAAATTTTTTAGTTTGATAGCCCGTGGCTACTTGATCATCCTGAATGTGGCTATAATTTATCAAACAGTCCATATTTGTTACCTGCTTTTCTTCTAGATGAGGCTTTGCAGCGGTTGGATTGTGAATTATTAAGTTACTTCCAATGAGAACTAACTTTTTTTTTATCAATTTTTATTTAAAATTAAACTTTAACAGCTTTTCTCAGAAAATTGCGAAACCTTGTCAGTCTTCAAATACTAACTTTAAAGATGTTTCTCCCGTCATTAATAGTGAGGTCTTTAAACTTAGAAAGTTTTTTAATTGTAAAAAGATAATAAATTGCAAAAGTAGTTAATATAATATAAAAAAAAGTTAGTTTAAAAAAAAAAATTTATTTTACAGAGCGATATTGACTATTTGTTAACGGTTTTCGCCAATTCTGTTTTGCCTGAATTAAAATTATGGGAATTCTTTGTGATCAATATGAACAACACCCTTAATCACTTTCAGTTTCTCGATTTAATTAAATAACGCTTATTACTTTATCTAAAAGATCTTTTTAGAAATTGTCTTAAAGACAAAGAGCCACGTGAACTTTCTTCTTCGGAATCTTCACCTTCTTATGAGTTGTGTTTTGAATCCAAAGTAAAGGTTTAATAATAAGGATCAAGCGTCTTCAATCATCTTAATATTGCTAAATTTAGGAATTAAGAAAAAGTGTGACAACTCACTTGGGTACACGCGATGCAGTTACAATCGAAATCACTAAAGCAATCGAGTTGTTTTATTATAAACTTAGTAAACACGAAACAAAAGGCAAGTAAATTATTACTAGTATTATCATTATTAGTATTACTAATACGGTCTAAAAACTAGAGCAATATATGGTTCGATGTATGAATGAATATAAAAGAGCTGTTGACTTAATAAATTTGGAGTTTTACGAAGTTTATGATAATGATATAAGCGCGGGTGGGCCTCTATTATTATTATTATTATTATTATTATTATTATTATTCTCATATTATAACAGCTTTGAGTAATATTAGATATACTATCCGATACGAACGTTTAGAGCGAACTGGCCCCTTATTTGGTCGTTCTTGTTTATTATGGCCTCTTCACTCTTAATTGCACCATATTATTGAATGAAGGCCCAATAACGCTTAAACGCCCTCTAATAGCCAGTTATTTCACGCGGTTTTACTAGTTTATTTTTGTTGATGTTTTTATTATTAATTAGCTTCTTTTATTATGAATAGACTTGAACCTTCTCAACTTAAGATAGACAATGAATTGTTGGACTGCACCACTTCCAACTACGGTAGGCAGCGCTTATTGGAAGGAAGCATAAAGCCACAACCAATTATATGATAGACTTTAAGTATGTGTTGGCGAATAACGGCTGGATCATGGGTGGCAGCAATCCCTTGATGGACTTTGCAGCGGCGGACAGTAAAGGTATAACTTTCTTTGTAACCGTTGCACTAGAGAAACGTTTTTAAACTTTTTTTTAAAAAAAAGTTTATTTTCGAAGAGAAGTTATTATTTGGGGCGACTGTGTTAAACTGCGCTATGGCGGGCAACCCTCTGACTGTCCGTTTCTATGGGACCACATGGCTGAGGTGAAGTGTGTTTAATTTTCTTTGATTGGCAAAAAAAAGGAATTTTATAAACCCGATTTGTTTAAACAGTACACAAAATTTTCTGCAACGCACTTTCATGGGTTTAGAATTGACAATTGCCACGGAACTCCGATGTAGGCAAATAGTATTACATAATAGTTAGATTATACGAACATGCTTTAGTCACGTGGCCGAACACCTATTGAATGTTGCCCGGCAAGTGCGCCCCAATCTCTATGTCATAGCCGAGCTGTTTACAGGCGTGTAAAAGGTCGGAGAGTAACGCCTACTGACTAACGCCGTCTTTAGGTTCAGAGGACGTGGATAATATATTTGTCAAACGTCTGGGAATTGACTCTCTTGTAAGAGGTCACTTATATCTCATTCCATCTGTGATTGACTGCCTTCAGTTGTCACTACACGTCTCGCAGAGGCAATGTCCGCTCCCGACTGCCGAGAGCTCGGCAGGCTTATCCACCGGTATGGAGGTACCGCACTTCTTTTCGTTTAGTTAATTCTGGTCGGCTCATACGGGTTACTAAGGAGAACCTATTGGTTCATTTCCTCAATGCATGAAGGAGTGCTCAATAATTAAGGAAAAGAGAGCACGTGCTCTCCTTACGGATGCAACTCATGACAACGAGCCTCCGCTGACTGTAAAGCTTCTAAACTTTTTATATATTTGTAAAAAAAATGTACCAGAAACGGACGGTTTGGAATGTCTTACCAAACATGTGCATTGTTACTATGGCTTCTTGTGCGATTGCAAGCAATAGAGGTAAAAAGGTTTTTTGTGGAAGCACTTCTCTTTAACTGTATCCCTCTTATAAGAGTACAAAGTTTAGTTTTTTTCATTATATACGAAAATAAAGTCTACTTCCTTTATGTATACACAACTACCAAGTTTTTGTTTGATGCTGTTGTTAGTTCTGCATGAGAAGGATTTTTTTTTTACTAAGGGTATGACGAACTCGTCCCTCATTATATTGACGTCGTCAACGAGGAAAGGTCTAATAGAAAAAACTGTTATTTTCCTTTCCAGCTTTTTCTCTCATTTACTTTATTAATATGCTCTTCAGGCTTTATGCCCCCTTTAAGGAAGAGAGTAATGCATGTGCCCACGCAGTATCCATGGAGGATGGTTTACTTGGCGTAAGAAAAGTTTTAAATGAACTGCACATAAAAATGGTATAATAATAATAATAATAATAATAATAATAATAATAATAATAATAATAATAATAATAATAATAATAATAATAATAATAATAAAGGCGGAGGAAAACTTCAGCGAAATCTACGTTGATCAAGTCAACAATGATGTTATAACAATAACTCGTCATTCTCCACTAACAAGACAGGTTTCAATATAAGTATTATCCTTTTTATTACTTTCATTATTAGTTCCAAATAGTCTTTTATTATGGTGACCAACTCGGCCTTCACGGAAAGGTCAGGCCCTTATAACCAAATTGTCTCTCCAATTGCTGTTTCTGGTTTTATTTGTTTATTTTATGTATATTAACAAAGAAATAATAATACTTTTTTTTATTTTTTTTAGGAGAAATTGAAGAAGTATTGTTGGTGGCTTATCTTGTTTTAGAAGAAAGCGACTCGAGCTCTAATGAGTTAGTCTTTTTTTTTTTTGATTTCATTTAATAATAACAAAAATAATATTAATATTCTTGCAGAAGAAGAAGAAGTCTTTTGTCAACAAATAGAGTTTTATCAAATTTTAAAAGAGACAAAAATTTTATTAATGGGATAAAAGAAGTCAAAGTTTGCCTTCAAACACACCTGCAAGTTAATGATCACAATATTAAAGTAGAATTGTTAATAGGAAAAGCAATAATAATTTCATTAAAAACTTTTTCTTTAAGATGTTCCAAAGTTCGTCTTTTGTAGAGAACGGAGCTTTAAAAACTTTAGTTTATGTAACGCCTGAAAATTTTATACCTGGAAGCGTTTTTATAATAAAGTTTGAAAACAATTAAATTTATTGGTAACCTTTGTTCATTGTTATTATAACCAAAGGACGAAAGTTTCTGCCGAAGCAGAGAAGGCTTTGAAAAGCTTAACTTTACCATTAAATAAAAGTATAGAACATGAAATTATGCAAAGCAGTAGATAATTTAATGGCATCTATTATTTAGACGACCTTCTTTTAAATTCAATAAAAGAATTATCATTGATTGAGTTGAACTTCATACTTTTCCGTTGCGCCAGAGAAGAGGAGGTTGAAGAGAGCGGAAATAGCACGTACTACGTCCCAAACTTTGGGTCTTTAACGTACGCAGGTTTTTCGTTTGTTTGTGACTCAGCAAAAGTAAAATTAATTGGCGAGCGTTCTTCCTCTTTTTCCTCGTGCTTTAATTAATTATTATTATTACAAATCTTCTATGTATGTGGATTAGTTAAATTCACTTGCGCACCTTCCTTTTTAAATATTTTTGTTCTTATCTTAATTATTACTGATCTTCCTTCTTTAGGACTTCAGGGTTTTATCACCGTTTTAAAAAATATTGCTTTAACGGTATTTTACTTAATAAAACATGTCTAATTTATTAGCTATATTATAAACTTCAAGTAAGCCTATTTCCACTTATATGACAGCATTGAGACATGTAATATATGGCAAAAAAGTATGCTTTCTACTCACCTTAGTGACCTGTTGGTCTGCTTAGTTTTTTGACTAACCTAACAGTTTATTATGAAGAGCTTTACTTCTTTTGCTAAATAATGGTGGGGGCATGTGCCAGTCAGTTCATGCCCGCAAGGGACTTTCACCTAACACTGTTCGTTCGCTGTGTATCCATTAACAGTTCAATTTTATATAAAAATAGAATGATTTGGGACATCCACTTTGCACCAATCTCCGTCAAGGACTTTGGGCTGCAGGATATATTATAAACCGCTTAAGCCGATACAAGTGGTCTAAAAAAGTACGGGAGGTGTTTTCTATCATATAACACATAAAATTACATTATTGGTGTTTAGTTTGTTATAATTTAAAATTTTCATTCAGTTCATATGACAAATGTTATATATCTGTTAAAAGCTTTTAAGTGCGTTATTCTTAATATGCTGGCCAATTGCAACTTATTTTAAAAATTACTTGTATTATAATATTAAGTTAATTTTTTTCTAACCATTTGGTTTTTTTAGCTCGGACACGTAGTTAAAGAACTTCTCATGCTATTAAGCCACATCCCTTACTTTTTAGTCCCTTGCTACTTCTACCTTTTACTCATGCAACTATGGGACCTTTTACTGCTTCATGCATTTAGTTTGATGTCAGTTTTTATTCAAAAAGGTCATCACAAGGACTTTATGTGCTTGTTGACTGGTAAAATGTATAACTACTTAACAAGGTGACGACTTTACCCAGAATCTCGCGCTTGTTAGCCTACAGATGGTTGGAAGTCTCAAATCCATTGCGTGCAGAGACCCTTCCCTACCACCACAGGTCCCTGGACCCGTTTTGTGCTGTTATACCACAGGACTCTATTTTTGGTATTTTTTAGAATGATGTAGACTTGAGCATTACCATGGCGGCCGGCCTTCCTCATTTTTGTGTGGGTACCACTCCCCTTTAATAATAACGATATTATTATAGTTATTACTACTACGCGCTGCACTCTTCAGGCTTTATGAGGACTTGGGGTAGGGATACCTTCATCTCGCTTCGAGGATTGCTTCTTCTCACAGGAAGATATGCAGAAGCGCGGTGCATTACTATGTCTGCAGTATTTTCATTTCTCTTGGTTAATTCTCTGTTTAGTTCTTTAATTATTGGCTTCGCTGGCACTATTCGGCATGGCCTGGTATACACCTTTGTTGTTATTCGAAGCTTATACATAAATGCCTCATTAAAGATCCCTAATCTGTTGGATTCAAGCAGAAACAGTCGATACAACTGTCGTGATGCTGTCTGGTTTTGGCTTCAAGCAATTCAGGTGAACTGGTATATAATTGTTATTAAAAGTTAGTTCTATTTATTTTCTTTATCTAAGGAATATTGTAAACTCTCTAACGAAGGAGAAAACTTTTTAAAAGCGAAAATCCATCGACTTTATCCTAGTGATGATATAAAAAAATACAGAAAACAGGACCGATACATTTTCTCTGGAAACGGTATATATAATCGTATAACTTTTATCATTATTATTATTTATTAACACTTTTTTATAAGAATACGCCAATATTGAGTTACATGACTTAATACATTATGTGTTACAAGAGCATGCCCGAGGAATTCACTTTGAAGAATGGGGCGCCGGTGTTAATTTAGATAGCAATATGTTAAAAGAAGGTTAATTGATATAAAATAATAATAATTAAAGTAAAAATAGTGTTAATAATAATACCTCTAATGCTAGGCTTTAAAATTGATATCTCCTTAAACTCTGAGACTGGATTAATTCAAGGTGGAAACGCTTTTAACTGTGGAACTTGGATGGATAAAATGGGGGAGGAAAGCATCATTAATAGCCACTGTTTAAAGTACTTTTTAACAATACTCATGATAATAGTCGGAAAAGGCAAAGATAAAAGGAAAACCCTCCACCCCACGTGATGGAGCCTCTATTGAAATCAGTGGTTTATTAAAATCGACGTATAATAGAACTTTTATGAATAAGCATGCTAGAAAAATAATGAACATTTGCTTCCAGTTTACGTTGGATAGGCGAATTAAACCAGAAGGATCCCTCCTTGTTTGGCCACTACTCTGTTAAGCTTCTAGGCACGTTTGGCGTCCTTATTGGTTAGCATTATTAATAACTATTTTTTTTTTTAATCAAGATCAATCAACCTTGAGCTATGCGGCTTGGAATAAAAGGCTTTTAGAGAATTTTGAAAAACACTTTTATATTTTGAATGTAAAAATAAATTCATCTTTACTACTCATTCTTTATTAAATAAAAGAGCTACTCAGAAAAACTTACGTGTGAGTTTATTAAGATATGTTATTAAAAAAATTTTTAAAAATTCAAGACTACAAAGTTTTTATTATATAAAGTTTTATAAAGAAAACTCAGGCAACTCCATTATCAGCTATCATCCTATATTAAAATTTTTTATAAAAATTGTTTCATTTCTTATTGCTTAACAGGCTGACAACGAGCATGTGCACAGAAAAAATATTTATAAAGGTATATTATAATTATTGTTATTACTGTTAATATTACTGTTATTATTCTTAACTTAAAAGACACTGTGGGAAGCTCCAATGTCTATACAGACTACCAGCTACGCCCAAACATCTGCATTGCCATGGTAGTGGTACGCCCCTTTTGTATAGAAGCGTGGAAAGTTTTTTTTAACTATTACTGCAGGCTCCTGAACTTTTCGTTAGGAACCACGCGATTGCCTGCCTTGAAAACATGGAAAGTGTTTTGTTGGGGCACTACGGCATGAAAACCCTTGATCCCGAGGACTGGTCGATATTTACCAGTATATATATACTAGTTGTTTAAAGTCAGTAAATTATTTGTTTTGGCCTTCTTCAAGTTGGAATGGCTAAAGGCTTATTAATAAAATGCTTACTCCTGATGTCTCTGCATGGGGAGCTTATTTTATAACAGATATATAGTCCTGGTCCTTTGTGCTCTTTCAACTCACGTTTACTTATTGAGGCACACCTACATTTCTTTCTTTAGCGCCGTTTTATTAGCAACAATTACGGAAACAAAATTTAATTTATAATATTAATGAAAGTATTTTACACCGGCGTTGTTATCTTCGAAGAAGCCTTTCTCTGGTTCAACGCTTTGGTTCTATGCCTGTAGTTATGTTTAGTGTTTGTATCCAGCACCAGGGAATTGCTAACAAATAGTATTCTTTATTTTATCTCAAAAATATATCCCTTAATAGTAGTAACAAAGAAACTTTAATTGTCAAACCCTTGAAAGATTTTATAAACGAAATAAAACTTTGAAAGTTTAATGTTCATTATGTTACTTCCCGCTGAATACTGTTAACTTTGTACAATTTACACAAAGTATCCTTAAAAGTTTAGGTTTAAGCTATTTATTTGGTTAAATTGAGTAATAAGTGTCACGCAGCTTAAAAATTAATAAAGATGTAGTGTGAAAAATATAAAAAAATATTATCTATGATAGATAATTTCTTATTCAACTGAGCTTAGTAAATTAATTTAAAACCATATATATTTATATTAAGACCTTTATAAAATTTCCTTTAGTAAAATGAGATTAAAAAAAAAAGGAAGTTTCATACCGTCAACAAACTTTTTTACTAACTCAGGGCTTACCGGGGAGATTACAATAATGATAATGATACTTACGATCCTTCTGTTGCTAAAGGAGCTAATTACCACCAGGGCCCAGTAACTTGTCTTATATTTAAACTTTTTTATTATTTTATTTAATACAAATAGGAGTGGATTTGGACGTTGGGATACTTCCTGCGAGCTTTGTTAATTTTCCACTCGGGAAAATCAGAAACCACATCTAAAGTTCTCCGTATTCTGCAAGCTCATCGCTGGGCAATAAAAGCTTCGGATTGGTTGTTTCACTAATACACTTTTTATCGATACTAATTGGTTTATTTAGGGGTATAGTTCTTATTTTTTTTTATTAAATAGGAAAGGACTTCATGAACTCACCAATGCTGGAGGGAAGTTTTGCTCATACAGCAATCCTACACAAGTCTTTTTTATACAAAAATTCATTTAAATATATTACTTGTATCTATTTTCTCCGCATATTAAATTGGAATATTTTTATTAAGGCTTGGAGTAGCGCATGTATTCTGGAATGCTTGTGGGATCTTGACAATATTAATAAAAACTGTTTTAACTGTTATATATAAGAATGTGTTTAATGCTTTTATAATTGCTGGCGGTGTTCTGTTCTCGAAAAATTATTCTTAAAAAAGGTTTGGTAATTGTTAACGCCTTTTAACTTCTTTTAGAGAAATATATCTATAAGCTTAGTGCATACCACTTTTACATCATTAGTTGTATATAGGAAAAGTTTGGCAAGCAAGATTTTAGTTACAAGATAACTGTACACTCAACGGAATTACAATTTTTTATTATTAGCACTGACTTTGAATGATTATTATCAAAATATAGTAGCCAGCCAGGTAGCGAACAAAAATTAATTATTATCTTAGATAATTCAAGGTAAAGCTAAAACTTGGTAACAAATTTTGGACTTTAGCAAGTAAATTGACGGCTTTTATTAAAGCATAAGCATCCCAAAGAGGGAATTTATAGTTGTATTATCTTTATAAGCAGCTAAAAGAAGAAAAATATATTTTCTATAACTATTAACTCCTTTATAAGTTTAGTTGTTAAACGCAATAAATGCGCCATAAATAATACACTTTGTAAAGCACAAAACCTACATTACTGTCCCCGTAAGTGAACGTCCATTTAAATTTTAAATAATTCTACCAAATTAAGATAATGTTGTAAAGTTTAAGTCGATTAGCCCTAAAAAAGTTGTCCACAACGAATGTGGGTAGTATGGTAAATAGAGGAATAAACTGATCTAAATTAAAAAGGATTACAATTATTAAAGTAGCCCAATAAATCTACTTTTCGGTGTGGTATAATATAGTAAACTCTATTTTCCAAGTTTATGTAGAATGAGTTGAAGAGGAAAAACTCTTAGCATTTTTTTATGTGACCAGTACTACTGGATTTGCTATATATTCTACTTACGCACCAGCTTAAATAACCGTATATGCACAAGAAAAAAAAGAGTTAATAAACGCTTAAATTTAATAATATCGCTGTTTTCACAGTATCATAGAAGGTCCTAGGGATCTTAACTTTCGTAAAGGAGGTCACCCCCCTTAATCTTCTCCCAATAAAGCGGGAAATAGATTAAGCAGTATTAGTTATAGCAGGTTTATAAAAAAATTGCTTTGGTGCAAGCTTTAAAAAAACTAGTAAATTCAGTGTGACGACCAATTCAAAACCAGAAATTACCATTTATAAAAATAAAAAACAAATTTATAAGATATACTAAAATTTGTTTATTCGTCTTTATATTGGCTTACCTACAGAAATTGAGTGTTCTGAAAATTTACTCCAAACACTGTTCTAAACTTTTACAAATAAGATTTAGAAAGTTTAGAACTGTCAAAAAAATATTTATCACTTTCGAAAAGAGAATGGCTGGTAGTTAGTTGGAGAAAAAGTGAAAAAGTAAAAAGTAAGGAATCCCAGAATTTTCGCAAGCCTGCTAGCCTGATAAACTAATCTATTACATCCACCGAAATAAAAATTATTAACTCTACTAAATATTAGAATGTTCTACTGCTTATTACATTGAAAATTATAAGAAGACAAACCTCCATAAAAAAAAAGCATAAAAAGTATTAAAAAAATATGCTTTACTCAATGTTTCCAGAGAAAAATACGGCCAAAAATTGTCAAGAAAACGCTAAAGGACTAAATTTATCAAAGGAACGATTGTGTACCCTGGTTTTTAAGAATGGCCTTCGCCGTCAGGCGACTACTAAATATTACAAAGCTTCTAGATGCCAAAATATGAAAATTATGCCAGAAATCATATAAATTAATTTAAAGCAATATATTTGATGGCCTGAGGATTTAATTTTTAAACCAACTGAGGTAGTAATCAGGAGAAAGGGGTCACAACGTATGAACATTTTTGTTTTAGTCAAGATACCAAAAACCGACAAAAAATTATAATATTACTAAAGTCTTTAATATTAGAGTAAAGGCCGATCCTTTATAGTTATAGAGCTTTATTATTCAATGCTTTCACGTCAGTTATATAGGCACACCCAAAAAAAATTCAGGAAAACCGGTGTAGTTTTTACTGTGGCAAAAACGCGTACTCAGGTGTATGTGTAAAGTATAAAGGAAACAAACCATTTAACTACTGAGGCTACATATATTTACTGGAAACGATCATAAATCCAAGAAAAAAGTAAAGCTTCAAGTTCTTAAACTAGAAAAAAAAATCCACAGTTAAGGGAAAGAGCCCTCCAAGTGCTTCACATACAGTATTTTAAATATAAATACAAAAGATCAAAGTTCAATTTAAGGAAAAAAAGAACTTTTCTGTAAACTCTTAGCCCAATCCAAACAAACTAAACAATCTCTTAGTGACACTTGCAAAGCAGCTAGCAAAATTAACAAAATGTGCAGAAAGAACCCTTCAAAGCTTTTCTTATGACAAAAAAAGAGAATTTTGTAACTTCATATATAATAAAAAGCACAACGGTACTGCTCTTTTATTAAAACTCACTGGAATACAATTATAGATTAATATTAAGAAGTTACCGCACATAGTGTAACGATAGAAACAATAATAAAGGGGGAGGAGCGACTCCTATAACAAAAAAAAACAGTTGATTGCGCAGGGACATTGTGCATTTAGCACACAGCAGCGGGTAGAGTGCGTGAATTGCTGCTTTGACCTTAGTCGTAGCGAATTCTACATCGGGGTAGCGTGATGGAACTTTTAAGATGGGGATTGCTTTGCTCATCGTTCCATTCATGTTTACTCCCCACTGCCTGCACCAATTAGCAAATGTTTCCAAATAACTCTGCAGGTGTTCCGTAATAAAGAGGGGCTCTTTGAGGAACGCAAATTGCAGTGACATCGGCATAGCGCAACGCGGGTGTGAGGGAATGCAGGGAGTGAAATATCTCGCATGTATAGCGCGAGGAGTAGGGGCGTTCGCGGAGATACGACGCAAATATGCCGTAGAGGGCTAACGGTATACCTACTGGGCGTAGTTTGCGTAGGAGACCCTCGTACCTACGCGGTCAAAGGCTTTAGCCACATCGAGATATTAGACGCCCATGAATTTCTTAAAATTGAAGTTCCTAATTGTATACGCACCAAGGCGCAAAAGTTGGTGTGTTGTCGAGTGACTTCTTCGGAATCCAAATTGGAATTCTGGAAGCGCTTTGTGTTTTTTTCTACAAACTCTATCAGTTCATATAGTAGAAACGCCCCCACGGTTTTGCCCACCGCTGGAAGAAGGCTAAACGGGACAATATTTGCTGGGGTCCGCAGAAGCCCACGGAGTCTTAGCATCACGACAGTGGCCGTTTTCCATCGCGTTGGGAGAGAGCCAGGTAATTTTAAAGGAGTTACAAGACAGAAGAGACGGTTAATCGCTACCGGCGGCAGCATTTTTAGCATTTCGCTAGTAATACCGGCGGGGCCGGGAGCTTCTAGTCGTGAAAGTGCAGAAATTATATCAGTGATTTCATCTGGTGTGCTCGGTTTAATAAGCCCGACAAAAATAATTGTGGGTCCTGCGGTGTCTTGCCTTCGTCGTTGAAGGTTGCCATAGAGCAGCTAGGTGGTCGGCAAAGAGCGCCACCTTGTCTCCATCGCTTTCCGCCACTATCACGCCCATTATTAAGTGGCGGAGATGGTATGCTGGAAAGGTTTTAATACGTTTGACGAAGTCTAAAAAAAAATGAACTTTCTTCCCCACCCGCTACAGACAGGTCCTGCAGTTTAGCCTCCCAGTGATTATTGTGAAAGGCGGTCAGGCGTAATAACCGGCGACATTGACGAATAAGGCTCATCAAATAATCCGTAGGGCGATATGCGACTTCGTGGCAGGTCGGGTAGCATGTGTAGCTGCCAGTGCGCCCTCAAAACTATCAAATGCGTCTTCTAATACAGAGGGAGTCGGAGGGGTAGATGGATCGAGGAATAGCGATGCTTCAACCGTAGCTGTAAATTTTATCCAGTCCGTGAATGACCGTTCCCAGAGTTTCGCCGAAGCCTTATTTTCGCCTAACTTCAATAAGACGGGCAGGTGGTTCGACGAGAACTCATGCAGCTCTGCGATTGACACAGACTGGTGTTTGTCTTTAAGAATGGTTATGTCGAGGGTGTCTAAAGTGCCCGTTTTTGACATGAGTGTCGGATGTTGAGGTGCCAGCACGAGAATGTCGTGTCGGGCCGCGTATTTCTAAAAAATTTTCTCGTTCGACTCTTCCACTCGACTGTTTCAAGCAGCGTACTTTGCAGTTTAAGTCACCACAAAGAACGACGGGCAAGCCGCGTTGTAGCAGCTCACTTGTAAGCAGCGCACGTCGGGGAATTTATAGACGGAATATCAAGTCAGTCTGTCTCGTGCCAACCAAGATTAGACGGATCCCCACGACATCCACGCCCTTTAGGTTGGGAGCGCAAACGGGTGGTGCTGTATATCTCGCCGCACCAGAAGAGCTACTTTACCTTTGCCACTGTCAAGACGGTACGTTGTGTAATTGCGGAGTACAAGCCGATCACTCGCTTCAAGTGCGTCACGCTTAACAACGCGACACCCACAGATCCACTCTGCAACAGCTGCAGCAGATTGTCCTTTTTGCAGTGCACCCCGTTGGCATACCAGTGCAAGAGTTTAAACTGGCGTAATGAACGGGTTTTAACAACCATTTGCGGTCGTCAGATTGCTGATCGCTCGAAGAAATTTCAAGAGCAGTTGCGAGTGGTGCCAGTATCTCGCCAAAGGGATTTGGAGCAATAGGTTTTTGTTGTTTTTGTCCCATCATGACTGCAAAAGAGATCATGGGCGTTACTGGGTAGGTTAGGGTTATAGGTAGATGTAAAGACCTCGAAGAACGATTTTGACGGGTTTGTCCTCGTGTATCTGTTAGCAATAGTGTTGCCATAGCGCTTCCGTAGTAGTGCTTCTATTCTGCGGCAGTCGTCGGCAGTTGACGGCAACAAGGGGACGCAGTCACGGAGGAGGGTCCTTTGCACCTTGAGCCTTCATGAATTCGGATAACGTAGACCTTCTTTTCTTGTCAACTGGAACAATAGGTCGGTGGTTCTTCCGGGCGGCACGTATTTTGGCTCTTTCTCCAGAGGTTCTGTTTGTGTCCATTCTATCCAAATATGGCTGGGTAAACGGTTGTTGTTCTGGCAGTTGGGGTGGCGAAGGTAATTTTATGTTTACATCATTCTTACTATTACAACTATCATTACTAATTTTCTTAATATTATCATTATTATTATTTACATTACTATAAGCATTATCATGGTTACTATTAGGACTGCTGGTATTATTTTTAAGAATTTACTACTATTATAATTACTTTTATTTAAAATTATTACCATGAATACTATAATCAATACGAAGGGTGTTTCAAGTAGTACACTATCTTTCAGAATGCCCTCTTTTAATGACCAAAATTAGTCTAGATGTAGCGCAGAAAAAAAATTATTTTTGTAAATACTTTAGGTTCGGAAGGTTCTTTGCACCTTTTTAGCGTTTTTCCAGAATTTTTTTATTTTGCAGTTGAAGTTTTGCTTATTTTTCAAAGTCGCATTGACTGCCAACAAGTTGTTCATTAAGTCTTCTTGTTCAGTATTTGTGGGTGAAGAAACTATTATAACCGTTCAAAAAGAAAATAATAAGTATCTATAAAATATCATTATAAAAATAATAATTATTAATTTAAAAGATATAGATAGATAGCTGCAGGTATATACAGCTAACAAGTTAGGTAGGCGTTGCCTTCCAAAATAACTGACTTGAAGCAGGATTTAAGTTGTACGTTGTACGTCTCATGATTTGACTTTAAAGATACTGCTTCAGCTATTACTACCGAAATCTTTTTTAAAATAACAGAAAAGTATATTCCAATGAATGTTTTTAAAAGTATGCATCTATGAATTACTTAGCTGTAGTTGGAACCTACTCACTATTAACTAGATACAGTTTTAGAGACAGCAGTTCTAAAAGATATACCTTTTGACTACAATTTAACTAATTTCTACGAACAACTGTCAGATCATAATCTAGTGGATCGTGGGTGTTTCGTTGCAGTTGATACGGTCTTACAAAATGTAGTAGAGTGAGAGGTAATAGTGAATGTTAAAATAACGTAAAGACTAAGTGCTTGTTTATATCCAAATGTGGGACTTTCTTGGTGTTCTGGGACATTATATGTTGGAGCGATAGTAGCCGACGTACTGATACCGACGAAACATGAAAGTTACATACTGTGCAAAGCGAAAAAACCTCTACCCTTAATTGAAAGAGCGAATATACTTTAAAAAACAACTTGACAGTATATTAAACATTTCTCCCTTCAACTTTAACCTATGAACTTCTTGCACGACCTTACTGCTCTTTTAAACTTATCAAGCGAGCATAAAAGTATCGTAATAAGTTGTTAAGGACGTTCACTAATTCTCCGGAGAATACCCCAAACACTCAACGTCAAACCCCTAAAAAGGGGTGCATTAAAGCGTTGTTTATTAGTTCCTTCAGTTGTGGGATAAACATGGTAACTCCGTGCTAAAATTTTTAATTCATATGAAAAGGGGAATACACCATCTAATTAGTCTGTGTTACTAGAGATGAAGAAGTAAGTACAATTTATATATGAGCTTCGTATATTAAAGGAGGTAAATAAAAGAAAGGGTTAAGAGCAAAGGTAAGTTAATGAAAGCAATTGTATGTGGTTATTCAACAATTTTTAAGGAAAAAACAAATTCAATTTTGGGTGCACGCACAACAACCAATCATTAGTGGACAATCCTAATCCAACATATATATAATTCGGCCGCCAAGTTTTATTTTCTGACATTTGATACTTTCGTTTAAATCATTTATATAAAAATTATAGCATGTAAAACAACCCCTTGAAGGCGTAAGCATGCTATTAACTAACAAACTCAACGAAGCTTCCCCTTTTCTACGGCTTACATACTAATTGTATGTAATACATGAAGTCTAGTTTTTTTCAAATAACTATTTAGTTAATACTAAAGTTACACTTAGTATTTTGTTTCAGCAGTCAAAGTAGAGTTTCAATTCCACTTTATTCCCAAATACTATTATAATAGTAATCGCCCTTTTTTTTTCTTGTTGTGCAACCCTTTATGTCCTCCTTTATTTTTATATCCAATTATTTTTGTATAGCTATATATATAAAACTAACTTATAGCGCAGTGGCTTGAACTTAACTTCTTTGTAGCTTTCTCCGAGTTATATATTATTTACTAGAACTAAGTAAGCTTTTTCAGAACTGCAGGCACTACCATAAGCTACGAAAGGTCTTATAAAAACTCTTGGTACGCGCATTTGAAGGTAGCATTTACAATCAACGCAACGACTAATTACACTGAAGGCCCACACTTACCGTTACCTAAGCAAGATGCGTATAAAAAAATTAAGCCTAGGCAGTTTACAAAAGATCCTTATTAAAGAAGTAAGTGCCGGTTTCACGGCTAAAGAACAGTTACTTAACTGCCTTGTTATACAATTATTTTTTTTTTTTACAGATTATATTAATTACAATAACTAGTCATTTTATTATATTAATTTAATGCCCCGGTCCATAGTTTGCACCCCCTGCTCTTTGGACGTTAGCTTTAACATTGTCATATTTAAAATCGCCTAAATATATAAAAAGTACTAATTAAATCGTATTATATAATAACACTAAGAGGGTTCTACTTATATCTGAGCTGTAAATTTCACAAGCAAATATCGGCATCATTTGCTTCACAAGATGTTTGTCGGTAGAAACCTATAATATTACGTTAATGCCAGCTTAATAAAATGAAAACTAATTTTTCGTAAATAATACTTTAGCTTTTTTCATTGGAGAAACTTTTTCCCCGACAAAAGTAAGAAAAGCAAACTTTTGTCTTTTAGAAAGTTCATCGCCTTACACAAAAAAATTTAATTATTTAATTAGCCAACGTGAAAAAAAGTAAACCAGTTTGTATTCGAACGTACACGTATGCCCGAACGTGGTCTTGTAATTCTGCTAAAAAATCGTCGTATTTTGTTCCGGTCTTCACTAGCAACTTTTTAGAGTCATCAGAATAAGTAACCAAAACCTAAAAATTTAAAACGTGAGTTAATGTATAATTTCATTTTCTCTTTTCGACTGCAAAAGGCTTGCGCATTACATCTAAGAAATAGTAATGTCCTTGATACTCACCCATATAACTTCGTTGTTATCACTTCTGACCTCCGCGTATCCCTTTTCAATCTCGCTCTTATTATAATCCATCCTCTTACAGCAAATAAAATAGATAACAGCTTCTTTTACGCTTATATGCAGTAGAATTTGTGGTCAACATCTTGGTTAAAATTTTAACAAATTAACACTAACATAACATTTGCTGCTTAACGCGTCTAAGCATTTATAGTTATAGTTTTACCCTTCTGTTTAGTAACTGGATATAATAGGCAGCATTTTTTTAGTAAATTTAATTTTTAACCCAATCGAAGTTAGCAACAAATTTTTTGTATTTTGTCTGGAAATATATATCAGTACACTATACACAGCGGGCTGGTGTTTAAATGTGTAAATTATATGTGGCGCGGTTGAAATGGTAACGTCGATTGCAGAGTTGAAAAAGATTAGTACGTCGCTGCGCTTGGTTTTCTGGTGATAGTTCAGCGTCAGGAGTAAGTGTTTTATAAATTATCCTAATGTTAAACGGTATCAACAAAACAAACCGATTTTAAGCGTTAATGAGGAAAAGTTAAATACAGTTAGGTCGAGTTTTTTCTCTTAAAATATTATAGTATTTAGTCAGTTACCACTAGCATACATACTTATTTTAGGTAAAAAGATCTAATACCCCTTGTAATAACCTAATCAAGTGATATTTAGACTGGTGTATTGTCTAAAAATCTCTATTTAATCAATTAGAGATAGGCATAGGATCCCTTAATTTTAGCTAACAGTGAACTCTTATGCTTGGTCTTTTTTGCAGCATATTTTCAGTACAGGGATTTTATGAGTTTCTTTCTTAGTAGAGGAGGTACTTCTCCGCTTTCCTCAGTCAAAGACCTTCAAAATTACTTTTATTAAGCGAGATCACTTTCATATATCCTAATATTATGTCCTCACAGTTGAGGTCAAGTAAATGTGAGTTATATTTTTCATCGGGTTCAGAAGCTAAAAGTTTGACATCTTATCTGTTCAGGAGCTCGTCTGCCCTGAGGTCAGCACGATTAAAATACTAAAAGCAGAGCAAAAAGAATTAATTTCTCTACTGTTTTTCTATTAAATTATAAATAAATTTAACTTATATAGGCTATATAAGTTAAACAATCTTGCAGTCTTAAACTTATATTTGATAATTAAACTAATATATATAACCGCTCTTTATCCTTAATATCACTTGTCCATGGAGCAAAAAACAACTACATAGTCAATAATATTCCTTACTTAAAATAGAATTCTTAGTTTAGTCCTCGACTCTAAATTAGTGGTTTGCTACTGCATTCTTTGTTAAAACATCTTTTAGTAGTATAATCTAATTTGCGACGTACGGTAAAGATTGAAAAATGTAAAGTAGGCCAGTACTTTAAGCAACCTCTAAGGCCAATTTCTTTAAAGAACATAGAGCAATAACTGTGACCCACATTACTTTAATAATATTTTTTCCTTTTAAATATCTTTATTAACTCAGTGAAACTTACAAGATTAACGTGGTATTTATTCTCCAAATACTATATTATATAACTGTTGACACCTGTTTTTTGGACTATCAACTTCTAAACAATTATTAAAAATAATTAGTTTCAGTTTCTGGAATTTTTATTTTGCACACTTTTAACTAGTTTCTGAAAATGCTTTAAAAAAATTTTCATCAATCTGGTTAGTGAAGGGTAAGAAATATTCTTTTTTACATAAATAATTATTTTTGCCGTCTTTAATATACACCCCCAAAAAATGTTTCCAGCACAGTAAAAATGAAGCTTTGGCATAAAACCAGGTACTAAAGCGGTCTTACAAGCTCAGTCAAGCGTATTTTCCTACGTTGCCTGTTAGCCCTACTAACTAAATAGCTGAAAAAGTTGTATAAAGTACTATCTATATGATCGAGGAAGCGTACAGTAAAGTGGGTTCAGGAGCAGCCCAGAAGCCCGAGCCGTAAACAGGTAGCTCAAGTCACGAGGTAATGGGATAAGGAAATCATTGAAATCGAATGCTGACTGACAAGAGAGTTCGAAGCTAAAATCACAACTTCTTGAAATTCTACTATATTAATGAAACGAAGAGGCTGTCCCTACCAATAAGTTAGCCAACTACCACTTTAGGATCTTGCCTGGATTATTACTATTTTTTAAAAAGTTTAAATCCCTTTTCCATATAAGCTAACACTTTCCAATTAATGTTATGTACAACAAACACATAAAAGGCAAAAGGATTTTCTACATCAAAGCAACGCTGGTGCCTTAAGAAATGCTCAACGTTGAAAGATTAGAGAATCTCTGTGAAACTATAAAGTTGGATGGAAATCTAACAAATAATTATTAAGAAAACTACACTACAATAACCAGACTCATAAATCTATTAAGTTTATGTAGAATTTATAATTATTATACTTAAAATTAAGTTAACCAGTAAGTCAACCAAAAAGTGTAGCTTCTATACACTTGAGTGTACTGTAAGATATAGTAATAAGCAGGAGTTCGCTTTCCTAACTTATGCACAAATACACCTTAATAAATAAACAGTTTTAGTTAAATCCTTTCCCTTTCATAATTTAAAGTTTTAATTATTAAATAATTATTGCTATTATAAATAACCTAACTTTCTTGTGATTTCTATAATTAATGCTATTATTATAAATAATAATAGCAATAACATCTTGTTCAAAATAAACAATTTATTTAAAATTTAACAAAATTTCATATACACATCTCCACGCACACAGCAATGCCCATGCCTAACAAAATTACAAATATTAATTTTTAATTTCAGAATTAATTAGTAATAAAACGCAACAGACCGCCGCCGATGCAGAGTGCAGCGACTCCACGTGTTTTATTCTCCCGTTTAAGCGAATGAAGAAGAGTTACAAGAATACGTGCACCAGAAGCTCTTGGGAATTAATTACAAAAGTGACCAATGAGACAAGCGCATTCAACAAGAAGAAACCCGAGAGGATGTCCCAGCGCGATCGCTCCGCCGCCGACATTGACTTTTTTCTTGTCAATGGCGAGCTCTTCCAGCACTACGAGGGACTGTACAGCGAAAGCCTCATTCAGTTCAAAAAGATCCACTGATTCAATTGTCCACTTCGCTTTAATCAACTTCCAAAAATCATAAATTAATATAAAAAAATCGCTCGGGAAGGAGCGCTAAATTTGCAAAACCGCTTTTTTCACGGCTTCGATCGGGCCAACACCCATCACTTCTGGATCAACGCCAGCATGAGCCCACGACACCAAGCGTGCGAGCGGTTTCGCCTGGCGCCTCTCTGCTTCCTTTTTACCTTGTAATAATTAAAAGATTAAAAAAAATTCCTTTAATAAAAAAATTAAAAAAAAATAAAATTTATAATAATAGTACTTATTAAAACAAGAGCAGCCGCACCGTCGTTGATGCCAGAAGCATTTCCGGCCGTGACGGATCCGTTTCCTTTCGTGTTGAAACAAGGTCTTAATTTTGCTAATCCTAAAAGCAACAATAATTTCAAAATCTCAACAAATAAGTTTATTGAGCTTTATAAAATTAAGCCACAAACATTAACTTAATCTCTAAATTATTAATAAAAATCAATTAAATTAATTTCCTCACCTTCAATAGTAGCGCCTTTACGAATAAACTCATCTTCGGAAAATTTATGTTCAGATCCTATAAACATAAATTAGAAAACTAAATAAAAATTGCATAAAAAATTTAGAAAAATAATGATTTATAGTAAACCGTACTTTTCTTTAATAACTACATTAACATTATAAAATCTTTTCAAAAATTTTAAAAAGATTTAAACAAATATTTCATACCTTTAGAATTTTTTATCGTAACAGAAACTATTTCTTCTTTAAAACATCCAGAATTTTGTGCAGACTCAGCCTTTTTTTGAGAAAACAGAGAGAATTGATCTTGTTCTTCCCGGGAAACGTTAAATTTGCTAGCAAGATTCTCGGCTGTAATACCTACCAAAAACAAAAACAAAGGAATCAAAATATATATAAGATTATAATTTTTGTTAAAAAACTCTAGAATCTCAATACTTAACTTAAATAGTTTTATATATCTATAAAATACTAATTTTAAAGAACAGAAGAGATGCGATTACCAAAAAATGTAACAACTATTTTACCCATATGAATGCCGCGAATTCCGCAAGTTAGCCCATCATAAATCATTAAATCTGTAAGAAATGTGTTTCCCATTTTAACGCCAGGCCGCATTTGTACTGCGTGGGGCGCTTGACTCATAGATTCCTGACCTCCGACCACGGTAATCTAAAATAAAACAAGGCTTATGCTTAATAGCATTTGAAAAGAATAGAATTGATCTAAAAAACCTCAGCATCTCCGCAGATTATGGACTGTGCGCCAAGGACAACAGCTTTCAAACCGGAACCACAAACCATGTTAAGACAGTAGGCAGGTACAGTGGTCGGAAGACCTTTATTGTACAAAGGTTACAAGTAGGAAAAATAAAAAAAAATTTATATTTCACCTGCTTTAATTGAAGCCATGCGAGCAGGATTCTGGCCACAAAGTGCCGTTAACACTTGTCCTAATATAACTTCATCAACATCGCCTGGATCAACTTTGGCCCTCTCTAAGGCTTCCTTAATAACCTTAAAAAGGTAGAGTAAAAGTAAAAAGCATAACAAAAAGTAGGTCACGAATAATAGTTTTTTTTTAATAAAGAGCTTAGTTAAAATCATACAACTAACGATAGCTCCAAGGTCAGAAGAAGAGAAACCTGCCAGAGAGCTCCGAAAGCTGCCTATAGGCGTACGGACGGCCGAAAGGATAAAGACCTCCATTGCTATACTTCTAAAGCAGCATCACAGCGTCTTTTATTTATATACGCGTACTTACACGAGGTGGTACCCTTAAAAAAAAACAGAAATAAACACGTTATCATCAACAGATCGGAAAAATCGACAAAGAAAGCAAAACAAAGATCCATTTATCTAAATTCAACCAAAAGTGAGTTTTTTAAACAATTGTAAAACAAATTTTTTTTATTTAAGGAGCAATTAGAAAAAGCGATTGCATCTTTTTGGAAATAGCATTTTGCAGCACGTTAAAATTTTGTTCATTATTAAAGATGTTACCAATTTCATAACTGTTTTAATAATATTATTATGGTTAAACCGTAAATTAGGAATTAATGGGTCGGTAAAATTAAGTCGATGTTCAATTAAAAATGGCTCCCTTTAAAATTGTGACAACAGTTTTTAGGAGGAAAGCGTCTTATGAGAAAAAACAAAAAAACCAGATTTTTTAAGAACCAATTAATTTACTATTATTAATTTATTAAAAATCATGACCTAGAGAATATAATCAACTGGTAAAGAATTTAAATTAGAAATTTTTATTTATAAATAAATGCTTGTTAATATGATCTTATTTGCATTATTTTACATGTGCTATGACCTCTAAATATTTAATTTTCGAACTTGTTACTGTTTGAATCACAGTTGCTCCATCCTCAGTATTGCACTTCTATTAATTTGAGTGCTCGCGCGTTCTGAATATAAACCAAGAAAAAAAAACCTGGCTAATATATTTTTTATTAAATTTTTCAATAAAAGGTGTACTTCTACAAAAAATTCAGTCCTTTTTTCCATGGTAAGACTACCTAGCTTCTAAAAATTTATCTTTCAATAATATCATGTGTTTTAACTCAAAATAGCAAGTAATCTGCATAAAACCCTAGTGAACCTAGAAGAAGGAGAATAAAGCTATATATTTATTTCACTTTAAAAAAACTTAGACCAGAATGAACAATACTCTGTAATTATTATCTAAAGAAATTACTATATCCTTATAATCAACTGTATTTTTGTAGTGAATTTGCGCTAATTTTATACAGATATTCTAGCTTATTCACTAGGACTCCCTTTATTTACAAAAAATATTTTTTTTTATAAGACATCTCTGCAGTAACTACAGTGTTAGTCAAAAATCCTTGCGTATAAACTTTAAAGTAAAACTATATTTTACTCTACAGACCACTGCTCTGTAGTCGATTAACCCTAATAAGGACTTTACTAATTTTAACTAAATTTTCACCTAACTATTTGGCTTAGCTTCTTTACCTATATATCTGTTATAACTTAATTAGTTAGACCTATTTGTACTATATTTTAGTCCTTTGAATTGAAGTTAAAAACGTATTATTGAAAAATGGGATGGAATATTCAGTAGTAAAATAATAACTTGAAAGGTACGTTAAGTCAATACCTATTACTATAGTAGTCTTGCAGCTTGCTAGCCTACGGTGACCAATTTACACAACGAACCCTCTGGAAAGAACCTAATAAGCAAGTAGTCGCTATGTAGCTTATTATTAAAATTTTAAAAGGTTGGAAAAAAAGGGTGAGCGCAGGACAATGTTAGATATATTACCGAATTTTCAGTATCTCATTTAATGCAGGCTTTTGTACGGCCATAAGATGATTTCTTGAAGGGCCCCAAAATAAACTCTTTAGTTGGTAAGGTGGTAGAAAACAAGAAATGGGTAAAGTAATATGGCGGAAAGACACAACTAAGATCTTAGAACAAGATGGGAGCTACAAAACGGCCAATTTGGGTTGTGCACAGGCGTGGATAGAATCTGTTACTATGGGCTTGAATCAAAGATAGATGTTGGAATCTGGATACAATAGATGAAAAGGGAGTGTAAGGAAGTAAACGAAAGACGCTTTTGTATAAAGAAGGTAACGTAATCAGGGCTTTAATTAAGGTGGTAAGCCTTAAGTAGCTATTTACGTGCTAAAAATGCAAAACATGATTATGGACGATTTAGAAAACTTATTGGTCACAAGTAAAATTAATTTAAGCAACCAAAATAAAGATGAGGGCACCTGCTAGATCGTAACAGCTTTACCAAAGAGTGATACATCCGAATTCAAAAATAAATGGTCAACTTTTTAGTTAGAAGCAAATTTCATTTTATTATGATATTATTACCTTTAATTTTCCTTTTAATTAATTGATACTTCCTTAATTTCATTTTTATCCCTT